ATTTTATTCCTAACATTTTATAAGAGGTTATTTAAATGTTGTCGTTCCAAATCGTTGGATAGGCCGGCGAGATTTCCCGATTTGGCGCCGATTGATTTTTTTTGTGGGGGCACTTGCGACACCGTGTTTACGTCAATGGAACGACTTACAACAACGTCGAAGATTTAAAATAAACATAATAAATGAAGAAAAATCAGTTGCTAATACAAATTAGAGGCGACGCAAAAAAACTTTTATGATAGATTAGGAATATTTAATATGATTATAGTTAAGAATGAAGCATCCTTTAAAGTTTGTTTTGAATCCAAAATCAGGATACTAGATTTAAACAAAATAACCAAAATAGTTTTTTTTTTTCTAGAATAATGATTTGGTCTACAACATTTGTATGTAACGTGTTGCCCCAAAATGCGAGTGCAGCGAGCACATTTAGGATAAATCAAAATTATCCGTCGGTGTCCCCGTCGGGAAGCTAAATTACTATTAATGACAGAATTTTTTGGTGTCTAAAAAAGTGGATCTTGAAAATGTTTATGAATACTAAAGTCGGAGAGACACAGGAACCTGAACGTGCTCGCTGCGCTCGCATTCTAGACGTTTATTTCTTTAAAGTCTACCGATTTATTATTGTCACGCCTAAACAGCTTCCTTAATCACTTCTGTGCGACTAAATTTAAACAAAAGAACGTTTAGAATGCGAGCGCAGCGAGCATGTGCAGGTGTAATTAAAAATAATTCAGTGATGTCCCCGAGACACTAAATTATTGAAAACTGAACACGAAAAATTGAAAAATTTGAAAAATCACAGGTGGGTGGGCGGGGTTTATATTTTGCCTTTTTTTTTTTAATATACCTAGTATTGTGTGCACAACACGATACTAAAAAACATGTTTTTAATTCACGTAAAAAAAATGGGTATTTTACAGTTAAGCTCCGCCCTCTTGGTTCATAGCGAATAAAAAAAATCATCACAATTGAGATAGGGTGGGTGGGCGGGTTTACATTTTGGCCTTTTGTTTTAAAATGTGTAGACTTCTTTTCACAACAAGAAATTTTATCAATTTTGCAATTAGGCTCCTTCCTTATAAAAATGTACGATTTTAACCATATTAAAATATTAACCCCGCCCACCCACCCTATCTCAATTCTGATGATTTTTTATTCGTCGTGATACAAGGGGGCGGAACTTCAACTGCAAAATCCTTATTCTTTACGAGAAATTAAAAAAATGTTTTTAAGTATCGTGTTGGTGAAAAAATACTATGTATATTAAGAAAAAATTAAACCCAAAGATTAAGCCCCGCCTATACTTGCTTTGATCTAAATAGTAATGAAGTTTTCATTCGTTGACAGACTAGGGGCGGAGCCTAATTGCAAAATCCATGCTTCCCTACAAAAGGTTACCATTTTGAACGTGTTTTAAAGTTCTAAGAATAAAAAAGATCATCACAATTGAGATGGGGTGGGTGGGCGGGGTTATATTTTGCCCGTTTTTTTAATATAGTATTCTTTGATCAACACGATACTTAAAAACATGTACTTGGCAGTTAAGCTCCGCCCCCTTGGTTCTCGGCGAATAAAAAAAATCATCACAACTGAGATAGGGCGGGTGGGCGGGCTCACATTTTGCCTATTTGTTTTAATATGTGTAGACACAATAAGAAACTTAAAACATGTTTAAAATGGAAAATTATTAGGCTCCCCCCCATAATTGCAAAAACCACTTTTTCTTGCAAAAATCTACCCATGTTTTAAGTTTCTTGTTCTGAAAAGATGGCTATGTATATTAAGAAAAAAAAGGCAAAATATAAGCCCCGCCCACCCACCCTATCTCAATTCTGATGATTTTTTTTTTCGTCGAGGGCCGAGGAGCGAAGCTTAATTGTAAAATCCTTCTTTTTCTATCAGAAATTACAGTTTCGGCCGCAAAATCTTGAGCAGCTCTGTCATTCAAGTGACATAAGCCCGAAAACAGGCTTTACGTACTTCTAACCTCAAATTTGCCGTTTGTCACTTTGATGTAGACTGGAATGTGACCTATGTCAAAATTTATATGACGTATGTCAAAATTTATTTTTTAAAAGTGTTAATCATTATGACAATAAGGCATAGACTACATCGTTTTTTTTTAAATGACAGAAAAATGTGACTGCTAAAGTAGGAAGACCTGAAGGTGTGTTTTTTAAATCTACAGATTTATTATTACAATTATTGAACCCAAACAACTTCACTAAGACTTTTTCTTAAATACTTCTGAAAATAAATTTTAAAAAAGGAACGTCTAGAATGCGAGCGCAGCGAGCACGTGCAGGTGTAATTAAAAATAATTCAGTGATGTCCCCGAGACACTAAATTATTGCCAAAAAATTGTATGGTCTACGAAAAAGTGAATCTTCAAAAATTTACCATTTTGAACGTGTTTTAAATTTCTAAGAATAAAAAAGATCATCACAATTGAGATGGGGTGGGTGGGCGCGGATTATATATTGCCTTTTTTCTTAATTTACATAGTATTCTTTGAACAACACGATACTTAAAAACATGTTTTTATTTTCTTGTAAAGAAATAAATATTTTGCAGTTAAGGTCCGCCCTCTTTGTTTTCGGCGAATAAAAAAAATCATTACAATTGAGAGAGGGCGGGTGGGCGGGTTTACATTTTGACCTTTTGTTTTAAAATGTGTAGACTTCTTTTCACAACAAGAAACTTGATCAATTTTGCAATTAGGCTCCCCCCTCCCCATTATTACACAATCCATATTTCTTATAAAAATGTACAATTTTAACCATATTAAAATATTAACCCCGCCCACCCGCCCTATCTCAATTCTGATGATTTTTTTTATTCGTCGTGATACAAGGGGGCGGAACTTCAACTGCAAAATCCTTATTCTTTACGAGAAATTACATTTTGGCCTTTTGTTTTAAAATGTGTAGACTTCACAATAAAAAACTTAAAACATGTTTAAAATGGAAAATTATTAGGCTCCCCCCCCCCCATAATTGCAAAAACCATATTTTCTTGCAAAAATCTACCCATGTTTTAAGTCTCTTGTTCTGAAAAGATGGCTATATATATTAAGAACAAAAAAAGGCAAAATGCAGGCAATTATTGAACCCAAACAACTTGGCTGAGACTTTTTCTTAAATACTTCTGAAATTGAATTTAAAAAAAGAACGTTTAGAATGCGAGCGCAGCGAGCACGTTCAGGTTTTATTTAAAAAATTGATCTAAAGTTATAAAATGTTTAGGAAAATGGGACTATCTCATTCTTTAATTTTTTTACCATAAGTATATGAGTCATAATATACACTGACCGGCAAAAAAACCGGTCACTGTGAAAAATTTTGCAAAACCAAGCTTTAAAAATTATTAATTTAACTAGTGATCGTTATTTTATTAAAGAACCATTCACTATTGACACGTGATATAAATTAGCAAAAAAAGCGGCAAAAAACCGGTCACTGTGAAAAATTTCGCAAAACCAAGCTTTAAAAATTATTAATTTAACTAGTGATCGTTATTTTATTAAAGAACCATTCACTATTGACACATGGTATATCAATTAGCAAAAAAAGAAGACAAATAAACACAGAATTAAATTTAATTTAATGGACCCTACTACAATATTTCTTTAGCTCTAGTCAAGTTTAATGTGAAATTTTGGCCTAGTTTAATTTAGAAAAGTCATGATCCCGGAAAAACGAGTGGAATACAGTCGGAAAATAACGAAAACTGTGATACATGGACCATACAGATGGAAGCTATTTCAATAAAAAATTACACTTAGTACTGTTTGTCGAAAAAGCTGAAGATTGAGGTCTGGTCTTGCGGAATATTCAGAATCTGACGAAGACGAAAATACGAGAACAAAGTTTGAACACTCGTTATACTAAATCTGTAAGGTAAGGACGGAGGAAGCTGGTGCAAGCGAGTACAAAGAAGCTTAAGTGTGCGAAGATTATTTCTTAATCTGTGTGGTACTAACTCTGAATGACTCAAGCAACTGCAATTAAGGCTTTGTAAAGCGATGAACTTTCCGATTGAGGAAAGAGGACGTCATAGGAAAAGACTTAAGGCATTACCATTGGAAATACAAAATTTAATTGAAAAATCATATCAAACCTTAAAAGCCTACACAGTCCCATTATTATTCAAGACACAATTCCAATTGTTATTACCTAACGGACACTTTAAGCATCAAACATTTACATAGATCTTTTATAGAAGAAAATAAAACTCGCGTAACGTATAGCAAAAATTCAACTTTAAATTTGATTTGTCGAGGACTGACACTAGTACCATGTACAACTTCTTCTTAGAGAAAATTTCTGTGGCTGAAAGTTTTGAAACCAAAGTCCTCCTAAAAGCAAAAACGAATCCACTGAGAGAAGTGACCAAGATTGTTCTATGATCTCCAAACGCAAAACAGTACTGCAAGAAGTACCGACAAGAAAACACATTTTTACACCGATTTTATAACCAGTTGAATAATTGCAATAAAGTGCAAAAAACACAAAAGGACAATTTTAATATTCAAAAGCACTTATTGTATCTGCACCGAAGCATATAGATACCGTTTGTTTCTTTTTTTTTTTGCTAAAAGTGAAACGCAAATATTCATTAACGTAACATTACATTTCCCCAACGTCGCTGATTCATAAGAACGGTTTTCCCAATAACCAGGTAATAAACACCTGTTACTTAAGCACATATTACTTAAGCACCATCAATACACATATCTACAGCTATCCTACATCAACATTCTATTGACTTTGCCAACTCATTCCAACCCGAACCGCTTCGTCTCCCAACCATTTAGTACCACGGAAGCACTTGGTTGACCACCCAGAGTACCTGTGCAGTACCTTCTGCCACTCATAATGGATACATTCGCAAAAAAAGGATAAGCCGTCACGAAGGTACCACCATCCGAAGGTTAAACCATACCCACATCTAGTGGTACTTTCGCGCTGCCCCACCACCTCCCAGAAACTCACCCCGTCCGCTCCTCCCCACGAACCTCAAATCGTTGAATTTGGCCACCTGGTTCTTCATGACCGCCGTCGAGTTGCGCAGCTCCGCGCAACAGTTCTCGTCGTTGCCGGCCCGCACCGTCACGATGGTGCCGTCCCCGATGTCGCCCAGCGCCACCACCTTGAACGCCACCGGCAGCGTCTTGTTGGAGCGCCAGTGCGACGGCAGCGCCGAGCACAGGAAGTACGGACTCCCGGTGCGCACCAGCTCCCCCGGGTGCTCCGTCTGGATCTCGTGGATGAGGTGCTCGGTCCACCAGATGTCCTGGTTGCTCATGTAGCCCGAGGCCGGCGGCTCGCACATGCTAGACTTGGGCCACGCTTCTTCCGAAACGCTGCAGGTCGTTAGGGAGACTGGGAGATGCATGGGCGACGGCTGGCACGCACTGGTCAGAAGAAGCGGGCAATCCTGGAACAAGGCAAAATTTTGGACGAGAGGACCAAATGCTTCTTAGAACTAAGACCGAACAAGACGTCATCAACTATTGGAAGGGATACATGACCATAAATGTATATCAAACGACCTAGTTTTTGCCCAAAATGGTCTTAGCACGTGATAAAAAATAGGCCGCTTATAAATCTGGCATTTTTTGCTCCACCGTGTTCGCCACGCCTGCTGCGATTTATTAAAACGATGGTAATTAATGTCCCATACAAAACCTTTCCGCGGTACCTATTATGTTCTTGCAGAGGTGACTAGATCGAAGGCTGTCTTCTCGGAATAATATCGAGTGATCAAACAAACCATAATAACCCGAGATGTGAATCCTTTCCGGATTCCTATAAAATACTAGGATTCTTCTACGGAAAAAACAAGGTAATCTACTACCTGAGGTGATGTCATTACGGGTCCATAGCTACAGGGTGGAAAAGAAACGGTCGATTTTGTGTAACTGTGTGACTGCAGAAAAACCCAAATCACCGAAAACTGATCAACTGACGTCAAAACAAATTCTCAAAACCACAAAAATTAATTTAACTAAAACGTATAATAATTAAAAGGTGACCTCCATAAAATTTTTTTGGTTGTGTTGGAGGAGTAAAAAGTCGCTGAAAACGTTGAATTTTGTTATTTATAGGTTTTTGCGGCGACGGACGTCGAGTTAGCAGAATCTGGATTCGCAACATGTGGTAAAGAAAAACGGTTGTAAAAAGTGATTGCGGAGAAAATAAAGCCACAAGTTCAATAACCAATTAGATAAATATTTAAGTGGGGGAGGGGGCGTTTAATCAATAGGCTCTGCTTACGGAATAATAAACATTTATTAGGTAACGTTGGCAGCAGTGGGTACAGGTAGATAAATTAGTGAATTTGTTTCTAAATATATCTTAAAAGAATGTTGTGGTGTAATACCAAAAAATAATAAACGCAAACATTAGCGTTAGAAGTTAAATGACATCGACGTAAACATACGTCACTAACAAAATTAGTAAACTAAGTAAAATTTGAACTTAAATATTATTATAACAAATGTCTATATATCTCCTTAATTATTAGAAAAAAAAAATCAAAATCTCGTTTTTAAGGCGAAACACACAGTTTAGTTTTCTTAAATGAAACACCCTATATATTGTTACGTATTTTGGTTGACCTCTTCGTAGGCTTTACAACCACACTTTCACAAAAAAAATCGCGATAGGTTTATTTTTAAAGTCTCCCCTACAATATTTTGTGGAAAAATAACTAAAAGTACGCGCTTAGTTGTAGTATCAACTAAATCGAATTTTAATACGCAGAATGTTTATAAAAAAAACCTAAACTTAACTATTTCAAATATCGATATTTCAGGTTTTTCAAATGGAACACTCTGTATTTTATTTATATAGTACGTCGATGTCTGTCTTAAAAATGTAAAATACTCAGCAAAAAAGAAAAAACTGAAAAACCGATATTCGAAAACTGTAATAATTAAAACATTTTTTATAAACACTCTGTATACGAAAATTTAATCTCATTTACACTATAAAAAAGCGCGTACATTTCTTTACCTCTCTACAAAATGTTGTAACACAGATTTTAAAAATAACTCTCCTGGGATTTTTTTGTTAACCCTTCCAATTTCACGTTATTCCAATTTCAAGAAAACTAAGTTTTGTGTTACGCCTTAAAAATAGAACACTCTGTATAGTTTAATAATAAAAATTTCTAATAATTGATGAGTGGAATTGATCGAGGAACGCGTGCTTTGTAACTTATCCTGTATATTACCATATATACAATAATCGAAAAAAAAGTTCTCTAGTGGACCATGAAACGTATTTTTAAAATAATGATGTTGGCAACACCGACGTATTCCTTGTTCAGTTTCATGGACCACTAGACGATTTTTTTCGATCCTATGGTATATTAACTGGTGTCATTTTAGAAAATTTACAATTTGGATACAATTCGATGAAATTTCCCATAACAAAACGATTACTTAATTAAAATGCAGTGTTTCCTCCAAAAAATTGATGACGTCATTTTACCAAAAAAACTTCTAGTTGCAGCAAATGTATATTAATATATAATACAGGGTGTTTCACCAAAATCTGGTATCTTTTGTTAATTATTTAACACATAGAAGTCAATCAAAAATTCTGAATAAATTATATAATTAAATAAAATTATGCAACTTACGTTTTTGATAGAAAGCCATAATTTTTTTTTTTGTATTTGTCAAGAATCGCCATAATATCTAATTTAGGTTTAAAATTTTTGATCGCATATTGAAAAATATTGTTATTAATCATTAGCATAATTTGAAAGGTTCAGTGACGTCTAAATTTTCAGTTTAAAGTAGTTAAAATAAGACTATTCACGGGATAAACCCATTTAAAAAATTACTCAGCTGATTAATGCAGGGAAAAACGATTTTATAAAGTATATACTAATTAATTTCAGTACTTAATTTTATCTGTCTATTTGTACTATAATTTACACCTTGTATATACAGGGTGTTTGGTCTAAAACCCCCTTTCTCCATTCCTACTTTTTTTCTTAATAAGATAAGTACAACTACAATAATTCATTGTGTGTTTGAACATTTTAAAAGTAGTTTCGTAGACGGTCCAACCCGACCCTGGTTAACCCAGCTAGAATACTTATTTTTTAATAAAAAAATCATTTCTTGATCGAAGTACACCTTAAGTGAAACACCCTGTATATTTCTGCATGTCACTCCATCCCCAACCGCCTCAATTCTCCCCAATCCCATCCACTTTTCCTTCCTCCGCAAAACCCCCTCCCCCCACCTCCTCGCCATAATTCCCCGAAAAAACACCCAGCCTCCTATTTTCCGGATTCCGCGCTCCAAGGTAAACCGAGATCCCGCCTCAAACCGCCGCCCCCAATACTCACGTGCAAACCATCCAAAATCCGCAGCCGCCACCACCTCAGACCGCCGCCGCCGGGAATCCCATCCGCCGAAACTCAAAAAACGTCAAAACCCGCGAGCACGTGAACGTCAGCACTCTCCCGCGCACGTCAACACCGTTGATTGTTTGTCCACGACTAACTCGATTGCGACTCATTCAAGGCATGCTTTGATGACGGCACGGCGGGACGAGGACGGCGATACGGCGCGCGAGGCGGGCGGGAGCGAGAGGGAAGGCGCGTCGCAGTAGGCCGGTTCCACGGCACGCTTGATTCATATGGACGCGGCCGTAAGGTTGGCTATTGTTTTTATCCCGTGGGAGGCGATTGTGAGCCTTGTCGCCGGGTGGTTTGGGCCAGGCGGGCGACCGGAAGGGGCGGTCGGGGGCGGGGTTTCACGCCGCAAATTGATATCATACCGTGTTTATTGTAATTTATTTATGCCACTTGGTGATTGTTAGTGGAGCTGATAGTGGTTTGGCTGATTTTTAGACGGGGGCTTATCGGCGGCGGCGGCGGTTATCTGCTTCCGGCGGGGAGGGGGCTGGGGTCGGGGGGAGGATGGGCGGGGGGTGGGGTGGTGTGGCGGGAATGATGGGTGCAAAAATGGGGTTTATGGTAAAAAAAGATGGTAGTATTTTATGCAAAAAATATATTTGTGGAGACGGGTGGTAACTCCAAAGCGATTTTTTTGTTATTTATACTGTTCAAAATAAATATTTTTTTTAGTACCTACTTAAGTGTAATGGACTTTTAGTATTGAAATGGTTGGACAAATCCGTCGCATTCATGATCACTGTAATACATACCTACTAGTCTAAAATTAAATTTATTTTATTAGGGCAGAATTTTTAATTCGGTTAGTTTAGAGTTTCTTTTTATAGACTTTATTTTTTGGGTAGGGAAAACTCAAAGTGACTTTACTAATGTTATTATTGCTTACTTAAGTTTTGTGATTAAATTTTCAACGTTATAGCAATTTCCCAATTTTATATGATGAACCGTTCATTTTTGTTTTTAGTTGTGTTAATTCCGACGTGATGGTGGAAGACTGTACACATTTTTTAGTTTTATTAAAAAAAAACTGTGAAGTTTCCTCGTTTGTGGGGCACAACAAATGCCATTATAGAGTGAACTTTTAAAAATGTTTCTGATGGTGTTTAATCTAGGGATTTTAATATATACAGAGTGTAACATTAATTAGATTTCCCAAACAAATCTAATTAATTTCCTTGAGATAACTTGTGTTCGTAAAAAATAAGTACATTTCTGAAGTACCTACAAGTAATATCAGGTCCGACGGCGTATCTTGCAATATTTAGATAAGATTTAATAGTTTTTTGAGATGACGCCATCAGTTTCTGGAGGGGATCAATAAAAAACTTTAAGTAACTGTTCTTTCATTTTATCTTATTTTTTCTAAAGAAAAATCCACCTGAGTTTAAGCTATTCTAAGAAAGCGTAATGATTTTTTAGGAATGAGGAGAGGACAGTTGTAGCAGAGTGTGCTTAAAATTTCAAAGTAATAGGTTCGGTAGTTTCGTAGATTATCAGTTCAATAAAGTCGCCAGTAGACGTCTGACGACGGGAACGGAAAACCGGCACTTTCGTATTCTAGATTTCGTCAAAATTATGGTAGCTGTAACAGACATGAAATTTATTGCAAGAAAAATAATAGTGTTTACAAATTTTAAAAATTTCATACTCAAAACGTTTAAAAAATCGGATAAATCACAAGAAATCGGTTTTTATCCTTAGATATTTTTTTATTTGATTGAACTGTTGTTTCGAATCCTGGGTTTGAAATTCCACAGCGGAAACTAAAAAAAATCAGGAGGAAGATACCAGGAAAGCAATTTTAGTGGTAACAAAAGCAAGTGGCCAACCGTGTAATTTTCTGCATAGAGGAAGAATGTAATTGTCAAAGTCGCTATAAAATTATCAAAAGAAATAGACGGTTGTGGGTAATTTTGTAATTTAAGTTGGTATAAAAAAAAACTATGTAAACTCACTATTTAATAATAAATTGTTTCAAAAATAATACATGTGTTGCTTATTGCGCTCACTAACCACGCAAGTACGTATAGAAATTACTTGGAAAGTAGAAGAATTAAATAATAAAAATTTTAATAATAACAAATAAAATCAAGGCGGATTCATAAAGCGCAAGTAGTGGAGCACATTAATTAAGAAAATTGGCCTACAGAATTTATACAGTATGTCCCACACACTCAGAGCGGTGACCTAATGCTTGTCAAATCATGGCGGGTCAGGTTCGATTAGGTCAGATTTCTTTGCTGAAATTTTTATTAAATTTAATCAATAGTGTAAGCTGATTCATTAATTTTTTTAAATATCCGATATAAGATGATTCATTGATGAACGGTCTTATGAGACCCATTATTTTGAGAAAAGTATGTTGAGAATGCGAGCGCAGCGAGCACGTTTAGGTGTTACTGAAAATTAACGTTTAATTAAATTAATCCCTGACAAGCTAAATTATTAATAAGAAAATTTTTATTGGTTAAAAAAGTGAATCCTAAACTTGTTTGTGATTATCAAATTAGGGAGACTAGCGATCTAAATGTGCTCGCTGCGCTCGTATTTTAAGGGTGTATTCTTTTTTAGTCTAGATATTTGTTTTTATAATGGACCCCAAACAATTTTCCTGTAGGTACATGAGAATAAAGCTGAAAAAAACAAGTTTAAAAAGCGAGCGTAGCGAGCACGTTCAGGTGTAATTAAAAAATGATTCGTTGGTATTCCTGAGAAGCTAACTTTCGTTTTATTTAAAAATCACCATAATATCTCTGGAACTAAAACATCCTGAACGTGCTCGCTACGCTCGCATTTTAGAGGTTGGTTTTTTCAGAGGAATTTACCTTCACAGGAATATCTTGAGAATTGTTATTATAATAAAAACTAAGCAGTTTTGCCGACGATAACCGTTGTTATGAAACCGCATTTTTTTAAAAAAGTACGTCAAGATTGCGAGCGCAGCGAGCACGTTTAGGTGTAATTAAAAATTAACGTCAAAGTCCCTGAGAAACTAAATTATTAATAAGAAAATTTGTATTACCTACTTAAAGTGAGTCCTAAAATTTTTCTGATTATTTGCTAAAGGTGAGAAAACTCTAGCGATCTAAATGTGCTCTCTGCGCTCGTATTCTAAGAGTGTATTCTTTTTTATTCTGGAGATTTGTTCTTATAATAGACCCCAAACAACTTCGCAGAGACTTTTTCCTGCATATCACTTCTACATGAGAATAAAGGCGAAAAAAGAAGTTTAAAATGCGAGCGCAGCGAGCACGTTCAGGTATAATTAAAATATGATTCATTGGTACCCCTGACAAGCTAAATTATCAAGATTTTTTTTTTATTTAAAAATGTGAGTCTAAAATCTCTATAATACCTATCTCTGGGGCTGAAATATCCTGAACGTGCTCTCTGCGCTCGCATTTTAGAGGTTGATTTTTTTCAGGGTAATTTACCTTCACAGGTAGGTATATCTTGAGAATTATTATAATAAAAACTAAGTAGCCTTGCTGACCGTTCATTGATAAATGTTTTTATGACACTAAATTAATTAAAAAAATAACATTCAGAATGCGAGTGCAGCGAGCACATTTAGATATTATTCAAAATTATTCGTCGCTGTCCTTGGGAATTATATTATTAATGAGAGATTTTTTTTTCTCAAAAAAACGTGAATCTTGAGAATGTTTGTGAATAGTTACTAAAATCGAGAAACCCCAACAACCTGAATGTGCTCGCTGCGCTCGCATTCTAGGGTTTCATTTCTTTAAAGTATAGAGATTTATAATTACAATAAAATCTAGACAGCTTTTCTGAGATTTTTTCTTAATCACTTTTATCAAACCAAATTCCATTAAATAGTATATTAAAGAACGAGATTCATAAGGCAAATATTAAGGCACGAATCCAAGTTTATAGAACGAGCGGCGAGTTATATAAAGGATGAGTGCCACAATGGCCTTATGAACGAGATATTTATACTATTTTTTCTACCGTGCACGTTTTTTCGAAAAATTTAATTGAAATTGCAGTTTTTTTAAATCTGGGGAATTTTGTCGTGGTTGGTGATGGGTTGGCCTGACACTTTTTTTAAGTTAAAATTGGTTAAAATGTCTTGTGAAGAAGTTAGTGAAGTCCTTTCGCCTCCCGAAATACGGAAAATTTTAATTTGACATTTGCCACTGACATTCACCTGACATTTCTCGTCATGACTACCAATCTTACCGATCTAAATTACACCAGATCTTTTTGAGAACCCCTTTCAGAACCGTTTTGACGTTATTCGGGTGCTTTAGTAGCTCTATTAGAACATCAAGGTAGAAAAAAAAACGATTAAAATGCGAGCGCAGCGAGCACGTTCAGGTGTAATTCAAAAATTATGCATTATTATCCTTGAGAAGCTAAATTATCAAGAAAAATTTTACTTAAAAATGTGACTAAAGATCAGGATTTTCTAACATGTCCAATTTAATTTTTTTTTTCACTTTCCCTATAAAGTGGGTTATCCCGTTGGGAAAGTTACAATTAATAATAATAATAATAAATTAATAAAAAAACACTCAGAATGCGAGTGCAGCGAGCATATTTACAAATTATTCAAAATTATTCGTCGATGTCCCTGAGAATTATCCTACTTATTACTGAGAGAATTTTTTAGTGTCTCAAAAAACGTGAATCTTGAAAATGTTTGTGAATAGTTACCAAAATCGAGAGATTTCAGCAACCTCAACGTCCTCGCTGCGCTCGCATTCCAAAGGTTTATTTCTTTAAAGTCTAGAGTTATTATTACAAAAAAACCTAGACAGTTTCTCTGAGATTCTTTCTTAATTACTTTTATGTAACTAAACGCCATAAAAAGAGTGCGAGCGCAGCGAGCATGTGCGGGTGTAATTAAAAATGATTCTCTGCTGACCCTGAGAAGCTAAATTATCAACAAAAAATCTATTTATCGTCTACAAAAACAACTTCATAAAAATTATGAATACAATGATAAACTAATCTGTCCAGTAGTTTCGGAAATTATCTGTGTAATAAAAATCGACACATACAGATGGACACGAGAGATCTATTTTTTCGGTTCTAGAAACGTCGCGAAAACATGAAAGTGGCCCTTCCCCGAATAAACCCTATAACAATACTTCCTTAGCTTAAAGAAGTTACTTTAATACAGATATTACATGAAAATGAATTGCTAACTGCAGAAAGGGGATATATCACATTTTTCAAAATGTTGAGGAAATGAATAAAACGTCTCAGATTTTTACAACTACTTGTTTCCGATCCCCGTTTTCAATTGTCGGTTCTCTATGTTCTCAGTTATCAACGAGTGTTGGTTAAATGCATGTTTTCTTTTTTGGGTCAATTTGGCTGTCAAATTTGACACTTGGACATATCCCCTTTTTGCAGTAAAATGAAAAAAAAGGTAAAAAAAACACAAAAACAGCTTTATTTCAGTTATAATTTTACACAAACATGTTATATGTATATCTGACTAAAAAACTTAATCATTATCGCGCTCCTGTTCTACAGTTGGCCAAGTAGCAATCTCCTGCCAAAATGCGTTATAAGCGTCTGGGATAAATCGTAAAGTGTTTGTTATATCCGTCATTTTCTTCTGGCTGATGGCTAGTTATTATACTAATTTTGCACTTAATACACGTAGTCATCTTCTCACAACAAAAATTTAAAACATGTTTAAAATGGTCAATTTTTGTAGGGAACTACAAATTTTGCAATTATGCTCCGCCCCCCAGTCTGGCAACGAATGACAATTTCTCCACTATTGAGTTCGCGGCAGGTGTGGGTGGGGCTTAGTTTAATGATGAATTTTTCATTCGTTTCCAGGCCGAGGAGTGAAGCGTCACTGAAAAATCTATTTCCCTACAAAAATTTACCATTTTAAACATGTTTTAAATTTTTGTTGTGAAAAGATGACTGCGGAGATTAAGAAAAAAGGGCAAAATATAAGCCCCGCCCACCCACCCTATCTCAATTGTGATGATTTTTTTATTCGTCGTGAGCCAAGAGGGCGTAGCTTAATTGCAAAATTCTTACTTCTCTACAAGAAATTACCATGTAAGACATGTTTTTGAGTGTCGTGTTGGATAAGAATAACGCAAGACGTTGAGACCACGGTGTTTACTGCAGAAAGTCGATATCTCCTGGACATATCCCTTTTCTGCTGTAACCGTAAATTTCATCCGCTTGTAGCCCCGAGCTAAATCATTAAACATGGCCCGTTTTTGCAGTAAAGATGTGTTTAGACCTCTAGAACACGATTATGTACGAATGTTATTGTGGTAAAAAATGGGACATGTCCCCTTTCTGCAGTTAGCAATTCAAATATATTCCGTCTATTTTCACAAGCTGACGTTCCACTATAATTCAGCGTATGATACTTATTTAATTATAATTAACACACGATATACTTATTTAAAAAAATTATCCCGTTGATGATCACCAAGTTTGGGTTATTCTAGTTTCTTTGTTTAGTTCTAAACAAAAATGTTTGTTTCGTGCGCTGTCAATCAAATCACCACCTCACTGAAAAATGTAGACGTCTTCAGAAAAAAAAACACCCTTTATTTTTATGGAGAATTCTTGGTGGTGAATTATTTTAGATGCAGAAAGTTTGTGTATATCAAAAGAATCATTGTTGGATGGCGGAAGTGTTAAAATCTGCACAGGAAATTTTGTGCTCGATGCGTCTCTGAAAATGTGTTGAAAAGTATAGTTGAATTAAAAAAAAGAGGGTTTTAGTTTTTCCTTACTTAAGTAAAATAAAATATTGGCTTAATAATTAAAAGTAGGTATGAACTCATTTCTTTTAATTCAGTTATCAAAACGCTCCCTTCAACACCAAATACTTTAGTCATTATTTCATTATCCAGTAAAATATTGTGGTTACAGAATTTTACATAGATACCGCCATTATGCATGATTCATTACCCATCACCTGAGCGAACATTCGTCAGTGTATTTGCCAATTTTTTTTCCGCCAACTAATCTTCAAACTATTCGAAGATCGTGCCTCCAGATTTAGCTTATCCAGCCGAAAGTGAAAAACCGATTCCGACTCCTTCTTCCGCATCAAATTTCGTTAACCCAAAATCTCGTAAATCCCAATTACTAACTATCTAATTCTGATAACTTAATCGTCCGCTTCACGCCTCGCATTTCCCAATTTCCTACAAACCAGCCCGAATCAAAATGTCACTTTGATAAAATCCCGCAATCGCGGGCTGCGCAATCCGCGACGCTCCCTCCACACAGAAGAATAAAAATTGCAATAAAACGAAGAGAAACGCGCTTTCAACGACGCCATAAATATTTTCAGCGCATTCAAAGATGCAACGACGACACATTCCGACATAAAATTCGGTCGAATATTGGATAAGTTGTAAAGTGGAACTCGCATTGACCGCAAGGAAAGTGTTGTGCAGATAATAAAACTGCAAACCACAGATTTACCGCTAATTATTTTTTTAAATGACAGACTGTCTAACGTCGAGTTATGGCCGCCGTAAACAACGACGCGAAAGAAGAGTGCGTGCATTGTCAATCAATTGATATCTAGGACGATGATCTATCAAATTATCAAAGTTATCAACTAATAGTCAAAATAAAGCAAAAACGACACATTTATCACAAATTTATTGACAACGAAACATTTAACTGGCGTAGACAAGGTATTTGTCCCCCAAAAATGTGAATTCGACCCACAAATCAGACTCTATGTAGTTATTGTCACCCACTTGAGAAGCAGCGTCCCAGTTATGCTCCGGCAATTGTTTACCCAAAAGGGTGGTCACCGCCTTTGGAATCAAATCTTCGTCGTAAGTGAAAAGGGCCGTAATCAGGGCTTTCTTGATAGTGGTGACCACATCATCTTTGGCACTTTCGGACTTATCAACCACCTCCACCTACACAAAGCCAAATTACCAAAAAGAAAAACTTGTCAAAAAACATACATCGACGTCTCCATAGAAGACCTTGGTGGTTTGGTTCTTGCCGTCGGCCCCAGGTGTCACGAACGTGTACTGAGCAACGTAGTTCTCCTCGTCGAAGACAAATCCAGTTTTGCCGTTTTTGATACCGGTGAAGATCTTGTAGGCTTTGGTGATAGGCAAACCCTTTTTGTTGTTTGATATCACTTTGAGCACGTTGTTGGTCGAAAGACCCCCACCAACAGTCAGTTTCTCCTTATTGGCAACCTCAGCCAACTTCTTGAACGCCTCTTTGTCCAAAGTCGCCTTCGTCACGCTTTCCTAAACCCCGAATCAGACTCCATTCTAGACTAAAGTTAGACTCACCTGGTTCACCGGGAACGTGAATGTCATAGCAAGCGCCTCTTTCAAGTTATCGCTTTCGAAGTTCTTGGCTGTCGATAGGATCAACGAGACGTTCAAGTTGTGCTTGTCCACCAGACGAATGAACTCCTTCAAAGTCTCCGTAGCGGTGATGTTTTGGGGATATTCGGCTTTTTCTAATTGCTACATTTGTGTTAGTTTCGTCTACGATATTGAGGTGTGTACTCACAGGTTCATATTTCGACCATTTGTAGCTCCCCAGCGCGCAGGCGACAAGAAGGGTGAAGATGAAGAGGGACGTTTGGGCGGACATGCTGGTCGGCTGATTTGTGCTCACGGATTTCACTTGGTGGCAGTTTTATTTAAGGATTATCGCAAGGTCAGCTAGACGGTCAAAACATTTTCGGAAAAATAATTATATAATCGGGGTGATAACACTTTTGTTTTTGTTTGATTGGGGGCAGACCAAATCAACAACAGGGGTCGGGGTCAAACGGGCTATCGAAAATTGGACCTCTCACCTTTGGAAAGTGTTTGTGTTTTTATTTGTGAAAATAGTGATTAGAAGAATCTAGACATTGACCTTCAAGTCAGTGTTTATCTCTAATAAAAATTTAGTGAAGAAACGTTGTCTGAAATGTTTGGCAAATATTTTCTCTTGTCGTTGGTTTTGGGGGTTTTCTATTCAGGAGAAGCCGGACTTCTGGATTCTGCTGGACTTCTGGATTTGGATCTACTGGATGAAGAGGTGTCGCGCGTGCGTCGCGACGCTACTTTGACAGAAACTGACGACGTAAGTAGTTATCTAGATCTTCCAAACTTGACAGTTTGTCGTCTAGGAAGTTTGGACTAAGCGGTGGAAGAGTTGGTGCAACATTATCGAAAAAACTTCCAAAAGAAGCTTCAATATATCTGTAATCGGATGGGAGAACGTTTACGACGCCTCTGGAAACATCAAACAAGTCAACTCTCTAGAGCTAGCATTTCCGGTCAGGAAAGGTGCTGAAACGGTGAAGATGTTAAAGGACCAAAATTATAGAGAACTTCACGACAGAAGTGTACAGTACGAAGTTGCTAGAGTTTTGGAAGTTTACAAACGAATCGGGGCACAAGGAGTTATGGTTGATGTTTTCCTAGAAGCTCGAGATGAACATCTGCAAAATCGGGACGACTCTTCCAGTCTTCTGCACTGGACTCCCGATTCTACAGTAAGTACAAACAATCGAGTTTCACTAACTTGTTCCTAGTACTTTAGAATAGATGGGTTAGTTACTTATAGCAAAACCCAGAATGCTACAGATGAAGAAGTCGAGAAATTCGTGGAAGAACTGCGTTCGAAGTCGTTGTTGTTACAACCGGTTGACGATGCAGAAAGTTCTAGTCCCTCCGTGTCTGTAAGTTTGCTCATCTAGGAAAAATCTATTTCTGGGTAGAGTTATGTTGTAGCTTCGTGGCAAGCGTCAGATGAGATCATTCTAGCCGGTCCTAGAATTTTGGCAACAACTATTTTAGATACGAAACAACAACCCGAAGACTTTCTCCCCAAAAGGTTAGCTCAAGAGTTTGACTTGCACTTTCCAAACTACGACTGGAGCGTCTTGGTAAACCCTGGCGAGTTCTACCTAGACAAAGACGTCTGGATTAAATTATCCACACACGGTTTCGACTTCCACGAAGGACAAGACGACATCTATTTCATATACGGGATTAAAATTTAAATGTACTTTTATTATCAATTAAACAGAATATATCATGTATCTTTTGTTAAGAAGCTTCAACTCGATGATCTTCTTCGGTTTGATGTACCCTTTTTCGTTAAAATCAACCACCAATTGCCACCTGTGACCAAACTCTTGACCAAACATCGCCACCAACGCCCGACTAAAGTCATTCGGCGTGTATTCGAGGAACGCCCTCAAGAGAAGTTTCTTGCTTTTGGTCACCTCTTCATCAGTAAAATTCGCCGCCCGTTTCACCTCAATCTACAACAAACCAATCAAACCGTTCTATTGACATTCATACTTACGTCAAAGTCGCCGAAAACCACTTTCTTCGTCACGTTTCCTCCAACCACGAAACTATACCGCGAGATGTAGTTTTTGTCCGACCACACGTTCTTCTTCCCGTCGTCTAGCACCGTTGACACTCGATGGGCGTGGCTGTTGGGCATCCCGCCCGTGTTTTCCATTTTGAAGTGGTCGTTGTCTTTGCAAAACAAGCTTCGGGCGGCGAGTTTTTCCCCAGCTGCGAATTCCAAAAATTTTTGGCAGGCGGGTTGGTCGAGGGTCGGGCGGGTGCGGGCTTGCTGGAACGTCAACGGTAGAGTGGGTGGTGAAGGGGTGGGTACTTACGTGGTTTAGGGGAATGGTGAGGGAGACTGACACGTCCAAGGCGACGTCGGCGTTGGTTTCTTGTTTGGAGATGACGATGGAGAGGTTGAGGTGGTTGGTTTTGACTATGTCGATCAGGCGGTGGAGCGATTCGACGTCCGAGAGGGGTGATGATGGGAAAAGTGGTGTGAAGGAAAGGGTGGAGGAGAATAGGGGTATCAAGAGGAGCAAAATCTTCATGGTGTGTTGATTAATTCGTAGTTGCGACTGTTATGAGAGTGTGATGACAAGGTCGAGAGTGATTAGTTTGGTTATCTGTTTTTGTTGACTTTATAGACTATAATATGGTTTAGAAAAGGAGACTATGCTAAATATATAAAATAAAGAGGGTGGTGTACTTTTGTCAAAACAAATCATTGATAGCAACTGCATTATTTTTAAATGACCTTTGACAAAAATATTTTTATACCAGTGTTGGTTATCAGTTTCATAACGAAATTCACTAGTATCTGCAGTTAACACAACCAGTGAACATGTTAAAAAAATATCTTCTTTTTTTTTGGGTGTTGGTCACTTTCCATTCACTGGAAGCCAAACCATCGGATCCTCTAGATTTTCTATCTTTCTTGGATCTAGATGAAGTACATGAGGAAATAACGCGTCTACGTCGTGACCCTTCTTCTCCAACTGGACCCTCCATAAGATGGGGAACAAGATTTCCATTCTGGATGCATTTAGTCGACCTATTCTCCGAAAGAAACATCAACATATCGCTCATAGGCTGGCAGAACGTTTATGACTCTGTTGGTACACTGGTAGCAGTAAACTCCATAGAACTGGCATTTCCAGTCAGAAAGAATACAGACGACTCTGAGTTCCTGGATCTTGGGGATTATGATGATCTTCATTCCAGACAAAGTCAACACAAAGTACACAAAAGTTTTGCCATGTTCGAGGGACTGAACAATCAAACAGTTTCGCTCGATGTCATAATTGAACTTAAAGATAAACATACTGACCCTCCAGTTCTTTTCCATTGGACACCCACTACTACAGTAAGTCAAAAATTTTGCAAATATAGTAGTTGGTTTGTAGTATTTCAGACCCGATGGTTTGGTCTCGCTGAACAAGACGCAAAAAGCCACTAAAGAGGAAGTTCAACACTTCGTTCAAACCATACGTTCAAAAGGCAATTCTTCTTTGGAACCGTTAGTTTTAGTGTACGATGAAGATGGAAAATTGAAGACAGATAAAGTGAAACTGGTGGATTTTTCTCTGGTTGTAAGTGTACCACCAAGGATAGTTGTTTAGTTTTTGCGTAGGGTTACGTTGTAGATTCGTGGCAAGCCTCCGACGACATTCTTCTAAAAAGTTCAAGAATAATGACCGAAGTTGCTGTCAATTTTAAGAAGGAGGAACGTGCAGAGCACTTGGGTCGTCGTTTCAACGAGGACTACCCCAACTACGACTGGAGGGTTCTAGTCAATCCGCGCAAATTCCTACTGGATAACGATGTTTGGATCAAGGTGTCAACAGACGGGTTTGAGTTCTATGAAGGGGACAAGGACACCTACTTGGTCTATGGAATTAAAATCTAGACTAAACCATGACACTTTATTGTACCCAAATCAGTTAAATCGAATAAAGCATATATTGTGACTTGTCTAACTTCAACGAAATCATCTTCTTCGCCTTAGTGTAGTTGTTTTTGCCAACGTCAGACGCAAATTGCCACCTGTGACCTGGAAAAGACAGCTTGAACAAGGCGACGAGTGCCTTTGGAAAGTCCCTTGGAGTGTAGACGATGAAAGCACCAGTCAGCAACTTCTTACTCTCAGCAATTTCTTCATCTGTGAAATCAAGCGACTCGAGCACTTGTATCTACAAACAACAAGAACACAGAAACTTGTGTTGTACTTTCAAAGTCGTATTTATTACGTCGAAATCCACGGAAAGCACTTTCACTGTTTCACTCTTCCCGTCTTCGCTTTGCGTGAAGAAAGTGTGCTGCGAAACGTAATTGTGATCTCTGGAGTTGAACCCTCGTCGTTTTGTGTCAAACTCCGTCAACATTCTATGGACATTGGTCACTGGAAGTTTGTCAATGGTGTTTTCCCAAACCGACTCCTTGTCAGCTTGAGAAAGACGAACTTTGGCTGCCAACTTATCCCCACGAGCTGCTTCCAAAAATTTTCGCCCGGTTTCTTCGTTCAGCTCGTCTTCTATCTCAAACCCCTAAACTACCGTGGTTACCAAAACCCAGAAAGCATGAATACTTACTTTAGCCGCAGGAAAAGTCATGGACATCGAAAACTCCAAAGTAGCGTCGTCCTTGGTGTTGTTGGTGTGGAGCACCATGGAGATGTTGAAGGCGCTGCCGTAGGCGAGTCTGAGGAAGCTTCTGACAGAGTCGAGGTCTTGGAGCTGTGTTTTTGGATATTCTACTTCTGGCTTGGAAGAGTCGTTGGAGGGAAAGCGAAGATTCGCGAAGACCAAAGTCCAAAACAAAGGAAGAAGAAAGAGCGGAGTCTTCATTTTCTTCTAGAGAATGTATTTTGAGTGTAAGGTCGGGGAGTCTGAATGCATCTGGTTATCGTTATTTTTACTGATTACACGAAAGTGGTGATAGAGGTTTATTTTCGTCAATCTTTTTGTTGTGAGTGTCTGGGTCGCTGCAACTCTGATTTTTTATTAAAAAACAAGTTAATTGGGTTATGTTTATCAAATTTCGATTATTAGGTAGAGTGTTGCTTCATATTGATAATTTTTGCTTCACAGAGAAGAATCTGATACTGTTTTCGATTCGAGATTCCAAAGATTTTAATCTTTTTACTACTCTTGTGTAATAAGACACCATTTGAAAAAAAAAAACAAACACGTTTGATAAGAATGACCTCTAAATTGATATTGTTTTTTTGGTGTCTATTTATCGCGACAAATTTCATAGCAAAATTCTTCAGTCAACCGAAGTCGCTAAACATGCTTAGGAAATATCTTCTTTTTTCTTCCATTGTGGTTGCTCTTCAATCAACTGGGGCCAAATTGTCAGACCCTATCGATTTCCTACCACCTGTCGATCTTCCTATTGACGAAGAATCAGCTCGTCTTCGTCGGGGTGCAAATTCTTCAACAGATGTGAGTTAATATTTTAGCCAGAAACCGTCTAAATCTTCTTTAGGTCATCTGGAAAACGCGACTGACAAACCTGGCCCGCATGATCCAATCCGAGACTCAGTACAGCTACAATATGTCACTTATAGGCTGGCAGGACGTCTACGACTCTTCGGGAAAACTGACAGGCGTCAACTCCATAGAGTTAGCGTTTCCTCCACTAACCCAAGACGCGTACGAACTCACCTACTTGGACAGAGCCTACGAAGAAGATTTCCACAAAAGAAAGCTTCAACACACGTTTTTCAAAAATTTTGACTACGAGCAACCAAAGCGTGACGGGTTTTTGCTGGATGTTTTACTCGAAGCGCAAGACCAGTACCAAAATAGTCCAATACTTTTCTACTGGACTCCAATCTGGGTTGTAAGTTACACACTAACAACGAAGATAATTTACTCGTTTGTTGGTAGTATTTCAGGCTTGACCGGGGTTTGACTACGTTCAACCTAACACAAACCGCACCCAGAGAAGAAGTGGACAAATTCGTTGAGCTAGCGCGCAGAAAGAGTGACTCGTTTTTGATCAAACCTGTAGTTCTGGTGTACGACGAAGATGGAAATTTACAAGGGGACGAAGTGGAGCAAGACCTATCCATTTTTGTAAGTTTGCTTACAAAAGAATCTTTGTATTTCTGGGTTAGGGTACTGTTCTAGAGTCGTGGCAAGCGTCAGACGAAATTCTTCTCGAGTCGCCGAAAATCATGGCCCAGATTTTCTTGACTTCGACCAAAGAAGACATTCCGGAGGAGTTAGCGTGGAGGTTTAACCAAGAGTTTCCTGAGTACGACTGGAGGGTTGGGGTTAACGTTAAGAACTTTTATCTTGACGTGGACGTGTGGGTCAAGTTATGTTCAGACAATTACGACTTCTATGACTGGATACATGATATATATTTCGTCTATGGTGTCAAAATCTAGATGAACAATAAAGAGATTCATTCTTTATTTTGTTTCTGTTACATAGAATAAATCACGTATTTTGTAAAACCTATTTGAAAAGTGATCATCCTCTTGGCTTTAACGTAGCTGTATTGTCCAGTAGTGGACACAACTTGCCACTTTTGATCCGGATAGGTGCGACTGAACATTGCAGCAAGCGCTTGCCCCATGTCTTTCAAACTATAGGCGATGATGACCCTCGCAAACAATTTCTTGTTCAGATTGATTTCTTCGTCTGTAAAATTGTGAGAATTCACGACTCGCACGTCTATATTTCCCCAAATAACTTTCACTGTTGCGTTTTTGCCATCCGCCCCCGTGGTGAAATAAGTTTTGTGAACAACATAGTTTTTGTCCCTTGATCCGATTCCATTAGTTTTTTCCCAGAAACTCGTCACCATTACATGACCATTAGTATATGCCATAGCGTCATAAGTGTTTGACACTTGATACGTTTTTTCTCTTCGAGACAGACTAATTTTGGCAGCCACTTTGTCAGTACGAGCGAGATCCAAAAATTTTTCGCACTCTTCTATGGTGAAATTAGTTTGGGTGTTCCGTTCCTAGATTGTCAAGGTTATTAAAATTGTAGAAACGTGAGAACTTACCTTGAAGTAGGGGTAAGTTACAATCGTCGAATATTGGTAGAATGATTTGTCCACGACTTTGGTTGCGGAGCGCACCAGAGACACGTTGAGTTTCTTGGCTTCTACCAGTTCGAAAAAATTTTTGAAAGAGTCGAGGGTTGTGAGTTTCTTGAAAGGAAAAACGGTTTCGCCCAAAAGTCTGCCAGCTTTGTCAGACAGTCTCACGTTTGCAAAAACCGGTACGTAGAAGAACGCCAAAAGAAGAAGAGAATTCTTCATTGTGGACCGTTTTGGTGGATAGGTGTTGGAAAAATGTACGATGTTTGGTAGCTTTGTTTTTGTTATCGGTTTTTTGTCTATTTTGTGCAACTATGTGTAAAAACTTTGGTGATACTTTGTATCGTCTTCCAGTCAAGGTTTTGGGTCACTGGAGCTACTTATTTTGTTTGTTTTGTAAAAATAACTGGGCTGATGTTGGGTCATCGTCTATTGAACTTTGTTTATCATCAGGTAACAAAAAAGAGACCACTTTGTGTATCACTGGGTCGAAAGGTCTTTTTGAAAGAGATACGTGTTAAACCCACTCTTCTACATATCAAAACAAAAATATTTTCCACCAAACTTCTCCCTTATCACAAATTATATAATTCCACTTCTTGTTGTTTTTTCCACTAATCGCCCCGCTATCAGAGGTCACCGATAACCCACCTTTAAATTTAATAAATTCGCCAACGCTCTCCCAGACTCTAGTCTCCGCTTTCTCATCGAAGATGTCTCTCAAACTCCTCCTCTTCATAGGCCTTGTGGCCTTAGCAGCCACTGAAGCTCACCACCTCTTAAAAAAACTACACGACAAAGACCTAACATCTCCATTCTTCACGAAAACCCCCGATCGAGCTGTCAACCATCTTCGAAAGCGCAGAGATGCCGAAGAAACCGCAGACGAGTCCGAAGAAATCACCGATGAGGAAGCGGCGCAATTAGTCAGGTTCTTCGTAAGTGCCAGCAACTTGTAGTTCCATTTTTGAAAGAGTTGTCTAGGTGGGAGCAGCTTGGGCGGGAAACAAGGTTGAGATTCTCGGAGGGTTCTTGGAGGAGATGAGTGACAGCGCTACTAACCTCACTATCGTTGGATGGCAGAGGGTGCTCGACGAGGCTGGAAAGGTCCAAGAGCTTCGAACCATCCAGCTGGTTATTCCTCCGAAACCCGAAGACGAAGATGCTCCTACGAACATAGTGGACGACGACGACGATGACGAAGAGGATGACGATAGGCTTTTGCCCCACAAAGAACTCAAAGAGATCAAGGAGATCTTTGGGCCGATGTCGCTGATAGGGATTCCTTTGAGTATAACCATGGAGGAATTCGATGACGAAGGCAACGAGAAGCTTTTGATCTACTTGGACAAAGATGAATTGGTAAATCGTCCAACTGTTTGAAGCTGGTTATTCAACGATTTGTTTTAGTATGGACGGGCTGAAAACTTTGCTCTTTACAACAAGACGACAGTTGCTTCTGCCCAAGAAGTGTCTGATTTCATCACAAGTCTAAAACCTGCAAATTTAGGGAAACCTTCTGTTCTGAAATACGACGTCGATGGTAACTTTATCGCTGACCAAAGCCACATCAGGCCTCACATTTTGGTAAATTAGCCCTCTATATACAATCACAGTTTTTATATTTGTAATTACAGGGAATGGTAATGGACCACTATGAAGCCCCCGACAAAATTCTAAACGAAGGTCCTGAAATCATTGCCCAAATCTCTCAACAGTATCACCAATCAGAGATCCCCAAACAACTGAGCATTCACTACAACAAAGCCTACCCCGAATACAAATGGCGCGTTTTGGTAGACCCCGAAAACTACTACGTCACAAGGGACGTGGAAATCACCCTCACTTACGACAATTTCGACCTAGACGAAAGCAGCGACATCAGTTACCTTGTGTACGGTGTTAAAAAATAATTTCCAAATATCCACCCCAATAAAAACTAAACCAGACTTTTGTCTACGTCATTGAACCTTCACACTAAAACCGTGGTTGCACTTCAAGATCGCAAAAACCACTAATGCGGTCCTGGCTAGCATCCAGGCGTAAAAATTTTACGACCCTCGGATCAATACTTCAGTGGAAATGTCTTCCCGTGAAGAAGTTCTCGATCTGTGCGTTTTTATCGCCAGAGAAAATAAACTTAAATGTGCCCCTAAACAAAAATTTAAATTTGCCGCTATGGCTGCGGTGGCGCTTGTGGTGGGAGTAGTTGTGGGCGGACCGAGAGGATTGGCTGTTGGTATGTTGCACGTGGCACGTTTTGATTGGCAATTTTGTTTTGGTGTTTGAAGGGGCTGCAGCTGCCGCTGTTGGGGCTGCTATGTTGAATGGGAAAGAGCGGCCTCTGGATGAGGTGATTAGGGAAGATTTGACAGCGAAAGAGAGGGAGAAGCTTGCGGATGCCGTTTTGACGGTGATCAGGCGGGAAATTCAAAGCGATTGTGACGATCTAGTGGAAAGGGTGGTTGAGGATGAGTACGTCGAAGGGTTGGTGGTTCAGGAAATGAGGAATGTTTTCAGGAATATGGATATGTCGATAAATTACTAATGTGACTTTGCAACTGTTTACTTGTCTTGATGAGTACTTGTAGGGTTTTGAAGTATTTAATGTAAAATAAAATTATGCAGGTGTTTATGCAACCAGAAAAACACCGTTGTTTTGTAGTAAGTCTACAATTACGCTAAATTGGTGTTAATTATTAAATTCAACGCTATTTAGAAAATTGATAAAGAAGTTCATGGTTACTTGTTGATGGGTTCTTTTTATCAGAGTGATTAAGTAATAAAGCAAATTAAATTAATTAATATTTAATTGTGAGTGCGCCCTCTGTCGACTGTCATAGAAACGCGCCGGAACCCAGCCGATAACGCAGTTTCTTTTTGTCTATAAAAGTGATGTGATTGACATTTTCTATCAACAAATTTCCATCACGATTATTGTTATTTAATTATTACAATCCTCGAGGTAAGCCCAACTCATCAGTTAAAAACCCCCGAAAGACCCAACCCCATCAAACAACCCAGCACCCATTTCCAAAACCGGCGCTAATCAAAATACGCCGCAGGCTTATAGGTCAAGATTTGTCACAAAATAGCAACAATTTTGAAAAAAATACCCATCCGAAAACCTTCTCCCATCGAAATCCCCCAGCATGCTCCTGGTGCGGGTCCAAGTTTCCCTCAATTCGCCCCATGATCCGCCCCTGCCGGTCGCCGACCATGTGATTCCACCCCGAAGCACCAACCCCATCCCCTTCCAAACCCTCTGTCTCAGCCGTTTTGCGCGTCTTCGCGATGTAAACAATAAATAGAACCTCCACACAACGAACCCCTCCTCTCCAGGTTATATTTAGCCCAACACAGTCCGGACAAAATCCCAAATAAAAAACAAACTTGCAAATCACTACACCTATTATGCCCGCACCCAGGACATGAACTTGTTATCATTGGTAAAACCGTGAGAATCCAAGAGTTTGTGCTGATTTTGAGGTTATTTCAGTGCTGCGGTCGCAAAGCTATGCACAGTCTAAACCTGGAAGGTCAGTACGCGAACACGAATGGGGCTGCCAATCCTGAACGAGTGGTCATCCTGGACGCCGGGGCGCAGTACGGGAAAGTCATCGACCGAAAGGTCCGGGAGCTGAACATCGAGGCGCACATTCTGCCGCTGGACACGCCGGCGTTCAACATTAAGGAAGGGGGCTACAGGGCCGTGATCATCTCGGGGGGGCCGAGTTCGGTGTACGCGGAGGACGCGCCCAGATACGATGCGGATATTTTTCGAATAGGTTTGCCAGTTTTAGGTACGTGGTGTAGGTGGTGTGGAGTTCGTTTTAAAGCTGGATTTCAGGGATTTGTTACGGGATGCAGATGATGAATAAGGAGTTCGGGGGGACCGTGATTAGGAAAGACAGCAGAGAAGATGGGCAATACAATATAGAAGTGAACACAAAAAGCATTTTATTCAAGTGAGTAGATTTTTTCGGTTCGGAATTGTGTTAATGCGATGTAACGGTTTTATCTTGTTGCGAGGACATTTAAATTGATTTTAATTGCGGGTTTGTTAAGTAGAATTTTATCTTTGTGTTTATTGGTTAAGGTCAAGGTCGGCGGCAGATGTTTTTGGTTTTTGCTGAAATACCGCGTGAGTGATTGGTTTATTTTTGATAGGATTTTGCAATGGAAAATGTTTCAAAAACATGCTAGAGTAGCGTCATAGCAGCTGTTGCTAGATTAAAGAAGTACAACGTGGTTGTGAAATTAACTAATTCAGGATCAAAGTTTTAAGAGTTTGTGATAAAAACGTTAAACAAAAATAATCTTGACATAAAATGTGTCTTTCATGCAGTGTTTTGTCACAAATTATTTTGTCAAAGAAAAGTTTTATCGCGTTTTATTTGCGTTCTTGTAAAGAAAAACTCATTTTTTTAAGGAAAGTTTTTCTGATTTGCCAAACAACGGTTGAAAACAGTCAGGAAAGAACTTTGCTCCTTTTGTTCAATGCAGAAAAAAGCAAATACGGTCGTTAATGGCAAAATTTTTCAAAGTGAGCCAAGATATGCCCACCGTTGCCAATAGTAAACATAAACCGTTTAGATAAATCTTTGTATTGACTTAAGTTGAAGACTCAAATTTTAATTTACTATATCTCAGAGATTGGTTTAGGCGTTTGGGAAACCCCTTCATATTTTTTTTATAATTTTGCTTCTTCAAGCGGAAAAAGAAAATTCATTTTCAGTACAATTACATTTTTACAAACTTTAATCAAGTTTTATTTTCAGAAATGGAAATAACAGTTCTTTATGTTTTTTTTTTACCTGCTGGGTTCATAAAATTCGTCGAGCAGGCCATGAAAAATTGTTTTGAAATAATGATGTTGGCATTACAGCTGTTTGACACTTTATTTGACAGTTATTCGACCGTAAATGTCAAACTGAAAGGAAAGCGTTGGTGTTGCCAACATTATTTTTTTAACAATAAATTTCAAAGTTTGCGCTAAAATCTTGTAAACTAGTGTTATTATTAGTCTTTTACAAAGATAACAATTTAAAATATGTTCTTTAAACACAGAAGCTTAAAAAACTCAATAGCAAAAGAAAGTTTATTTAAAAACAGACCTAAATTATGAAATGCAGGAACTTCCATTTCACTAAATTCGCAAAAACTGTATTTCACGTTCTCCATAAATGGATTAGAGCTAGAGTGGAAATATTTTGAGAAGAACACGGTAATAAGACGTCGCAGTGGATGTACATGTTTTCGGACGGGTCCATTTGTGGGTTTGTGGGGAGTAAACTGTGCTGCTTGTACCAACACCGGCGTTCGTCCTTCTGGTTCATGATTCTTTTGTGAGATAACCAAACAGTGTATTTCTTATTGTGTTTCGACTCTAGTGTTCTGTTTAACATTTTTCATATATTTTTATTTTAACTTATATGGGTTATCATAAAAAAAATAAATTAATATAATTCGCAAAATTTAATTTTATAGTTTTTTGTAGAAACTGTATTTGTTCGTGCGTACTTCAGAGGCGAGGGAGCTTCCGTTTAAATAACTTTGGACAAATCTTTCGTAACTTCGTTTTTTTTTTTGTTGTCTTTTTTATTATCTCTTTCGTTTTTTGTTTATCGTCATTTTTTCTTTGTTTTTACCTTGTTTCTTCCTCTTTTTTTCTACCCTTTTTTATGGCCCCTTTTCATCACTTTGTTATTTTGCCGCGTTTTTGGACGCCTTTTTAATTTTTTATCACCTTTTCTCTTGTAGTTTTTGCCTATTTTTTTTTTCGCCCGTTTCAAAATTTCCTCCTTTCTTTTGTCGTTTTTTAATAGTTTTTTGCCAAATTTTTTCATCTTTTACCGTTTTTGTTATCATTTTTTAACTTCTTTTTTACCTTTTTTCGTCTTATTTTTATCACTTTTTTCACACTTTTTTGCCTTTTTCTCTCTCTTGTTTGCAAGTATCACTTTTTTCTTGGTTGCCTTTTTTGTAGTTTTTGTTTTGTCTCTTTTTCTTTTTTTGACCGTTTTTTTTTCATATTTTTTTTACCCTTTTTGTCGCATTTTTGACACTTGTCGGCCCTTTTTATTATCCAATTTTTATATATTTTTTTGGCACTGGTGTTTTAATACCTTTTTTCCGCCTTTTTAACCCTCGTGTTTTTTGGTCGCTTTTTGTCATCTTTTTTTACCTTTTTTGTGCCAACTTTTTATTTTGATATTTTTTTGTAGATTTTTTCACTTTTTTCATCGGCTTTTATATAGCTTTGTTTATATTATTTTTTTGACCATTTTCTGACGATTTTTTTATCGCCTTTTTTGTCATCTAAAAACTGAAAAACCGTAGACTAAGAAACGAAAAATTGAAAAATTAAAAATTGAGTATTCGAAAAACTATAAAAAGAGAAATTGAAGATCTAAAATTGAAAAGGGAGAAAATCAAAAATAAATATTTAAAAATCGAAAAATTGCATAACTGTAAAAAAAAAATGAAGTTGAAAAATCCATAAATTGAAATTGAAAACTCGAATTGAAGAAGCGAAAAATTGCAAAATCGAAAAAATTAAAGATCCTGAAATTGAAAAAAAAAAACAAAAAATTTTAAATATCTAGAAATTGAAAAATAATGAAAACTCAAAAAGTGGCAAATCGAAAAACTGAGGAAATGAAAAATGGTGAAAGCAGAAATTTGCGATTGAACATTGAAAATTTTTAAAAATCGAAAAACTGGAAAATTGGAAAATCGTATAATTGAACAAACGAAAAATTGAAAAGTCTGTTTATATCGGAAACTCAAATGATTGAAGACACGAAAAATAAAAATCAAGAAATTGAAAAATCGAAAAATGGAAAAAACCAAAAATTAAAAATCTCAATTTTTATCTTTTTTTTTTAAATCTTTTTTTTAACACTTTTTGTCATCTTTTTTTTCGCCTTTTTTTGTTCCTGTTTTTCATCGTTCTCTTTCCGTGTTTGTCACTTTATTTTGATTGCTCTTTTTATCTTCATTTTTCAAGGATTTTTTTGCCGATTTTTTATCGCTTTTTTTGTCATCTTTTGTTTGCCCCCCCTTTTTTCTCGAAAATCAAGAAATTGGAAAAAAAAAACCTAAAAACTGTAAAACCGCGAATTTTCAGAAACGAAAACTTGAAAAATTTGAAATTTAGAACTAGAAAAACTAGAAAAAGAGAAATTAAAGATCGAAAAATTGAAAAGGGAAAAAATCAAAATATTTAAAAATCGAAAAATTGCTAAATTGTAAAAAAATTTTGAATATGAAAAAGCCACAAATTGAAATTGAAAACTCAAAAAGTTGTAATTCGAAAAAATGAAGAAACGAAAAATCGCGAAATCTGAAATTTGCAAAATTGTAATACTGAAAAATTGAACACTGAAAAATTTAAACAATCGAAAAACTGGAAAATTGGAAAATCGTATGATTGAAGAAACGAAAAATAAAAAATCGAAAAATTGAAAAAGCTAAAAATTAAAATCCTCCATTTTTGTCGTTTTTTAATCTTTTTTCGCCTTTTTTATGTTTTTTTTTATCGTCCTTTTTTCCGTGTTTGTTATCACTTTTCTTTGGTTGCCCTTTTTATCCTCTTTTTTTCTATTTTTATAGTTTTTTTTGGGCACTTTTTAATGCCTTTTTTTTGCCGTTCTTTATCAACTTTTTATTTTCTTAGTTTTTTTTTTCGCTTTTTTTGATCGCCTTCTATATTATTTCCTTTATATTATTTTTTTGACGATTTTTTTATTGCTTTTTTTAATCATTTTTTGTTTGATGTCTTTTTTCTCGAAAATCGAGAATTTGGAAAATAAAAGTCTAAAAACCGAAAAGGCGTAAATTTTAATAAACAAAAAATTTGAAGTTGAAAAATCTATAAATTGAAACTGAAAACTCGAATTGAAGAGGCGAAAAATTACGAAATCGAAAAAATTAAAGATCGTGAAACCGAAGAAAAAAACGAAAATTTTAAATATGTATTTAGAAATTGAAAAATCGAGTAATTGAAAAACTTCAACTTGAAAACTCAAAAAGTTGCAAATCGAAAAATTGAAGAAACGAAAAATCGTGAAATGGGAAATTTGCAAAATTGTGAAACTGAAAAATTGCAACATGCAGAAATTTAAAAAATCGAAAACTTGGAAAATTGTATAATTGAACAAACGAAAAATTGAAAAGTTTTTTTATATTGAAAACTCAAATGATTGAAGAAACGAAAAATAAAAAATCAAGAAATTGAAAAATCGAAAAATAGAAAAAACCAAACATTAAAATCCCTCATTTTTGTCGTTTTTTAATCTGTTTTTGACACTTTGTCACCTTTTTTTCCGCCTTTTGTTTGTTTTCTTTTTTCTTTTTACCTGTTTTTATGAATATTCTTTGATTGCCCTTTTTATCTTCTTTTCGTAGTTTTTACATTTTTTGTCGCATTTTTTTAAAACCTTTTTTTTGACAACTTTTTGTATTGTCATCTTTTGCTTGTCGCCCTTTTTCTTTTTTCAGCTTTTTTTCTAATACTTTCTTACCCCCGTTTTTTTGTATCGCATTTTTTATTACCTTTTTTTTGGTTGCTTTTTTTTGTCGTGTTCGGTCTTTTTGTCCCTTTTTTAATGCATTTATTTGGGTTTTTTGTACCCATCACTGTTTTCTCGAATTTTCTCGCCTTTTTTTTCGTCATGTCCTTGTCCTCTTTTTCCATTTTTTTCGCCTTTTTTGGTCATGTTTTTTTTTACTTTTTCTTTGTTGTCTTTTGTTGCTTTGATTGTTATTTTGTCTTTTTAAGATTTATTAATTATTAATAAAAAAATGAAATTCACAAAAGTAAATTTTGTGATTTATCTAAGCAACTGGATTTTGGAAGGTTTAAATAAATTTAGACCATTTTTTTTTTGGAGCAAATTGTAAAAATCTGAAGGAGGATACCAATACTTTGTAGTATCTTATTTCTTTTCTAAAATGAATCAATATTTACAAAAATAAAAAAAAAAATTTTGGAAAATTGAACTGCCAGTTTCGTTAACTGAACGAAATAAGTGACTTTTTAGTAATTTAAATTTGGTTTTGTTATGCAGTGTTTCATTGCGGGTCCTGCCCAAGGCTCCTTTACCTGGCCAAACAATTCGTAGTACCTTTGTATTTTAAGCCTGTTGTTTTTATTTTCTGTGTTACATTTGTACTTTCTTGCAGAGGTCTCGATAAAGTCCAAACAGTATTGCTAACCCACGGCGACGCCATCGACAAAGTTGCCGACAATTTCCGACCGATCGCCCAGAGCTCCTCCTTCTGCGCCGGCATCTGCAACGAGAAGCTCCGCCTCTACGGTCTCCAATTCCACCCCGAGGTCGACCTCACCCCCAACGGCAAGACCATCCTGCGAAATTTCCTCTTCGACGTCGCCGGCCTCACCGGCAACTACACCATGCCCACCCGCGAGAAGGAGTGCGTCAAATACATCAAGAGCACGGTCGGCAACAACAAGGTCCTCTTGCTGGTCAGCGGCGGCGTCGACAGCACCGTCGCGGCGGCGCTCCTCCACAAGGCGCTCCGCCCCGACCAGATCATCGCCATCCACATCGACAACGGCTTCATGCGGAAGAACGAGAGCACCAAAGTCTACCACTCCCTGCAGAAGATCGGCCTGAGCCTGCGCGTCGTCAAGGCCGCCAGCACCTTCCTCGAGGGCACGACGGTGGTGCCCGTGGACAAGCACGAGGCGACGCTGCGCACGACGCTCACGAGCATGCTGTGCAAGACGTGCGACCCGGAGGAGAAGAGGAAGATCATCGGCGACGTGTTCGTGCGCATCTCGGACGAGATCATCGCCGACCTCAACCTCAAGGCCGAGGAGGTGGTGCTCGGCCAGGGCACGCTGCGGCCGGACCTGATCGAGTCGGCCTCGGCGCTGGTCTCGTCCAAGGCCGACACGATCAAGACGCACCACAACGACTCGGAGATGGTGCGGAAGCTGCGGGCGGAGGGGCGGGTGGTGGAGCCGCTGAAGGACTTCCACAAGGACGAGGTGCGGGCGCTGGGGAGGGACCTGGGGCTGGCGCCGGAGCTGGTCATGAGGCACCCGTTCCCGGGGCCGGGCTTGGCGATCAGGGTGCTGTGCGCGGAGGAGCCGTACATGGAGAGGGATTTCTCAGAGACGCAGGTGCTGGTGAAGATCATCGTCGAGTTCGACCAGATGCTGCAGAAGAAGCACGCGCTCTTGAACAGGGTGGAGGCGGTGACGAATAACGAGGAGAGGTGAGTGGGCGTGGCGAGGGCGGAGCTCGGGGCGGGGAGAATGTACTGGAGAATTGGAAGCTAAAAATTATTAAAAAAAAAAACATGGCTGTCGACAACAGCGGCGTAGGGAGTATTTTTCTTAAAAGGGGCCCAAGAAACGTCCTTTTTCTATGGCGATTTTTCAATTTCTCAGTCTTTGATTTCAAATTTTTCAAACTTCCAGTTTAAATTTTATTGAAAAAGAGAGAAATTAAAAATCGAGAAAATGAAACATTGATTCTAGAAATTGAATAACTAAAAAACCTTGAAAAATTGGAAAATTAGAAACTCTTAAAATTGAACAAACGAAAACCGAATAAACGAAAAAATCAAAAATTGTAAATATGTATTTAAAAATTGAAAAATTGCAACAAAAGAGTGAAAAATGGAAACATTCTAAAATTGAAACTTTTAAAATTAATAAATGCAAAAAAAAACCGAAGAATCTTCAAAAACGAAAAAATAAAAAATTGCAAAATTAAATGAAAAAATGAAAAATTCAAAAGTTAAAAAATCGGAAAAACCAAAAATTGCGAATCGAAAAACTGGAAAAAAGTTGAAAAATGAAAAAAAATCAATATATGTATCTGTAAATTGAACAGAAGATTTGTAGAATTTCAAAGTTGAAAAATCGCAAAATAAAAAAATGCTCAACTTGAAACTAGAAAAATACAAAATCGCAAAATGAACAAATGAAATAATGAAAAAAATTTGGAAATTTAAAATTCAAAACTCGAATAATTGAATGAACGAAAAATTGGAAAATTCATAGATGGAAAAATTGTTAAAAACGCTGTTAAAAATTAAAAACTTGCGAAATTGTAAGATTGAAAAAATTTAAAAGTTGAGAAACGGAAAATACTCGAAAAATTTGAAGTCGAAACAAATTTAAAAAATCGAAAAACTGGGAAAAAAATATGGAAATTGAAAAAAAAGTCATGAAATTCAAATAATTGACAAATCTAAAAAATAGACAAATTGAACAATCAAAATATTGAAAAATTCAAAAGTTGGAAAATCAAAATTTTGTAAAAGTAAAAATTGAAAACTCGAATAATTGAAGAAGGAAAAAATTTTAAAACAAACTGAAAAATAGCAAATTGGAAAATCTTTATAAATGGCAACAAAATAGAAAAATTTTAAAAATTAAAAATCGAAAAATAAAAAAATCAAAATATTTAAAAATTGTAAAAGTGCAAAATTCTAAAATTTCAATATTAAAAAATTTTAAAATTAAAAGTTGCTCATCTTAAAACCAAAAAAATGGAAAATCGTAAAATTGAAACAACGAAAAATTTAAAAGTCAAAATTTGTAAAAATTGAAAATTTTAAAAAATTGAGAGATCCAAAAAATAGAGAACTGCAAAATCGTGAAATTGAACGAGTGAAAAATTGAGACATTCAAAAACTAAAAATTCAAAATTATGAAAAATTTAAAATTGAAAACTCGATAAATGAGGAAACGAAAAATTCAAATTCGAATAACTGAGGAAACGAAAAATCGAAAGAAATTGGAAATCGAAAAGTTAAAAAATTTTAAAATTATAAATTGAAAAATAAAAAACTGGAAAATCTTAAAAATTGAAACCTTACAAAATAAAAGTTGTAAAATCGTAAAAGTAAAATTTCAAAATTGAACAATTGAACATTTAAAAATTGATAAATGCAAAAATTGAAAAATCAGAATTTTGAAAAATTTTAAATTGTCAAACGCGAATAATTGAAGAGGGAAAATTGAAAAATTTGAAAACAAACTGAAAAATAGAAAAATAGAAATCTTACAATTCGAAACATTAAAAAATGGAAAAATTTTAAAAATTAAAAATCAAAAAATCGAAAAAAAAAATGCCCATTTTAAAACCAGAAAGATACAAAATCGTAATACTGAAAAAATGAAAAATTAAAAAATCAAAACAGAAAAATTGCAAAATCGAAAAATTGAACAAGTGAAAAATTGAGAAATTCAAAATTATGAAAAATTTAAAATTGAAAATTCGATAAATGAGGAAACGAAAGATTGAAAGAAATTGAAAATCGCAAAGTATAAATGTTTCAAAATAATACATTAGCAAATAAAAAAGTGAAAAATCTTAAAAATTGAAAAATTCCAAAATTGAAATCGAACAAACGGAAAAATTCAAAAGTTGAAAAGTCGAAAAATTCCAAAAATTGAAAATCGAAAAGTTGAAATATTTAAAAATAATACAGTGAATAATAAAAAACTGAAAAATCTTAAAAATTGAAAAATTCCAAAATTATAAAGTCGAACAAACGAAAAATTGATAAATTCAAAAATTGAAAAATCAAAATTTTGAAAAATTTAAAAACAAATTGAAAAATGGAGAACCCGGAAATCTTAAAATTCGAAACATTAAAAAATGGAAAAATTTAAAAAATTAAAAAATAAAAAATAAAAAAATATATTTAAAAATTGAAAAATCGAGAAAAAAAATTGCTCATCTTAAAACCAGAAAAATACAAAATCGTAATATTGAAAAAATGAAAAATTAAAAAATCAAAATTGAAAAATTAAAAATTCAGTGATCCAAAAAATAGAAAAATGCAAAATTGGAAAATAGAACAATTAAAAAATTGAGAAATTCAAAATTAAGAAAAATTTAAAATTGAAAAATGGGGAAAGGAGGAAACGAAAAATTAAAACTCGAATAATTGAGGAAACGAAAAATTGAAAGAAATTCAAGATCGAAAAGTTGAAAAATCTGAAAATAATAAATTGAAAAATAAAATACTGAAAAATCTTAAAAATTGAAAAATTACATAATTGTAAAATCGAACAAATGGAAAAATTCAAAAGTTAAAAAGTCGAAATAATTCCAAAAATTGAAAAGTAGAAAAGTTGTACAATTGAAAATTTCAAAATTGAACCATGGAACAATAAAAAATTTAAAAATCCGATGAGAGAAAAAAATAAAATTGTAAAGTCGAACAAACGAAAAATTGAAAAATCAAAATTTTGAATTGTCGAACTCGAATAATTGAAGAGAGAAAAATTGAAAAATTAACAACCGGGAAATCTTAAAATTCGAAACATTAAAAAATGGAAACATTTTAAAAATTAAAAATAAAAAAATTGAAAAAAAAAGAAAATATTTAAAACTTGAAAAATCGGCAAAAAATTGCTCATCGTAAAACCAGAAAAATACAAAATCGTAATATTGAAAAAATGAAAAATTAAAAAATCAAAATTTTGAAAAATCGAAAAATTGTAAAATTTCAAAATTGAAAAATTAAAAATTTAGAAATCAAAAAAATTGAAAAATGCAAAATTGGAAAATTGAACAAGTGAAAAATTGAGAAATTCAAAATTAAGAAAAATTTGAAATTGAATAATCAGTAAAAGAGGAAACGAAAAATTAAAACTCGAATAACTGAGGAAACGAAAAATTTAAAGAAATTGAAGATCGAAAAGTTCAAAAAGTTGAAAATAATAAATTTAAAAATAAAATAGTGAAAAATCTTGAAAATTGAAAAATTACATAATTGTAAAATCGAACAAATGGAAAAATTCATGTTGAAAAGTCGAAAAAATTCCAAAAATTGAAAAGTAGAAAGTTGTAAAATTGAAAATTTCATAATTGATCCATGGTACAATAAAAAATTTAAAAATCCGATGAGAGAAAAAAATAAAATTGTAAAGTCGAACAAACGAAAAATTGATAAATTCAAAAATTGAAAAATGAAAATTTTGAAAAATTTTAAATTGTCGAACTCGAATAATAATTGAAGAGAGAAAAATTGAAAAATTTAAAAACAAATTGAAAAATAGAAAACCGGGAAATCTTAAAATTCGAAACATTAAAAAATGGAAACATTTTAAAAATTAAAAATCAAAAAATAGAAAAAAATGGAAAAAATTAAAAAAAAAGAAAATATTTAAAAAATGAAAAATCGACAAAAGAATTGCTCATCTTATAACCAAAAAAAAAAAATGCAAAATCGTTATATTGAAAAAATGAAAAATTAAAAATCAAAATTTTCGAAAATCGAACAATTCTAAAATTTCAAAATTGAAAATTTAAAAATTCAGAGATCCAAAAAATAGAAAAATGCAAAATTTAAAATTGAAAAATTGGTAAAAGAGGAAACGAAAAATTAAAACACGAATAACTGAGGAAACGAAAAATTGAAAGATATTGAGGATCGAAAAGTTGAAAAATCTGAAAATAATAAATTGAAAAATATAAAACTAAAACATTTTAAAAATTGAAAAATTACATAATTGTAAAATCTAATAAACGGAAAAATTCAAAAGTTGAAGACGGAAAATTTTCAAAAATTGAAAAGTAGAAAAGTTGTAAAATCGGAAAATCTAAAATTTCTAAATTGAACAATGGAACAATAAAAAATTGAAAAATCGTCTGAGTGAAAAATGCAAAATTATAAAGTCGAACAAACGAAAAATTAAAAAATCAAAATTTTGAAAAATTTTAAATTGACAAATCGATAATTTAAGAAGGAAAAATTGAAAAATTTAAAAAATTACAAATCGATAAACAAAAAAATTGAAAAAGAAATTAAAAATCCAAAAATTGAAGAATTCAACAGTTGAAAAAAGGAACATTTGAAAAATTTTAAATTGAAACAAAAAATCAAAGATTCAAAATTTGTAATGCACAATTGAAAAATCTAAAAATTAAAATTCGCGAAACTGTAGAACTAAAAAAATTGAAAATTTGATCAATTTAAATTTCCAGAATTTGGAGAAAAATAAAAAAAATCAGAAACTTCACATTGAAAACTCGAAAAGTAAAAAAAAAATGAAATCGAAAAATTGTAAAACTGAACAACTCGAATAATTGAAGGAGCGAAAAGTTGAAAATTCAAAAATCGAGAAATCAAAAAATAAAAATGTATAGACCATATTCTCCGGTAAATTCTCCCCTCCCCGGATAAAGTCAGACCAACACGTGCCTCGTTCTTATTGGCTAAGTCACAATGACTTACAAGCGCACCAATAACGTGCTTTCTTCAACAGAAACGTATTAAGGAAAATCTCCAGTAAGCAAAAGCTGGCAGCCACACTCCTACCGATTCGAAGCGTCGGAGTCCAAGGCGATTGCCGTTCGTACAGTTACGTCGTAGGTATTTCGAGTGAAAAAGAGCCCGATTGGGACGACCTCATGTTTCTCGCTTGCCTTATACCAAGAATTTGCCGGAATATAAACAGAGTCTGTTACGTCTTCGGCGGCCTCGTTAAAGAACCGATTGTAGACCTCACCATCACATACCTTACTTGTAACGTTTTAGCGACATTAAGACAATGCGACGACGTCGCCACCACGGTAAGTGCTTCCTTGATCCCATTAAAAGTGTCTTTTCAAATCGCACAAAACACTCTGAAACAAGTTAACAGGTAACTACTTTGTTGGCGAAACGCGTCAAATTTAGTTTTTCAGTTTTCAGAGTGTTTGTTTAGTGTGGTGAGTTTGTAGGAAGGTTAAGAAGGTGGCTTTCTGTGGAGATTACGAAGCCGCCGATACTGCCTTCCGAGATAAGAATGCTGAAAGAACAGTTTTGTGCTATTCGAGCCTGTAGACGAATCTACATTTCAGCAGACATATTTTTTAACTGTCGACCGTGGTTGACGATGATTTTGTTGACAGGTGTTACAAAATAGTGGTCATATGAATTCAGTGAGTCAAATGCCTGTGATTCTGCTACCTTTACACTTTGACAGGGACCAGGCATTGAGGATCCCCTCCTGTCAGCGATCGATAGTATTGAGACCGTTTTGCACACGTGACTTTATGACAGGAATGCCTGCAGTACCTGGGAAACAACTGCCTTTAGATGTGAGTGGTTTCGACGCTTTGTGGATTTACTGATCCCGTTTTGTGCAGGTCGTGCAGAAAATGGTTGTAGAGATTTTGCAAGTTCCGGGCGTTTCTAGGGTGTTGTACGACTTAACTTCAAAGCCCCCAGGCACAACAGAATGGGAATGATAATCAGCAACATTGTCATAAATTATTAATTGTGTAATTTGTTAGCATGGACAGACTATAAGAAGGTTTCCTGTTTTATTCTTTTAAAATATATTGTATATGGTTGTTGACAACGGCGAACTGTGTTTTGTTACGATTTTGATTTTTAATTAATACACTTGGCTCAAAAATATTTGTATATGTTGATTGTGCACTTTTTTCCAAGACAAATTGGACGAACCATTGTTATCGCGGCATATGCTATGGAGTCAGTTATTACTTTTTTTACATTAAACTGGCAAGTTGCACTTTATATATTTAACTTATTTTATTTTTCCTTTGTGTTAATAAAAGTCAATTCTATTAATATCGTGCCGTTTCAATTTCGATTCCAATCAGAACGCAGGCGCAGACATCACGTGACTTCTGTCAATAATAAAAGACGAAACGACAAATGGACTGCAAACAACGAAAGTAGCAAGAGACTGGAGACCCCACATTTTTTTTTTGGTACTATATTTTTTAATATTGATTACTGATTTTGCGTCATTATAGCCATTAAAAAGCCTGTCTGACATCAATAATACCAAAAATAGCCATATTTATTCTTAAAACGCAATTAAAAAGTAGCGTTTTCAATTTTAGGTTAGGTAGCAGGTGCCGACTTTACCGACATCGTGAACCGAATAAATCGCCGATTTTTATAAATACGGTGAAAAAACAACAATAATAAAATGCATTCGATACGAATTAGCCTCCGCTCGTGCCCCAAACACTGGCGCTGCTTCTCCCGCAGGTATTTCTCGCTTTTTCAAAACCGCATGACATAACCCTACTTTTCAGTTCCGTGGTTACACAAACCGAGCCCCAAGCAGCCCCAGTGGAAAAACTGACAATACCTCCCCCCAGCGACGCCGACAAGCCCATCAGCCCCAAAATCGAAAAGCTCGTGACTGAAATCTCCCAGTTGAATCTTCTAGAAGTGTCTGAGTTGAGTGGGGCTCTCAAAAAACGGCTGAACCTTCCCGACGCCCCCGTTATGCCAATGGGGGGTTTTGCTGCAGCTGCTCCTGCCGAGGAAGAAGAGGAGGCCCCCAAAGCAGTCAAGTCCATATTCACAGTGAAATTGATGAAATACGACGAGAAACAAAAAGTCGCCCTTATTAAAGAAATCAAGGGCTTGTTAGAAGGTATGAACTTAGTGCAAGCGAAGAAGTTCGTGGAGAGTGCGCCCACGGTCGTGAAGGCGGACATCGCGAAAGACGAAGCCGATAAACTAAAAGCGGCGATTGAGAAAGTGGGGGGCGTGGTGGAAGTGGAGTAATTTAGTAAGTTGTTAGTTAATTAATTGATTAAATTGAATAAAAAACGTGTATTGAGACAGTTATACATAGTATAAATTCGTTAAGTTAAGTAGAGGGCTCATGGTTCTGTGGCGACTTTTCGGTATGAAATGTTGCTGTCGCCGTATGAGATTTCGTTCAGTTCGGTCATGGAGTGTCGCCATTGGTTGTGGCAGATGGCGCCGTTGTTCAACAAATGGGTGTCTTCGCTCTCGATTTCTTTGCGTTTGTTGTCTTCGAGGATGGCCTCCATTTCTTCTCTCGAGTTAAAGTACTTGAAGTCGTTGTCAAAGACGCCTCTGAACACGGTCACGACTTCGTCTCGCGTGTTTAGGAAGTAGAGGGGTTGTTTGCGGATGAGGAATTCGTTAATGAGGGCGGAGATTCCTTTGGCGGCGGTGAAATCAGCGCCTAGGATAAACCGGCAGTCGATTGCTACAGGGAGATTTTTCGAGTTAAGACCGGCTTTTCCGACGCTGGTTTTGATGAAGTCGACCGCCGGGAAGTAGAGGCTGTTGCCGGGGGTGATCATGATGTAGTCGATTCCATTGGAGAACGTCTAAACATATTAAAAAAATATATAGAAAAAAAAATAGGGGTCATAGTTGGCCGAAATTTGTTTACCTTGACTTTCTCCACATATACAGTAGGACGCGCTGAAGGGTACAATAGGAAAATAATATTAATTCCAACCCCCACCAAAATCCCGTATTCCACCCCAATAGCCAAACAAAACACGAAAGTGGCAAAAGTGGCCACTAGATCTTTTTTACTAGACCTCCACATGGGTTTCACCACTTCATATTCAATCATAAAAATGACAGCACTTATGATAACAGCAGCTAGAGACGCTTTTGGAATGAAGGCGAAATACGGGGTAAGGAAACTGAGTGCTAACAGAACCATTATCCCTGAAACATACACACAATTACAGCAAAAGTCCCTAGAAAGTCACTAAAGCACAATTACACCAGACAAATTTATATTTACCAGTAAAAACTCCCCCTAATGGCGTCTGCACGCCACTGGCATGGTTAACCGCCGACCTCGAGAACGACCCAGTGATGGGCATGGACGAGAAAAACGACCCAAAAACGTTACACATCGACAGGGTGAGAAGTTCCTGAGTGGCGTCGATCATCTGTCCGCTCGCTACAAATCATAGTTTGATTTATAAATTTGCTATTGACCTTGAAATTTCCGCTGCCGTTGATAGTAACTTTGATGTTCAACTTTTGCCGTATTTAAAGGGGCTGTATTGTTGAAATGTCAAGCAAAATGGAGCCCCGCCCACCCACCCTATCTCAATTGTGACGATTTTTTTATTCGCCGTGAGCCAAGGAGGTGGAGCTTAACCGCAAGTACCTTATTTCTATTTTCTAGTTTCTAAGAATAAAAAAAATATATCACAATTAAGATGGTGTGGATGGGCGGGGTTTATATTTTACCTTTTTTTCTTAATATGCATAGTATTCTTTGAACAACACGATACTCAAGAACATGTTTTTAATTTCTTGTAATGAAATAAGTATTTTGCAGTTAAACTCGGCCACAATTGAGATAGGGCGGGTGGGCGGGCTTATATTTTTTCTTTTTGTTTTAATACGTCTACACTTCTTTTCACAATATGAAACTTAAAACACGTTTAAAATGGAAAATTTGTACAAGGAAACATCGATTTTAGATTAGGCTCCGCCCCATAATTCAGATTTCCTTGCAAAAATGTACCATTTTAACCATGTGTTAAGTTTGTTGTTGTGAAAAGTTGACTGTGTATATTAAGAAAAAAAAGGCAAAATATAAGCCCCGCCCACCCACCCAATGTCAATTCTGATGATTTTTTTTTATTTGTTGTAAGCCGAGGGGCGGGGCTTAATTATAAATCTTTAAAGACAAAAAAATGCAAAATCGTTGAATTGAAATTGCCAATTATTGAAGAATTGAAAAATAATAAATTGAAACATTAAAAACAGAAAATTCTTAAAATCGAAAACTGGACAAACGAAAAATGGAAAAATTCAAAATAATTCAAAACTGAAAAATTGAAAATTTTAAAAATTGAACAAACGAAATTTTGAAAAATTTAAAATTAAAAACTACACTGAAGAAGCGAAAACTTGACAAATTCAGACATTCAAAACTTAAAATGCGAAAATTAGGGAACTGAAAAAACGAAAAATTGAAAAATTCTAAATCATAAAATTCTAAAAATTCAGAAGAATCATAATTTTGAAAGTGGAAACTCGAATAACTGAACAAACGAAAAAACGAAAAATTAAAATTTCTAGAAATTGGAAAATTCAGAAGTTGAAAAATCAAATAACTGAATAACCGAAAAGTTAAAGATAAATGAAAAATTGAAAAATCTTAAAAAACGGAAAATTGAGAACTCCTATGACTGAAGAAACGAAAAATTGAAACATTAAGAAGTTGAAAGCTCGAAAAATTGCAAATCGTAAAACTAAAAATACAAACATTTGAAAAATCAAAAAATTAAAAATAAAAAATCGAAAACTAAAAACGAAAAATTGAAAAATTATATTTTGTCTTTTCGTTTTAATATGTCTAGACTTCTTTTCACAACATGAAACTGAAAACACGTTAAAAATGGAAAATTTGTATAAGGAAGTATGGATTTTAGATTAGGCTCTGCCCCATAATTCAGATTTCCTTGTAAAAATGTACCATTTTAACCGTGTTTTAAGTTTCTTGTTGTGAAAAGATGGCAATGTATATTAAGAAAAAAAAAAAAGACAAAATATAAGCCCCGCCCACCCACCCAATGTCAATTCTGATGATTTGATGGTTGAAAGCTCGAAAAATCGTAAAACTGAAGATACAAATATTTGAAAACTCAAAAAATTAAAAATAAAAAAAAACGGAAAATTGAGAACTAGAACTGAAGAAACGAAAAATTGAAACATTAAGAAGTTGAAAACTCGTAAAATTGCAAATCGTAAAACTGAAGATACAAATATTTGAAATATCAAAAAATTAAAAATTAAAAAATCGAAAACTCAAAACGAAAAATTGAAAAATTTCGAAAATCATCACAATTGAGATGGGGTGGGTGGGCGGGGTTTATATTTTGCCGTTTTTTCTTAATAGGCATAGTATTTTTTGAACAACACGATACTCTAGAACATGTTTTTAATTTCTTGTCAAGAAATAAGTATTTTGCAGTTAAACTCCGCCTTGGTTTTAATACGTCTAGACTTATTTTCACAACATGAAACTTAAAAGACGTTCAAAATGGAAAATTTGTATAAGGGAATATCGATTTTAGATTAGGCTCCGCCCCATAATTCAGATTTTCTTGCAAAACTGTACCATTTTAACCATGTTTTAAGTTTCTTGTTGTGAAAAGATGTCAATGTATATTAAGAAAAAGAAAAAGGCAAAATATAAGCCCCGCCCACCCACCCTACGTCAATTCTGATGATTTTTTATTCGTCGTAAGCCGAAGGGCGGGACTTAATTATAAATATTTAAAGACAAAAAAGTGCAGAATCGTTGAATTGAAATTTCCGATTATGGAAGAATTGAAAAATAATAAATTGCAACATTAAAAACAGAAAATTCTTAAAGTCGAAAAACTGGACAAACGAAAAATGGAAAAATTCAAAAGTTGAAACAGCGGAAAATTGAAAACTCGCATAAGTAAAGATACGAAATAATTCAAAACTGAAAAATCGTAAACTTGAAATACGAAAATTAGGGAACTGAAAAAAACAAAAATTTTAAAATTCTAAATCGTAAAATTGTGCAGATGAAAGTTTGAAAAATTCAGAAGTTAAGAAATCATAATTTTGAGAGTGAAAACTCGAATAATTGAACAAACGAAAAAACGAAAAATTAAAATTTCTAGGAATTGGAAAATTCAGAAGTTGAAAAAACGAATAACTGAATACTCGAAAAGTTAAAGAGAAATGAAAAATTGAAACATTAAGAAGTTGAAAGCTCGAAAAATCGTAAAACTGAAGATACAAATATTTGAAAACTCAAAAAATTAAAAATAAAAAAAAAAGGAAAACTGAAAACGAAAAATTGAAAAATAATCACAATTGAGATGGGGTGGGTGGGCGGGGATTATATTTTGCCTTTTTTTCTTAATATGCATAGTAGTCTTTGAATAATATGATACTCCGAAACATGTTGTTAATTTATTGTAAAGAAATAAGTATTTTGCAGTTAAACTCCGGCACAATTGCGATAGGGTGGGTGGGCGGGCTTACATTTTGCCTTTTTTATTGATATGTGTAGACTTCTTTTCAAAACATGAAACTTAAAACACGTTTAAAATGGAAAATTTGTATAAGGAAATATCGATTTTAGATTAGGCTCCGCCCCGTAATTCAGATTTCCTTGCAAAAATGTACCATTTTAACCATATTTTAAGTTTCGTGTTGTGAAAAGATGGCTATGTATATTAAGAAAAAGAAAAAGGCAAAATATAAGCCCCGCCCACCCACCCTACGTCAATTCTGATGATTTTTTTATTCGTCGTAAGCCGAGGGGCGGGGCTTAATTATAAATCTTTAAAGACAAAAAAAGCAAAATCGTCGAGTTGACAATTTCAATCATTGAAGAATTGAAAAATCGAAAAACTGGACAAACGAAAAATGGAAAAATTCAAAAGTTGAAAAATCGGAAAATTGAAAACTCGCATAAGTAAAGATACAAAATAATTTAAAACTGAAAAATCGTACATTTTAAAAATTGAACAATCGAAATTTTGAAAAATTTAAAATTAAAAACTAAACAGAAGAAGCGAAAAATCGACAAATTCAGAAGTTGAAAACTTAAAATGCAGAAAATAGGGAACTGAAGAAACGAAAAATTGAAAAATTCTAAATCGTAAAATTGTACAGACGAAAGTTTGAAAAATTCAGAAGTTAAGAAATCATAATTTTGAGAGTGAAAACTCGAATAATTGAACGAACGAAGAAACAAAAAAAATAAATTTTCTAGAAATTGGAAAATTCACAAGTTGGAAAATCGAATAACTGAATACTCAAAAAGTTAATGAGAAATGAAAAATTGAAAAATCTTGAAAAACGGAAAATTAAGAACTATAACTGAAGAACCGAGAAATTGAAACATTAAGAACTTGACAGCTCGAAAAATTGCAAATCGTAAAACTGAAGATACAAATATTTGAAAAATCAAAAAGATTAAAAATAAAAAATCGAAAACTGAAAACGAAAAATCGAAAATTTTGAAAAATCATCACGGGTGGATGGGCGGGCTTTATATTTTGCCTTTTCTCTTAATATGCATAGTATTCTTTGAATACCACGATACTCAAGAACATGTTTTTAATTTCTTGTAAAGAAATAAGTATTTTGCAGTTAAACTTCGCCACAATTGAGGTAGGGCGGGTGGGCGGGCTTATATTTTGTCTTTTTGTTTTACTATGTGTAGACTTCTTTTCACAACATGAAACTTAAAACACGGTTAAAATGGAAAATTTGTATAAGGAAATACCGATTTTAGATTAGGCTCCGCCCCATAATTCAGATTTCCGTGCAAAAATGTACCATTTTAACCATGTTTTAAGTTTCTTGTTGTGAAAAAATGGCTATGTATATTAAGAAAAAGATGGCCAAATATAATATGAGGGTTTCGGTGAACGGCAACGTCAGCGGCAAGTTTAGAAATCGACCGTAACTAAATAAACGGTTGGCAACCCTGTCACACTCACCGAAGGCCTTTGCGATGGCCACATTCCCCAGCACTCCAATCACGGGTACCAACACCACCGAAGTCCCCAAATCGGAAATCATGTCGCCAAAAGTGACCGTATGATTGTTGAGGGTTGTCTCAAAAGGTGGCGGCTTGAAGTCCGGAAGTCCCGGCCGCACAGTTCCGGTTAAGCGGAAGGGCGAAGAAGAAGTAGTTTCGTAGTAGTAGGCTGTGGCTGAACAAATGATGACGACTAGAGCGTTGCGGGAGGTGGAGACCAACCACAGGGTTTTGGCGACGACGCGCTGCTTTTTCGTAGGTTTGGTGTCCTTGGGGGTGGGTTTGTAATCCTTGAGTTTCTAGAATGGAAGGGTGTATGGATGGTTATTGTGATGAAGGGAACTAGATTTGGTGATTTTAGGGACTTTTGTAAAATGTTACCAAATATATCTTCGTGATACTTTGTTCTCTGGATCTAGATAGAGTAAATACAATGGAATTGAAACGTAGATCCGTATCACCACTTCAAAACATTTGTACCACTGATAAGATTAATTTAATTAGTAACCTATTTATTGAAAAATTGCCAACAAATTCATTAAAAAGTCAATGACATTCCGATGTCACTAAAGAAGCTCTGCATGACGTCAATGACGGCCCCTTCGAGCACGGTATCGCTGGTAACCAGCGTCATCAGGGTGGTAGCACTGGCAATCGAAGTCCAATCCACTCTCCTCAACGCCGACATCACCGAATCCGCAAGTTCCTGTCTTTGTGGCTCTGTCAAATCCTGCATCACCACTTCGATCGCCGATTTATATTTACCAGATCCCGAAATGCCGGCAAAGACGGCCGCTGCTACACCACCTAGTCGTGATTCAGCACGAATTTTCATCACAAAATTTAAGGTTATGTTAAATTTTTACCTACTGCTAATCCGCGCGGGCCGCCCAATAAACCACCCAACAAAGCACCAAGGCCGGTGATGGCAGCCCCCTTGAAACTTTCACTCACTGTGATTTTTAAGTCCCTGTGTTGGGACAGGAGCCCCACAAAACGCACAATTTCGCTTCGAGGAAGTGGCATGTTTACGTAACGAGAGTTGGACAGTGAGTGAGTCAGAGAGGGGGAATCCCTCGTTAAGATTATTGTATCTAATCGATGCGTGGTTTGTTTGGTAATTTGGTTATGATAAGATAAAACAAAATTAAAAATGTTGATGGGGCGTGGCTAATTTGCGCCAATAGTAATAAAGCCTCGACAAAGGGCGGCGCTTGAATTAACAATCTCCTTTGACTTACCCTCAATAACATCAGTACGGCGATGCAGACAAGCCCCAGCCCGAGATCCGCCATCCTCGTCTCCCTTACATGTTTAATAACTTTGGTAATGGTGTCCAAAAAACCGGACGAAGAGATTTTCAAACCCAACAGACTTTTCAGCTGAGAGGTCATTATTATCACAGAGGTCGCCGACGTGAAGCCCACGGTCACCGGGATGGAGATAAAATCGATAAGCACCCCTGAAACCCAGTCGTACCATAAGTGACTCCCAGTTTATCCCGTTTGTACCTAAATGCAATATGGCCATCACCAGCTGGACCACGCCGGTCAAGAAACACAACAGCATCGCGTAGTCCGTGTTTCGACCCGCGATTTGCTGGTACGTCATCAGGGCCATCAGCGCCGTGGGACCTATGGTGATGTCTTTGCACGTCCCGAAAATCGTGTAGACGAAACAACCCACGAAGGCGGAATACAACCCATACTGCAACAACAACATAAGAAATGCCAAGGTTTCGGTAGAAAACATCTCCACGCTTCGGTGGCTGTCGAAAGTCGTTACCTGGGGCTCTAATCCGGCGAGCGTGGCGTAAGCCAAGGCTTGGGGCATCACCGTGAGGCCCACGGTGATGCCGGCGATGGCGTCGCTGACGAGCTTCTCCGAGGTGTACGTGGGGGCCCAAGACAGAATAGGCACCCGCTGCACCAGCGTCGATTTCAGGTGCTTGACGATGGACATGGTTTAAGCTAGAACTGGACGTGGAGTTAGATAACGGGTTATGGGTGTGGGTCCCGACGTGACTGGGTTAGCAATGGGGGACGAATTTTTCGATAATTAGTTGTAAAAGTGAAAACTGAGATGACTTTCACTTTGAGGTTAAAGTTCGGGAGATTAGGTAGTTTTGGAAGGTGGGTCGGGTTTGGTTATTTAATGGGTGACACGGTCAGAGGAATGACCGAGACATTGGGATTGTTTATGTGCGATAAAAATATTTATTCCCGGAAATTATCGTCGGAGATTAGTCACAATTTGACTTTTGACTTCGGAGTAATTTTATCTTATTTGTACGCGAATTTGTTTGTGGTATGGATTACGCGCATTTTTGATATTTTTATGCAATTAAGATTTTACTTTTTTAATATTTAAAATTCAAATAAAATTTAAGTGGTGACGTCACGGGCCTGATCTTTTCGATTGGCACCCACATTTTGGCGGAAATTTCAAAACAATAAATATATATATATATTATTTTTTTTATGGTGCAACTTAAAATTTTTAGTGATTTCGTTATAAAACACACCTACTCACTTTTGTTATCACTTTCCAGATTTCAAAACACCGTTAAGTCACTCAACTATACAGCAAGAACCCAAAATAAGCTAACAACCAAACAAATGTAAGTGCACGCCGGGAGACAAGGTCTTAAAGTTAAACGATTTGAAATCACGTGCAATTAAGTAGCTAATATCCCTCTCTACTTCTCTCTTCTTTATGGACCACTTTTTAATTTCCGCTGTGCGTTTAGATCGTACTTGAACGTAATGTTCAATTGACAGGAAACAGTTTTGACGTGCACTGTATTTCCAAAGTGAAATATATTTAATTTTTTATCATAATTGTTTAATTAATATATAGTGTCCTTGAAAAACTAAAACCTTTTTCGACCTTATCGCCTATGACTAATCACCATTGCAAATAATAACACGTTTATTATATATCTGACAAAAAACTCAAACATGAGCGACTTTTTTCAAAATTACCGCAAAAATGTCTTACGTCACCCCGACAAACAACCAATCCGACACGGCTGCCACTTAACCAAGCGACTTAAGTAAGTAGAAAAAATCACTTACCGCAGCAGAGGACTTAGCTGTGTCTAAGACTTATGTTTTCTCACTTGTCGTCGTTTCGCCTTCACCTTCCGCATTTTTATGTCATTTCTTATCACACGCTCAAAAATAAACTTTCTGTTGATATGAAATTGCCATTGTTTTTAAAAAATTTATTAACACGTTTTCACATAAAGAGTAATAAATATGTTAATGTTTTATATCACAATTGTTAATTAACGTGGCCAAAGCTACAGCTGTGTGCTCGTGTTGTCTTTATTCTCGATGTTTATTTCCACGTTCCCTGTCGGCTGTTCGTGCTCTGAAACGTCAAAGTTGTCATCAGTGCTGCCATCTGACGAAATCGATAACTGGGTCAACGTACGGTGATTCCGGTCAGGGACGGTTTCAGTTAGATTGTTGACAAAGTGTCAAGTGCATTTCCGTTTCGCTGACTACGACTACCGTGTTGGGAAATAGATAATTAAGTATGAAAGGTGACAGTGTTGAAATTGCGATTTTTGCCAAGTTTGGTACTTTGCTAATCTATTTGTAAGTTATGTTTCTGATCACAATCAGTCATTGGGTTGTTTATGTGTGTTTTTACTTCCCGAGCGTAAGCAAAGGAAGTATTGTAATCGAGTCCGTCGGCCGACTCTCTACTTTTACGTTTTCTCGATCTTTCATGACCCCTAGAAGACGAAGAAATAGGTCTCCCATTTCCGTCTGTCTGTCCGTCTGTCCGTCCGTCTGTCCGTCTGTTGTCCCGGATTTTTATTAGACAGATAATCTCCGAAAGTACTCGACCGATTGTTGTGAAATTTTGTACTTATATTAAGAATATCATGTAGATGGTAAAACGCTAACCAAAATTTGTCTAATCATCCCCACCACTAATGCGATGACGTCACTTCAAAATTGTACATAGTAAATGGGTTTTCAATTGTATAAAATAACATAGTCCTACACATGTAGTTTACAACTCTGAATCGACTTTTCACCCGAAACGTCCAGATTTTTGGAAAAAAAATCAAAATTATAAAACATTTTGAAATTTATTTTTAATCTGCTAACCAGAATGCTTCGAAATGTTGCAGATGTTTTAAGGCTATAAAGAGCATCATAAATCTTTAGTCAAAAAATATTTGCTTATCCCCTCCAAAAACTTGATGACGTCAGCTCAAAAGTTTGTGGAATAAATCATATCTAAAATGTACAAAATATGATGAGTCTGTACTTGTGATCTATCACTCCATTCATATTTTTTGGATTTGCATATACAGGGTGACTCAAAAAAATTAATGAATGCGTAAATATATTTTATTGATTTAATCAGGAACTACAAAACCGAATGCTCTGAAATCTTGCAGATGTTTTAAGGTCATAAAGAGCATAATAAATGTTTAGTCAAAATATATTTGCTTATCCCCTCCAAAAACTTGATGACGTCAGCTCGAAAGTTTGCCGAATAAATCATATCTAAAATGTACAAAATATGATGAGCCTGTACTTGTCATTTATCACTCCATTCATATTTTTTGGATTTGCATATAGAGAGTGACTCAAAAAAATTAATGAATGCGTAAATATATTTTATTGATTTAATCAGGAACTACAAAACGGAATGCTCTGACATCTTGCAGATGTTTTAAGGTTATAAAGAGCATAATAAATGTTTAGTCAAAATATATTTGCTTATCCCCTCCAAAAACTTGATGACGTCAGCTCGAAAATTTGCCGAATAAATCATATCTAAAATGTACAAAATATGATCAGTCTGTACTTGTGATTTATCACTCCATTCATATTTTTTGGATTTGCATATACAGGGTGATTCAAGAAAATAAATTAAAGCGTAAATTTATTTTACTGATTTAATCAGGAACTACAAAACCGAATGCTTTGAAATCTTGCAGATGTTTTAAGGTTATAAAGAGCATAATAAATTTTTAGTCAAAATATATTTGGTTATCTTCTACAAAAAACTGATGACGTCAGCTCAAAAGTTTGCCGAATAAATCGTATCTAAAATGTACAAAATATGATGAGTCTGTACTTGTGATTTATCATTCCATTCATATTTTTGGATTTGCATATGCAGGGTGACTCAAAAAAATTAATGAAGGCGTGAATTTATTTTATCGATTTAATTAGGAATTACAAAACCGAATGCTTTGAAATCTTGGGAATATTTTAAAGTTATTATAAGCATGGTAAACTTTTGTTGAAAATGTATTTGTTCATCCCTCCTAAAAAAATTGATGACGTCACCCTTAAATTTTGCTGAATAAATCCTATCTAAAATGCAAAAAATATGATGATTTTGTACTTGTGATTTATCATTCCATTCATATTTTTTAGATTTTCTTAAGAGGTGGTTCAAAAAAATTAATGAAGTCAATTTATTTTATTGATTAAATTAAAGGCAACACTTATTATTAGTATTACACCTCAACCAACCCAATTTGGTAGACACAAAATTTGTTAAAGGAAAAACTCGGTTGAAACATAAGGGTAGCACGCTTATTTACATCGACTTTAACATTACAGACCTGCATTTGTTTTATGCGATCACTTGGTTCCGCGAATGTGAAATAGACATGTTTATAATCAACCAATTGTGAATTTCACCGTCAAGAATTAAAATAAAACCCAATGTTTTATATAATAAGCGGAAGTCGAAGCAATAAAACCGATGGTCGTTTTGTTTACAGTTTCTCTGTTTGACTCTCACGTATGCTGTTACGCTTGTCATCTTAAATTAAGAATGTTTATACATAAACGATTTTCAGTTGCCGTATAGGTGAGTAAATTGTTTCGTTATTTTATTGATTATAAAAATTCAATATTCAAAACGACCCAATTCATTTTCCCGAAAATTTGGGATTACAATAATTTTATTCTTAGTATTACACTACATCTATCCCAACTGATATACGTGTCCTTGCAAAAATGTTGACGTCATCGCAATTTTTTTTAAATTCCCACTACAAAAATGTAATGAGAAAAAAACACAATAGCCATGCAGTCGTCAAGTTTCCGACAGCGAGGGAAGTACTGTCTAAACTCTTTAGACCAATTTTTTATTGTTAATACGACTACTATTAACGTGACTAGAAACAATAACTTTTTAACTTTTTGAAAAGATTAATGACCCTTGGTGCGTTTGTTATATTTACAACTAACCTTTCAGAAAATTGAATAAAGCGTCTTCTGATTGGGCTACTTTGGCCCCGCCCTCCGTCACTTTCGTCAGAATTTTACCAACGGATTTTTTAGGCCGGTAGAAAATTACCTGTTTATTCACTTTCTTGAAGTCGGAAATGAATGCCGATAAACACTAAAAAATCGATGTGTAAGTTTTAAAGGGGGCGTGGTTTAGCGGCACCAATAGAGTCCACATGTGTCTCTAGCTCCGCCTCTTAAATGCGTTCATACCTTTGCTGCTGTAAAGTCCATCCTGTTTATCCTTTGGCAGTCAAAAACGACAACGGTAAAAACTTGCGTTTCCTTGCTCTTCATAATTTTCTCCCTTACGAATTCGGCGGATGGAAACAAAATGGCCGCCGTTGGGGTCACTTTGACATAATTGGCGCCATTTTCGTTCTACATTTGTCAAAATTAGTACAAGAATGTCGCAAATGAAAAATTACCATTTTTTCAATTAAGACTTTGGGTCTGGCAGCCCCATACAGTACGAATATTATGTCAACGCACACCCCGACCAAAATCCCTATTTCTATACTAAGCAGCAAGCAGGCCGCCAACGTTACGAAAAATGGCACCAAATCCATTTCTACAAACATAAAATCAACAACAAATTTTAAACCGGAAGAAAACGCACTATTAATTTCCCAAATCATCTTCGTTAGTGTCACTTCCACCATAAAAATGACAGCGCAAATAATAACCGCTGCCAAAGTAGGCTTCGGAATGTAGGAGAAATAAGGCGTGAGAAAAGTCAGCGCTAAAAGCACCATCACACCGGTGTAAATCCCAGCTAAAGGTGTCCTCACACCGCTCGCGTTGCTCACAGCCGCCCTCGAAAACGACGCATTCACGGGGTACGACCCAAGGAACGAGCCAATCAGATTGCACATCCCTACCGCAATCATCTCCTGTGACGCGTCGATGACCTTGCCCTTAGCTACAACCACAATTGTACACAAGTCATCAAAAAACTGTAACCTACCGAAAGCTTTCGCAATGGCGACGTTCCCCAAAATGGCGACGAACGGTATAACGAAAACCCCCGCTCCCACTTCCTTCATCATATCCACCACCGTCAGAGTCTCGTTCCTGATGACCATTTCAGCCATGGGGTTGGTCAGACTGGGCAAGCCTTCCGGTACTTTCGCTATAAGAATGAACCCAATTCAAATATTTTCAAAATTTCGCACACGTACCCACAAGTTAGCGAAAACGGCGCCGGGAGGAAGTAGGCGATGAGCGCGCACGTGATCACGACGAAGGCGTTCCTGGCCACCGAGCAAAACCAGATGAGTTTTTTGATTGGGGAGGAGGCGGTTTTTTCGGAGTGGGGGCCGTCGAGGGGCGGGGTTCCGAAGTCCTTGAGTTTCTGCAAGAGTGAGGTTAGGTGGAGGTGATTTAGGGGGTGGGGGTGGTACCCGCATTGAGAGGAGGACCAGGCAGCAGGCGAGGCCGAGCAAGGCGTCCCATTTGTTGGTTTCGGGGATGTGGTGGAAGACTTTGGTCCAGACGTCGGTGAAGGTTTCAGCTGAGAATTTTAAGCCGAGGAGGTTTTTAACTTGGGAGGAGGCGATGGTGAGGGCGCCGGCGGAGGTGAAGGCGGCCACGACGGGGGTGGAGACGAAGTCTACCAGGAAACCTGCGGTCAAATATTATTTAGTGTGTTTTGGTCTAGGGACTTTTTAATTTAACCAACTAGTTACCTAGATGCAGTCCTCCACAAAGCAGTTCGATGATTCCGGACACGAAACAAAGAAGAATTGATGCTCGGACGTTGCCAAAAGTGACGTTGTGGGTGAAAGTGAAGGTCAAAAGGGACAAAAGGGCGGTTGGTGCTATGTTTAGTTCCGGGATGCTGCCAAAAGCGACGTAGATGAAGCCTCCACACAGAGAAGAATAAAGTCCATACTAAATAAAAACAAAAATTATGTAGCGGCAACCAGCAATACACCAACATTGGTTAAACATCTGTATTTTGGGTTGCCTACGTCTGCTCTAACGTTTCAGAATAAATAAACAAAAGTGATCAGTATTTAGATTATGCATTGAATACATTAATAAAATCTTTCGTTTTATTTATATAAAGGATGATCGCAAAAATCGCCGTTACCATGTTTTTGGGTCAAGTAAACAACCGCAGTTTATCATCTGACAACTGTTTGAATCAAAGTTATCAGAAGAATGCTAATTCCATTAACCTTTAGCTTATCACTTGCTGAAGCATGGGAAAGTGTGACAAGGTATTTAAGGTGGATTTACAAACTTGACGTTGACGTTGTCGTTGGGTTTTTAACCAATCAAATTACGGTAGTGTGCAGTGCTGCCAACCTGAATGAAAATCCTCTGAAGTACTAAAAAAAGGCAAAATATAAGCCCGCCCACCCACCCTATCTCAATTGTAATGACTTTTTTTATTCGCCGTGGACCAAGGGGGTGGAGCTTAACTGGAGACTACTTATTTCTTTACAAGAAATTAAAAACATGTTTTTGAGTACCGTGTTGTTCAAAGAATACTATGCATATTAAGAGAAAATTAAAGCCAAAGGTTAAGCCCCGCCCACCCACCCTATCTCAATTGTGATGATTTTTTTTTCTTAGAAACCTAAAACACGTTTAAAATGGCAAATTTTTGTAAGGAAATAAGGATTCCCGACGAATAAAAAAAATCATCACAATAGACATAGGGTGGGTGGGCGGGCTTTCATTTTGCCTTTTTGTTTGAATATGTGTAGACTTCTTTCCTTACAAAAATGTACCATTTTCACCATGGTCTAAGTTTCTTGTTGCGAAAAGATGGCTATGTGTTAAGAAATTAAGAAAACAAAGGCAAAATATAAGCCCCGCCCACCCGCCCTATCTTTAGTCTGATGACTTTTTTTATTCGTCGTAAGCCGAGGGCCGGAACTTAAAAGCAAAAATTGAATTTCCATGGTAGGTAAGTACATTATTTAAGTGTTAGAAAGTAATACAGTCCTGAACTTGTGGTTTATGAATGCGTGTCGAATTTTTATCCTAGACGTGGAAATTTTTGGAAAAAAATCAAAATTGTAGATACAACATATTCGATTTTTCGACATTTCAGTTTTTCGATTACTGAATTTTTCCCTATTTTAGAGTTGGGATTTTTCGGTTTTTCGATTCTCAATTTCTCCATTCTTCGAATCTGCCCACCCGCCCTATCTCAATTGGGATGATTTTTTTATTCGCCTTGAACCAAGGGGGTAGAGCTTAACTGCAAAATACTTATTTCTTACATGGTAATTTCTTGTAGAGAAATTATACAAATTTTGCAATTAAATTCCGCCCTTTTGGCTCTCGACGATTAAAAAAAAATCATCACAATTGAGATAGGGTGGGTGGGCGGGGCTTATATTTTGCCTTTTTTCTTAATATGCATAGTTGTCTTTTCAGAACAACAAATTTAAAACATGTTTAAAATGGCAAATTCTTGTAGACCAATATGATCTTGCAATTAAGCCCCGCCTAATCAAAAAGCCGAAAAGTCCAAAAATCGAAAAATTGAAATGCCCAAACATCGAAAAGTAATAAAATGAAAAATCAAAAATTTTAAAATTGAAAAACTGAAAATTAGAAATTTTGAAGAACTGAAAAGTCGAAAAATCGAGACTTCCAGGAATTGAAAAAATTTAAATTTTAAAAATTGAAAAATCAAAAAGTCGAAAAATCAGAAAATTGAAAAAACGAGTTGGCGAGACATCAAAAAATCGAGAAATTTAAACGAAAAATTGAAACATCGAAAAACCGAGAAATCGAAAATTCAAAATTTAAAAAATCGAAAAATTGAAAAATCGGAAAATTGAAGAATCGAAAAACTGGAAAATCGAGATTTTAAAAAATTGGAAAATCAAAAAGCCGAAAAGTCCACAAACCGAAAAATTGAGAAATCGAAATGGCCCAACATTGAAAAATTATAAAATTGAAAATTTTTAATTAAAAAAATGATATATCAAAAAAAATTAAAAATCCAAACATCGAAATTTCGATAAATGGAGAAATAAAAAATCAAAAATTTTCAAAACCGAAAAATTGAAAATTAGAAATCTCGAATAACTGAAAAGTCGAAAAATCGAGACTTCCAGAAATCGAAAAAATTTTAAATTTTAAAAAGTGAAAAATTTTAATTATGGAAAATTCTATATCGAGAAATCGATATCGAAAAATAGAAGAATCGACATATTGAAAAATCCCAAAACCGAAAAATCAAAACATTGAAAAGTCGGGAAATCAAGAAACAGGATATTCAAAATCTACAATTTAAAAATCGAAAAATTGAAAAAACGAAAAGTCGTAAAGTCAAAAAGTTGAAAAATTGAAAAGTTATAAAATTGAAATTAAAAAAAAAGATACGTTAAAAAACCAAAAAATCTAAAACCGATAAGTCGAAAAATCGAGAAATTGAAATATCTAAACACTGAAAAATGTAAAATTTAAAAATTCGAATAATTGGAAATATCGAAGAACTGAAAATTTTAAAAATTGAAAAATTAAAACATTGAAAAATAGAAGAAACATCAAAGAATCAAAAAATTGAAAAATCCCAAATATGAAACATCGAAAAAAATTTTAAAAATTGAAAAATTCAACAATTGAAAATCAAAACATTGAAAAGTCGAGAAATCAAAAAATCGATTAATTGGGAAATTACGAAATCAAAATTTTCAAGTATAGAAACGTCAAAAATTGAACAACCGAAAAATCGTAAAATCGTAAAACTGAAACAGGGGGAAATGAAAAATTGAGAAATCGAAGATTTGAAGAATGGAGAAATTGAGAATCGAAAAACCGAAAAATTCCAACTCTAAAATAGGGAAAAATTCAGTAATCGAAAAACTGAAATGTCGAAAAATCGAATATGTTGTATCTACAATTTTGATTTTTTTCCATAAATTTCCACGCCAAGGACAAAAATTCGACACGCATTCATAAACCACAAGTTCAGGACTGTATTACTTTCTAACACTTAAATAATATACTTACCTACCATTGAAATTCAGTTTTTGCTTTTAAGTTCCGGCCCTCGGCTTACGACGAATAAAAAAAGTCATCAGACTAGAGATAGGGCGGGTGGGCGGGGCTTATATTTTGCCTTTTTTCTTAGTATGCATAGTCGTCTTTTCAGAACAACAAATTTAAAACATGTTTAAAATGGTAAATTCTTGTAGACAAATATGGGCCTTGCAATTAAGCCCCGTCTAATCAGAAAGCCAAAAAGTCCAAAAATCGAAAAATTGGGAAATTGAAATGTCCAAACATCGAAAAGTAATAAAATGAAAAATCAAAAATTTTAAAAATTGAAAAACTGAAAATTAGAAATTTTGAAGAACTGAAAAGTCGAAAAATCGAGACTTCCAGGAATTGAAAAAATTTAAATTTTTAAAATTGAAAAATCAAAAAGTCGAAAAATCAGAAAATTGAAAAAACGAGTTGGCAAGACATCAAAAAATCGAGAAATTTAAACGAAAAATTGAAACATCGAAAAACCGAGAAATCGAAAATTCAAAATTGAAAAAACCGAAAAATTGAGAAATCGAAATGGCCCAACATCGAAAAGTTATAAAATTGAAAATTTTTAATGAAAAAAATGATATATCAAAAAAATTGAAAAATCCAAACATCGAAATCTCGATAAATGGAGAAATAAAAAATCAAAAATTTTAAAAACCGAAAAATTGAAAATTAGAAATCTCGAATAACTGAAAAGTCGAAAAATCGAGACTTCCAGAAATCGAAAAATGTAAAATTGAAAAATCGAAAAAACGAGAAGTCGAAACATCAAAAAAACGAAAGATTTTACGAAAAACTGCAAAATCGAAAATCCAAGAATTCGAAAACCCAAAATTTAAAAAATCGGAAAATTAAAGAATTGAAAAACTGAAAAATCGAGATTTTGAAAAATTGAAACATCGGGAAATTGAGAAATCAAAAAAAAAAGTTTTAAAATTCAAAATTTTAAATCTATAAATCAAAAACTTGGAGAAACTGAAAAATCGTACAATAAAAAAATCGAAACATCGAAGTCTCGATAAATCGTGAAATCGAAAAACTGAAAAATAAATAATCAAAAAATTTAAAAAATTTAAAAAAATAATCGAAGAACTCAAAAGTCGAAAAATCGAGACTTCCAGAAATCGAAAAAATTTTAAATTTTAAAAAGTGAAAAATTTTAATTATGGAAAAATCTATATCGAGAAATCGGTATCGAAAAATAGAAGAATCGACATATTGAAAAATCCCAAAACCGAAAAATTAAAACATTGAAGAGTCGGGAAATCAAGAAACAGGATATTCAAAAAATCTACAATTCAAAAATCGAAAAATTGAAAAAACGAAAAGTCGTAAAGTCAAGAAGTTGAAAAATTCAAAAGTTATAAAATTGAAAGTTTGAAATTAAAAAAAAAAGATCTTGCAATTAAGCCCCGCCTCTTGATCCGACAACGAATGAAAAATTCATCACAATTGAGAATTGAGATCTGGGTGGGTATGGGTGGGGCTTAATCTTTGGTTTTATTTCTTTCTTAATATACACATAGTATTCTTTGAACAACACGATGCTCAAAAATATGTTTTTAATTTCTCGTAGAAAAATAAGGATTTTGCATTTAAGTTTCGCCTTCTTGGCTCACGACGAATAAAAAAAAAATCACCACAATCGAGAAGGGTGGGTGGGCGGGGCTTATATTTTGCTTTGTTTTCTTAATATAGATAGCCATTTTTTCACAGCAAGAAACTTAAAATATGGTCAAAATGGTACATTTTTGCAAGGAAATATGGATTTTGGAATTATGGGGCGGGAGCCAATTGCAAAATCGATATTTCCTTATACACATTTTCCATTTTAAACATGTTTTAAATTTATGTTGTGAAAAGAAGTCTACACATACTAAAACAAAAAGGCTAAATCTAATCCCGCCCACCCACCCTATCGCAATTGTGATGATTTTTTTATTCGCCGTAAACCAAGAGGGCGGGGTTTAAAACTGCAAAACACTAATTTTTTTAGATGACATTAAAAACATGTTTTTGAGCATCGTGTTCAAAGAATAGTAAATATATTAAGAAAAAGAGGCAAAATATAAACCCCGCCCACCCACCCCATGTCAATTGTCATGATTTTTTTATTCTTCGAAACTTAAAACACGTTTAAAATGGTACATTTTTGTAAGGAAATATGGATTTTGTAATTAGGCTCCGCCCCTGGGTCTGCCAGCGAATGAAAACTTCATTACTATTTAGATCAGGGCAGGTATGGGTGGGGCGTAATTTTTGGCTTTAATTTTTTCTTAATATACATAGTATTTTTTGAATAACACGATACTCAAAAATATGTTTTTAATTTCTGGTAGAAAAATACGGATTTTGCAGTTAATATCCGCCTTCTTGGCTCACGACGAATAGAAAAAAATCACCAGAATTGAGATAGGGTGGGTGGGCGGGGCATACATTTTGCCTTTTTTTGTCATATGTGTAGACTTATTTCGAAACTTAAAACATGTCTACAATGGTAAATTTTCGTAGTAATCAACGGAGTTTATAAATGACAATTTTCAGCTCTAAAAGCAACGTCAGACATTTTAGAAATTTTGGGGTGCCTCTGGGACTCACCATATTCAACGAATTTGATGATTGAGCAAGTAACTAATTTACTATTGATAGTAACATTGATACATACGTATGTAATAAAAAAAAATGTTATGTAATTGTGCCTTTGGGTTGGCCCACCTGTTACACACCCCAAAAATTCGGACAGTCATTATTTCCCAATTCTCATTTGTTTAACACTTTCCCCAAATATTGTCAAGTCATAACGAGTCAATTTCGTATCCCCTCAAGCAAAACCGACATCACTCAAACATCCTCCAATTATTTACCTCGGTAAATAATAATTTCAAGCCTTGACAGTAACTAATCAAGTATTGTTAAGGTGAAGGTTCGCATCTGAAGTTATTAATTTTTTACTTACTTCTGGTCCTAATCCCGCCAAGGAAGCATAAGCGATACATTGCGGAATCAAGGTCAAACCAATGGTGATTCCCGCCACCAAATCCGCTATAGCTATATCCACATTGTAGCCTTTGGACCATGTCAAAATCGGAAATCCCCTTCGCACTCTTTCAGACAGCTTCAACATCATCATGCCGACTTAAGTGGATAACGACTGCGATTACGTTAATTGTTGAGGAATTAATCAGATCCGGCTGCAAAGTAGAGACGAGAGACGCGTTCGGAAGACGCTCGCTGCGCTCGCTCTACACAATAACCGATTTTAGCGCGATTTTTGGTTATATCAACACAAAAACTGCATACCTGTACCGCTGTAGCACTGAACCTTGACTGCTGAAAGTACCACTGAATGTATCACTCACTATCGTACCAGCACTTTTCTATATATCGCGAGCTTAATTAGCCTTATTATCGAAACTCTGCAAACTATGATTCAGTTCGTAAATAGCTGGATAATATGCACACGAGCCACCACCAGCGAATCGTCTCTTCGATCTGAATTTATAACAACACCCGAAGGTTCTCGCTATTTTACGGACACCACAGTCACACTCAGTGTATTTTGCCGTCAAAAACGATGCAATTATTGTAGAGCGATTACATTGACCAATGGCCTTCTTCACTGACAAGGTAACGAGTACGATTTTTTCGTGGTCTCGTCAGCTGTTATGTAATTGTGTTGTAGTTTCTTCGAATTAATTCAATTTGGTTGGGCGAGCTGGCGTTGATGTATTGTGTTTGCCCAGCAATATATCACAACAGACAGAATTTTTATTATTATTATTATAATTACAAGATAGTAAATATACAGATTTTTGTCTTCCGAAAATGAATTAGTCCATCTTCCTAGAACCCAGCGGAGTTATCACAACGAAAAAGTGTTAAAATTAGAACCTATTGTATCGAGTATATTTCATTTAGTCTCTCCGAAGGTCGATCTGCAACGAACCAAAACAAAAAATGACGAAGTTCAGTGGAAAAACAGCATCAACCCTGATACTACTAATCCATTTATTGATTTTTAATTAAAACCTCATTACCTTGAATTACATCTTCCACTCCTCCTGATCTGAAGCAGGTTTTCAGTTTTTTGTCGACGCCTATGCACAGATCTTGTATGGAATGTTGGAAGTTTATGAAGACGATTTTTTGGTTTCTGAGTTCGAGGTCTTGGACGACTAGCGCGATGGCCTGGAAGCTTCCGTACGGTAATTGTAATTTAGTAATTAAATTTACCTTGACGACTGTTACATCGAAATAGTGGACAAATTTTCCGTCTAATATTATTAGAGGCGCTTTTTCGCACTTCAAAATCACGTTTCGTAAATAGTCGGCTCCTGGAAAATAGATGTTTGGAAGTGTAATTAACAACACTTCTTCGTAATTAAGCGTAATTGTTTGTAATCTAATTAGGGGTCGAGCGGTTCGGTATAGTACGAAGCTCAAGTGAGTACCGATTCCGATGAGAATTCCGTATTCCAAACTAATAAAAAGGGAGCTCATCAAAGTTGCCAAAAAAGGCACCAAGTCGATTTCTACAAACACGAAAATAGAGTCGTTCAGGACGGTCACACACGTACTTTTGTGTCTCCACAGTGTGGCCAACGCTTCAAAATCAAACAAGTAAAACATAGCGCAAATAATAACAGCTGAAAGAGTCGCTTTCGGGATGTAGTAGAACGTGGAGGTCAAAAATGGCAGGCTTATCAAGATGGCGACCCCCGTGAAGACCGCCGCCATGTTGCTTTTGGCACCTGATGCGTTATTGACAGCTGTACGTGTAAAGGAACCCGTGACTGGCATAGATTGGACGAAAGCCCCCATTACATTGGCGATACCCAGGGCTACCAATTCCTGACTTCCGTCTAGAGGTGTCCCTTTGGCTAAATTTTCACTAAAAACGGGATACAATGCTTGTCACTTACAGAACACTTTCGCGATTGCAATTGTTTCCAAGATGGCGACTAAAGGGATGAATAAAATGGATACGTTGTAGCTGTTAACACAGTCGAGGAAATTCACACTCGTGGGAATTTCAAAATGGGGGATACCCCCATCAACACTACCCGTCAGCTGCAAATAGTGCAAATTTTTGCTCTCGAGATAGTAAGCCAAAATAATTCCAAACGTCACCACGATCGCATTTTTAGCAACCGACACAAAGAAAACTATTCTAAACAAAACGACTTTCTTCCGTGAGGTTTGTTTCTTCGCACTGACAGTCCCGATTTCCTGCAACTTTCGCTGTATTGTTTGCTACGTACACACGATTACTTATACTTACTTTCAAAACAAATAGAAATAGTAGCGACATGGAGCTTAAAATGGTGTCCCATTTACTAATTTTGTCGACTTCGGAAATCACGCTGTTCCACGACTGCAAAAACCCGTTCGCTTGTCCTCTTATTCCTAGGAAATTCTTGATTTGCGACGACGCAATTGTCATTGCTGCCGCAGAAGTAAACCCTGACATCACGGGGTACGAGAAAAATTCAATCACGACACCTGTAATACACTTTCAAGGTCAGGGTGCTATAGCTAACCCACATACCGCCTAGGTTCACCAGTCCTAGGAAAAAAATTATCGTGCCGCCCACCAAGGACATGAAAATGCTGGCGTTGACGCCCAGCGCGCCCACGTAGGGTTGGATCAAAAGGGCCATGATGGACGTGGAGCCCATGTTGATGGCCCTGCAACTACCAAAAACGGCGTAGACGAAGCCGCCCATGAAACTGCTGTAGAGACCGTATTGTAGAGGGAGACCTATAGTAACTTTGTATTTTTAGGGAGTTTTGTGTGGTGTTGTAGTACCTGCAATTCCCGCATAGGCGATTGATTGCGGGATTTCGGTTAAAGCTACAGTCAATCCGGCGAGGAGGTCATGGAGAAGACTTTTCGTGTTGTAGTTGGGTAGCCACGACGTTATGGGGACTTTTCGCTTGATTGTGGCCCTCCAGTCACAAGACGATTTAAATTGCGCGCTGGAGATTTCTATTGGACAATGCAACAACAGCGTCAGCGATCTTTGGTTTATACGTCAGTGGTGACAGATTTTCAAAAATGAGCAGCATTTTTTTATTAATTGCGTCATTATGCAACTACTATAGTGTGTGAAGGTTGAAACAGATCGTGTTTTTGTGTTTTAAATTACGTTTTTTAGCACTATGGTGACTTAAAAGCCGACTTATAAAAGTGAGGTTATGAGTCTATTTTCACAAATTAAGGTGAGTTGCCCGGTTTTTTTAGTGCGTCAGACGATTTTTGGCTGAATCGGAGCTTTATTTTGTTTTTTTGTTATAATAAAAATAAAAATAATAGAATCCGTGTGACAGTTAAGACGTCACGTGACTACACTGTTAAATTCAAATAAGTGGTGTGTTTACCTGTCGTTTCTTTTTTATTTGACGCGAATTCCGCCACACTGACCATTTCCATTTTCCTTCGTTCCACTAGACGCACTAAAAGCGATTTATCATTCGCAAACATTGTCTTTATAAGTGTCTTCATTTTTTTGTGGGAACGAGTGGAAATAGGAGTCTGAGTTAATGGGAACATAATAGAGCACTTCACCTAATTGTGTGTAAACAATTGGGTTAATGGATTTGTAAACAGATTTTTCAACAAGTTTTATTTTTTGTAAAAATGACTCTAGAGTCAATAAATTACGCTATCACAATTGACTCATCTGAAAATAATACAACTTGTACTTTTATTACGATACTGAAGTTCATTTTTACCTCGTAGAACAGTTTTATAATCTTCGTCACTGAAAAAATGGTCTTCCATATTCTTGTTTACCCCTATACACATATTTTTGATCGATTCTTTGAAATTCCAGAGGACGACTTTGCGATTTTTCATCACTAGTTCGTCCGTGAGATTCGTGACACCCTTAAATTGTAGAACTTGACCCACTGGAGTCAGTTGTACCGACTATACTTACCCTAGCCACTGTGATATCCATGCTCCGTATATACTTGCCATTAATCACGACAGTTACATTGTCTCCTTCAAACTCCACCACTTTATCCCGTAAATACTCAGCTGCGGGGAAGTACAAAGTGTGTCTAGGAGTAACCACATAAACGTCGCTCCCACAATCCACCTCTTTCGTTACAGTGAATTTCGGGCGCGCGTTTGCGTACAAAACAAACAAGCAATTGAAGCACGCCCCAACCAGAATACCGTAGTCAGTACCGAAGAACAACCCGATGACGAAAGTGACCGAAAACACCAGCAGATCCAACTCTATAAATAAAACATGTTCAAGAATCAAAATCTGTGTTTCCTTTTACTTTTAAATTTCCAAAACAAAATCATCGCTTTGAGCTCAAACAATGACATCAGTGCGCTTATTAAAATCGCCGCTAGAGTGGCTTTCGGTACGAAACGGAACGCCGAAGTCAAAAACGCTATAGCTAGAAGTAGTACCAGCGACGTGAACACGCCACCCATCGTGGTCTTAACACCCGACGCGTGGTTTATCGTGCTTCTGGAAAAACTTCCAGTCACTGGCATCGAGCCCACGAACGAACCAACCAAGTTGCAGAAGCCGATGGCTATCATTTCTTGCGTACCGTCGATCCTTTTGCCTTTACCTGAAAATATACATTGCGAGACTTCGTTTTGTAGTAGGTGAATAATTACTGAAAGTTTTGCTCAACGTTAGTTCTTCTAGTATCGATATGAGTGGTATAAACATCAACGTGATATTAAAAACGGAAAGAAGATCCCCGAAACTGTAGTAAGTACCGTTGAAGGTGGTACTGAACGAAGGCGCTTGCAACGTGGGGAAACTATCAGCGACTTGACCCGCGGTTTTGAAAGGGGGGTCTTCACGAAAGTAGTACGCGATTGAGGTTCCAATGACCAGAATTATAGCACTTCGGGCTAAATATAGCCCAAATATGAATTTCCCGAGGAGGTTTCTTCGTTTGGACCAGTCTGGGCGGTCGTGTAAGGTTCCAAAAACCCCGACTCCCTAAAACGTTACAGTAGCATCTAGTAAAACACTCAAAAGACGTACTTTTAACACTAGAAGAGCCACGAGAGACGTAACTCCGAGAATGGTGTCCCATTTTCGCGTTTCGTAGATTTGGTTGACAATGGTACTACAATTATCGATGACACCGTTACTCTTGCTTGTCAAACCCAGGATATTTATAACTTGACCTAGAAATATTTGGATGACGCCTGAATTAATGAAGCCTGTGATCACAGGGTAGGAGAAGAAGTTGATTAGGAAACCTACAACCACGATTTAGTAACTACAATAGTAACCGAGAGTTAGTCGTACCTAGTTGCATGATTCCGAGTGCTAAGACTATAACTCCTGAAAGAAAAGTCAACAGGATGGCGGCTTGAGGGCCTGCCTGTAACACTGAAGACTGTATTAGTAACGACAGGAGGGACCCGGGACCGACGTTTATGTCTTTGCACCCTCCTAGAATGGCGTAGATGAAACCATCTGCCAGACCCGAAAACAGGCCGTACTGAGGAGGTAATCCTAATAAAATAATTATAAAAAAAGTTATAGTACGACGAAAGTGGTACCTGCAATGGCTGCATAAGCTATTCCTTGCGGTATTTCAACCATGGCAACTGTTAATCCGGCTATAAGATCTTGCACAAAAGTGGAGAACGTGTATTGGGGTAACCATGTTGTGATGGGGAGTCTCTGTCGTACCAACTTTTTGTAGTTTATTTTCGATAGTACCCTTTTTGGAAAAACTGAAACACTGTTTGTAGTACGACAGTTCAACTGCGCGTTTTCTTTCGTACCCATCATTATTGAAGTTGGTACGTTTTTGACTAGTTTTTACCTCGATGAATTGTTATCTACGAACACGTGAGGTCGTTTTGATAATTATACTACTTATAAATAATTACAATAATTAACATTGTGCGGTTTATGGTACGGGATTAGTCTGTCTGTACCAAATAAAGGTTGTAAAGGTAAGATTAAGAACGTCTGAGTACAAATATTTTTCTTTATTTTTTTTTTTGTTTTTGGGTTATCATAACTGGGATATTTCAGAAGTTACAATTAAGTCAGACTGATCTGAAACAATAAATCGTTTATAGTAGCATTGTTTGAGTAATGCATAGACGGATTACCTTTAATAATACTTTTGTAAGATTCCTCGCTCAGAAAATGATCCTTTAATTTCTTATCAACTCCAATGCATATATTAACCACCGACTGTTTGAAATCCAGAAAGTACACTTTATGGTTTTTCAGTGTTAGCTCGTGAGTGAGTACCGACATGCTCTGGAACACCGATTTTAAACAAAGTCAGGGAATCGGAAGTAGTACCTTAGCCACTGTGATATCCATGTTCCGTATATACTTTCCGTTGATTATAACCGTAACATCCCCCCCTTCAAACTCTAACACCGTATCTCGTAGGTACTCCGCTGCCGGAAAGTACAGAGTGTCTTTGGGGGTAATTATATAAACCTCAGTCTGGTCACTGGAAATTTTTTCCTTCTCGATGTTAAACTTAGGACGGGCACTGGCATACAAAACAAACAATAAATTAACGGCTGCCCCAATCAGAATCCCGTAGTCCACACCCAGGAACAGACAACAGATGAACGTTGTCAAAAATGGAATCAAATCCAACTCTACAAAAAACAATATAGTTGCTACTATTCTATTCCAAAAGTAGGTAGTACTTTTGGTTCTCCAAAGCAAAACGAACGCCTCGAAGTCGAACAAGTAGAACATGGCACAAATAATAATAGACCCTAGAGTGGCCTTCGGCACGTAGTAGAAGGTAGGAGTGAGGAACGCAATAGCTAGAAATAGAAGTAGCGACGTGAAAACCCCGGCAAGCGTGGTGCGTACTCCAGAGGCGTTATTGACAGCGCTTCTGGTGAAAGATCCAGTCACGGGCATTGACCCTACGAACGAACCCACGATGTTGCACAGCCCCAAAGCTAACATCTCTTGAGTGGCGTCCAACTGCCGCCCCTTATCTACAACACGCCAGTTAGGTACGACTTTTTTTAGCGAGAGTGTTAATACAGAAGGCTTTGGCGATCGTCACAGCTTCCAAAATCGACAACAACGGGATAAACACAAACGAGATTCCGTAGCCTTTGGCCAAATCCTCGAAGTCGTAGTTGGTGCCGTTGAACGTAGTACTGAACGGGGGTACCTGGAAGGCTGGAAACCCTCCCGTCACATTCCCAGTGATTTTAAACGGTGCCTCTTCATACAAACAGTACGAAATGACAGTACCGATGACTAGAATGAGGGCGTTGCGGGCCAGCGACACCAGAAACACGATTTTGCCGAAGAAGTTGCGCCGTTTGGACCAGTCCTCTCGGTTTTGCAAGCTCCCGAAAACACGAATTTCCTGAAATATTGTACACACGTAAAATGTTAAAGTCGTACCGAGTCGTACTTACTCGCAAGGCTATCAAAGCCGCGATTGACGTGACCCCCAACACGGTGTCCCATTTTCTAATCTGATTTATGTTGGCGAACACCGATTTCCAACTTTCGAGGAAATTGTCGCTTTTTCCTGGGATTCCAAACAGGCTTTTTAGCTGCCCGGATGCTATTTGGAGCGAACCACCACACATGAAGCCGGCTATGATCGGGTACGAGAAGAACTGGATGACGAAACCTGGAACGGGATTTTCAGTGTTGGCAGTGACGTTTCGGTACTTACCGAGATGCATTACTCCGAGTAGGAAAATGATGATTCCTGACAGGAACGTCATCAAAATGGAAGCGTCGGGACCCATTCGGGTCACGTGTGGTTGCAACATAAGGGAGAGGATTGACGTGGGGCCTATGTTTAGGTCTTTGCAGCCGCCGAAGATGGCATAGATGAAACCATCGATGAGGCCGGAGTACAAGCCGAACTCGGGGGGTAAACCTAGGTTTGGGGTTTTAGTACGAGAGGGGATTTCGTGGGTTGTTTACCGGCGACGATTGCGTAAGCGATTCCTTGGGGGATTTCCGTCATGCCTACGGTGATCCCAGCTAGTAGGTCTTGGAAAAGGAGAGAAAGTGTGTACTGAGGGAACCAACTCGTTATCGGTACTCTCTTCTTGACGAACTTTTGGCAGTCGAATTTGAGGTGTTTTTTCACGGACTCTAGAACTAGAGGGTGGTTATTGGAGAAGTACGCGGAAGTAAGCCAACCTGTCATCCTGGTTATAGATTCACAATATCACTGTTATCACTGACACTTTATTTTGCTTAAATACATTTTTCTTATCGTGGCAAGTTTTTCCCGTTCATTGCACTTCCACGTGCAAGGATGTTTATAATATTATAAAACTAATTAATATTACTGAGCTTTATGGTGGCGGATTACCTACTGAACAACTGCGTCACGCGAAAGGTCGTGGAAACCGGTACTGTGAAGTTGGGTTTTCGTGAAATGAACAGTTTAGTCGCCATTTTTAATAACCGTGACCACGTAATAATTAGTCATCGAACATTCCAACAGTTTTATTCTTTCACACTGAGACGTGTTTACAAACAAACAAGATTTGTCAACTAGGTACCTGGACTAATTTGCATAATTATAAGTACGTCGACCGGTTGAGCTTCAGACGTGACTAGAGATCAAGAGGATGGTCAGATCACCTTCAGTCGTGAATCTATATTAAGCAAAGTTGAGTTAAAGTGAGTCGAACGGTTAAAACAAGTACCTTGAATAATATCTTCTAGTACTGCGGTTTTGAAGCAGCCGTCTAGAGTGGCATCCAAACCCAAACACACGGCCGCTACTGACGGTTTAAAATTCCAGAATGTTATCGCGTCGCCTCGTTCAGACATTTCATGCGCTAGAGTAACCAAGCTCTGATCAACTTAAGTAGTACCGTGAGACACAAGAGTACTTACTCGAGCCACAGTCACATCAATGGTTCGAAGATACTCCCCATCAACCACCACCACAATATCGTGTCCTTTACATTCCAAAATTCTATCTCTGAAGTGTTCCGCCGCTGGAAAGAACAAATTTTCCATGGGTTTGACAACACAGATCTCCCTTTCTTTGACGATTTGTGTCCGTACTATATTGACTTTAGGTCGGGCACTTGGGTACAAAATAAAGAGAAGATTAACTCCGATTCCTATTAAGATCCCGTAGTCTAAGCTAATCGTTAAACAACAGATTAAAGTGACCAGGAAGGGAATCATGTCGAGCTCTGGAACAAACCTTCAATTTGAGATGTTCTTGTCAAGTCTATATCGTACTTTTGTTTTTCCATATGATAGCGAACGACTCGTACTCGAACAAATATATCATTGCACAAATGATAACAGCTGCCAATGTCGCCTTTGGTACGTAGAAAAACGTAGGGGTGAGAAAAGCTATAGCTAAGATGGCCATAACTGTAACAATCACCCCTCCGAAGGGAGTTTTAACACCAGAGACGTTGTTAATGGCGGATTTGGTAAAACCGCTCGTCACAGGCATCGAGCTGACGAAAGAACTTAGAACGTTGGTGATTCCAAGGGCTAGGATTTCTTGAGTCGCGTCTAGAGATTTTCCGTGCACTAGAACAAAACAATTAACGAAAAAGCACTCCCAGTACCACTCGTACCAAAAGTTTTCGCTATGGACACCGCCTCAAGAATCGCGATTAGTGGTATAAAGAGCAACGAAGTTCCAATCCCGGTTGCCATATCATTGAAACTATAGTAAGTACCGTTGTAGACAGTGTTGAAGTCGGGAGGCTTGAAACTCGGAAAGCCACTCTGTACCTCACCTACAAACTAACTTGGCTACTAGTTCTAAACGGTGGAAGTCGTACCTATCACTCGGAACGGTTGCTGGTCGCGCAAACAGTACGCTAGTACCACTCCGGCGATAATAACGATGGCGTTTCTGGCTAAAGATAACAAGAATAGGGTGATTCCGACGATATTGCGAGTTCTGGACCAGTCGGAGCGGTAGCGCAGGCTTCCAAATCGTTTCAGCTCCTAAAGAACGGTCAATTTTGGCCGGTCGTGATTGGTAGTACTTACCCGAAGCAAAATCAACGCTAGAAGAGAAGTGGCGCCCAACACTGTATCCCAGAGCTTTATTTTACCAGCGTCTTTAATAAAAGCTTTCCAGGCTTCCAGAAAGTCGTCGCCTTTGCTCGAAATCCCGAAGAAGTTGTTGACTTGGATTGACCCGATTTCGAGGGCGGCGGCACAAGTGAAGCCCGATACGATCGGGAAGGAGAAGAATTCGATAACGAAACCTGTGACAAAGTCGAAAACGGAAGTATATCTTATTGATGCGAATCTTGTCAAGGTAAAGGTGAATGTCATGATAAGATTGATAATATCTTGAGTGCATTGATTTATTCGTTTTTTGCGACTTTCGTAAAGAGAAGTGAGAAAGTACTGACCTAGATTGAACACCCCTAGTCCGAAAATGATCAATCCGCCTAAGAAACTCAAAAGAGGGGCAACCGCAGGTCCAAATTTTTTTGAGTAGGGTTCGGTCATTAGGGCCAGGATGCTCGTGGGACCTACGTTGAGGTCTTTGCAAGTACCGAAGACCGCGTAGGCCGCGCCTGCCACCACGCACGAGTATAAGCCATATTGGGGTGGTAAACCTAAAATTATAGTGGTAGTACCGTGGTGGAATCCGTCGGTACTCACCTGCTACCCCTGCCAGAGCTATGGATTGAGGGATTGCTGTCAAACTTACTGTAAACCCTGCCAACAAATCTCGGAAGAAGCTTAGTACCGTGTAACGCGGCAGCCACTCGATGATTGGTACCCGTTTTTTGAGTATTTCTTTGTAATTCATGTTGTCCAGAAGTCGGCGCATTTTTAATTTCGCGTGTGTTAAACTCATCGCAAATTGCACAACTGACTTACCACTTTATCGCAACCGTTTGTTAGATCGTATCATTATGTAGGCAATTGTTTACTATCAGTTTTTTCACTCCAAAGTACCTTGGCAAGGACAAAGTTCTAGAGCGTTGGATGCGAAACCTTTTTTTCGTCAGTGGTACTTTTGTAAACTTTTCTTACCTGTTGTACATTTCTTTGAAAGTACCGATTTTTGCCTTTTGTTTATTGGTGTACGCAAAATTTGCATTTTCGGTACTTATCGACGTTAATACATATCACTTTAATTAAGGCGGCATCACTTTTCAAGTTCAAGTGGTAGCGCGCGATAACAAAGTACTCTGACGATGTAGTAGTCGTGGAAATATTTTAATTGGACGCTTTTTGCATTGTTGAAATATTTCAGCGGTATTTAACAGTTGTACGTTGTAGATAAACATGTAAAATATTACCCGGTGTCCTTTATCTTTAATTTTTTAAGTACCAAGGTAAATGGATAAAATGAATAATGTGGTACTGATACAAACACGGTTCTTATTGAGATTACATTTATTGAAAACATTGTCAAATATGTGCTCTCTACTGTATGTGCAATTGACCTAAAACGTATATATTAGAAGCAGTACCGTCATCAATCCTCCGTACCTCCGACGATTTGTTCCAAGTCATCTCTAAAGTACGCCCTCAGGTTTGCGTTCACGTTTACGCATACTTCTATCACTGACGGTTTGAAATCAACAAACGCCACGGTTTGTCTCCTCTCACTGAGTTCTTGGGCAAAAACCGCCATACTCTGCAATTCTCAAAGTAGTACCCTTTGTAACCAATCGAGTCTCACCTTAGCGACAGTCACATCCATGTTGCGCACGTACTTCCCGTTCACCACAACAATATGGTCACCGTCGTACCCCAACACTGTGTCCCTCAGGTACTCAGCAGCCGGAAAATACAAAGTATCTTTGGGGGTGATCACGAAAATGGCACCACCATGGTTTGACTTTTCCTTCACAATGTCAAACTTAGGACGGGCACTTCCGTACAAAACGAACAACAAATTCACACCGATGCCTATTAGAATCCCGTACTCCAGACTGATGAAGATGCAACAGAGGAAAGTCACGAGGAATGGTACCATGTCGAGTTCTAAAAACTAGAGTGAGATTGGAAAGTGTGAAAGTGGACGTACTTTTGGATCTCCAGATGACGACGAAAGCGTCGTAGTCGAATAAATAAAACATGGCACAAATCACCACAGACGCTAAAGTCGCTTTTGGTACGTAGTAGAACGACGGGGTTAAAAAAGCGATGGCTAGAAGTACCATGAAGGAGGTGAAGATACCAGCTAGTGGTGTTTTGACCCCTGAGGCATTATTGACCGCCGTTCTGGTGAAGGAACCAGTGATGGGCATCGAGCGCACGAACGAACTCAAAATGTTGCACAGACCCAAAGCTAACATTTCTTGACTGGCGTCCAGGGGTTTTCCTTTCGCTGGAAAATCTAGTCAAGCGGGGTTAATTTAGACTGTAGCAACTTACAAAACGCTTTCCCGATTGATATAGCTTCAAGGATTGCCACCAGAGGTATGAAGGCCATGGCAGGCCCGTAGTCAGTCGCTATATCGCCGAAATTGTAGGTAGTACCATTATAATTAATACTAAATGGTGGTGCTGCGAAAGGCGGAAATCCGCCTTTAACGTCACCTGGAAGCCAAACTTTAGTCACAATAGAGGGAAGTTTTAGCCTTACCGGTTATTTTGAAGGGGTTGTCATCCCGAAGGTTGTACGATATGAGGGTACCAATGATCACCACTAGAGCGTTTCGTGCTAGCGATAACATGAAGATGAAAACGCCCGCAATGTTGCGATCGCGTGACCAGTCGGCGCGATATTGTAAGGTCCCGAATCGTCGAATTTCCTACAAGGAGTGTGAAGATCATTTAAATCTACACCCGAAAACACGAACCTTTAAAGCTATCAGGAACATAATCGACAGGAGACCTAGAATGCTGTCCCATAGTCGTACTTTGTCGAGATTGTTAAATACGCCTTCCCATGCTTCTAAAAACGCATCCGCTTTTCCCCCAATACCGAGGAGGCTTTTGACTTGTGTGGACGCTATTTGGAGGGACGCCGCACAAGTGAAGCCCGCGATGATCGGGTAGGAAAAAAATTCGACCACGAAGCCTGAAATTGGTAATCTCGAAGTAGTACCAAACATATAATTACTTTCGAAACAATAGGAACGTCAATATCTCTCGATTTAATTACTTTTAGACATCATTTCACTGTTGTTTTGGGATTAGAGTAAGTAGGTGCTGATTGTAGTCGTATCAGTCAGGTATGAAGATAAAAAGGTACTTACCTAGATTTAGTGACCCTAGTACAAATATGATGATCCCTGCAAGGAAAGTGATTATCACAGCCATATCGGGACCCATTTTGGAGACGTGTTCTTGTAACATTAGGGCCATGATGGAGGTAGGACCGATGTTGACGTCTTTGCAGCTGCCGAAAATCGCGTAGACGAAGCCGCCCATGAAACCACAGTACAAACCATACTCGGGGGTTAAACCTGAAGAAACGGTACCACTTATCAAAGTCGTACCGAAAGACAAACCCACCTGCTATCACCGCGAAAGCTATCCCTTGAGGAATTTCAGTCAAACCTACAGTGAACCCGGCTAAGAAATCCTGGAATAAGGTAGAAAAGGTGTACTTGGGCAACCACGTGGCAATCGGGAAGCGCTTTTTGAAGAACACCCTACGATCGAACCGGAAATAGTTCTTCACGATGTCCAAAGCTGCGAAATATTGCTATAAATAAGTCGTGTATTTTGGGTTGCCTACCTCTAGACGTTTCACGGGGGCTTTGGTCGTCACTCGGTTCCATTTTTAGCACTTGCCCGTCTGACGTGAAATAACGGTGCTTTCTTCGCCCCACCACTTTATAACCTTGCGTTATCACTAGTTCATTGTCACTAATTCGCACTGGGATTAGGACATCCCGAAGTGTTGTTTCGGGAGCAGGACGCGGTACTACGACTACGTGTTGCAGTACTTTCCGGTGACCGTTAACGCATGAGTTATTTTTTTGATGATAGTGCAGTTCTGGTTCGTCTGATTAAAAAAATGTTTTCGAGGCGTACTCTGGACAGTTATGATTACTTGATGGTACGACTGTGACCTTGGGTTGATAAATTTTATTCATTTATTTAAGTCTCAAGTGTGTGTTGTTTACAGAAGTTGATTATCGCCATTGATTATAGATCAAGTGGTGGAATTTTCCACTGTAGGAACCAGTTCTTCCTCAATCGACGTTCAGTTGTTTGAAGTTGCCATGGAAACCCAAAATTTCGTCGTTCGTCGTCTTGTCAGGTCTGCTACTTTCGTCGACCTTCATTGCATCTAGAAGGTCAAATCTGTTTTGGTACTCGTCAAATTTGGTGGTGATCATTTCTGGAAAACATAGATGTTGAATGTGCGGTTGTCGTTGACTTGTTTACCGTTCAAGTAGTCCAAAGAGGGACCGTCGCCTCCATAGTCCTTTGGTAGCTCGTCTTGGGTGAAAATCTCCTTCAAAATGTTGTCGTCGTCGTGAACTTGAATCTACAACAAATCTATAATTCGGGTCGCGAGATTGAATAGGGTCCTCACCCTTGAGAAAATTTTTGGCTTGACTACCATTTTCACGATTTGTAAAAGTTTGCCTACGTAAGACGGACTATTGATGATGTATATGCGTTTCACCCTCATTGAAAACACTTCATAAATTTTTAAAATTTTTGACAATAGTACCGGATTGACTTTCGTCAGGTCGTTTAAAGACAACGTGCTCATGTCAAAAATGATCACGTCGCCCACCATGCAGTCTTCGTAAAGTCGTACTTCGGCGATATTGCCACACTGTAAACCAAACTCTTTGGGCATCAGATTGTTCACGTTTTTGACTTTGAAGAAATATATTCTGTAGAGACCGTCCAGGGTTTTCGGGTGCACGCAGCAGTAGCTAAAACACGAAATCGATTTTTTTCCAAAAAACTAGAGACAATTTACGTGACATCCATGAAGTGGCGCATTTGGCTCGACTTGGGGTTGACATTGTCGAAGATATCAGGAAGTAAACTCCGAATGGTGTAATACAGGTCGATTTTTTGCTTGGTTTTTTCTATGCTGTATTTGTTGAGGAGCAGGAAGTTGGCGATTTTGATATCGTCTGTAAAATAGCGTGAAGTCACGATTTTGATATAGTAGTACTCACCCATCAGTTCCGGAAAGTGCGGTTGTGTTTCTAGCCATTGTTTTATGATTTGGGTGTCTTGATTAATGGAAGATGGGGTTTTTTCAAAAAGAGTGGCTGCTTTTTCTCTCACAGCATCTATGTTTTCGAACAACATGGTAACTGGTGACCTCGGTTGTGTTTTGATAAACGTATTTAGTTTAATGAGTCACGTATTGTCTTCAATTTCGTGTTTTAAGCTCTAGCATGATACTTTTATACTTTTCGTGGCGTGTTCTACGTCACACTGTAAAAACCTAGATCTAACTAATAATAGAATTAATTTACTAGTTCCTGCACTTAAGCGAAATAGTAGTCATTCTGGTACCGAAAGAGTACCACAAAACTTTTTTCAACGTTGTTGTGATACTGTCGTTAGAGGAGTACGACCCCAGTATATAATAAAGGAGTTGTGTGAGAGTGCTCGTTTAGCCCGTTTCACTTACTCTTATTTTTTAAAACTGTCTATGCAGGCTGTTTTAAAAATTAATTAATCAATTAGTCGATTTTAGCAATTAAAACAAAATGAAAACATGTCATTAGTTTTATTGGTTTGTCAAGTTTGCCAAACCCATTTTAGTACAAAACAACAAAAATAATTAATATAATTAATTAATATCACTTCCTATTCAAGCTAAGTAAATAAATTTTATAATTAATCAAAAAACTGGATTGCGTAAATTAGTGGCCCCGATATGGTGATAAATTTCGTTTAATTGACTCCGATGGTTTTTATAACGTATTTTTTAATTTTCTGAAGGGAGAAATCCTAGTGGTACTACTAGTAGATACCGGATTTAATTTGCGTCAGATTATGAAAAAATTATGAAATATGGAACCAAACTGATTACACAATTATTTTTTTAAGTGAAGAGTCAACCTTGAATCTATATAATATAATCAACGAAAAAAAATTAGCATTTGTGTCAACAATTTTTTCCTTCGAAATATTGCTCACCTTATGATTATTAAAACAGGTTTTACCAAATTATCTTATGCAATTAAGTTAACACAAATTGTGTAGGCAGAGTAGTACCACTAGAAATTATGTCTTGTAGCAAAAAACATTCAGTACCACCTGTATCTAGTTTAATCAAATCTAGAACAGATTTTTTGGATCGAGTACTATTCGGTACTAATATACACTATATTACGACATTTTGATTAATTTGATAAAAAATCTGTTGTATTAAGGACAACTGACATACTTGAAGGAACAATAGTACTCTTGAATAGATAAACGTTACTAATTTTAAATCACAAGTATTTATTCAGAACAGATACCAACATTCAGTAAAAATATCACTTCAATCAACATTCAGCATCTTGAAGTTGCCATGGTACCCCAAAACCGCATCATCGACCAACTCCCCAGGTCTTTTACTCTCGTCCACTTTCAACCCATCCAAAACATCGAATCTGTGCCCATACTCCTCCAGCTTCGCTCCCATTAACTCTACAAACCCAACTTATCATCTGTTTTCCGGTCAAAATTTTTTACCATTTAGTTCGTCGAGTGATGGACCATCACCCCCATAGTCCCTCGGGAGCTCGTCTTGCGCGAAAATCTCCCTCAAAACGGCGTCGTCTTGGCAGACTCGAAGCTAAAACGTAACGTAGCGTACTCACTCTAGTCGTACGTCGGTACTCACCCTTGCGAAAATTTTTGGCTTGACTATCATCTTCAAAATTTGCAACAATTTCCCCACGTAGGGTGGACTGTTGATGAAGTACGCTTGATGGGTCCTCATTGAGTACACCTGGTGTATTTTGACAAACTTGGACACTAGTACCGGGGTGACTTTAGTCAGATCGTGAAGCGTAAGCGTGCTCATGTCGAAAATAATTATATCGCCGACCATGCAGTCCTCGTAGAAGCGTACTTCTCCGATATTGTTACACTGTAAGCCAAATTCGCGCGGCAGGAAAGTACTGGGTTTTTTTATTTTGATAAAATATACTCTGTACAGACCGTCGATGGTTTTTGGGTGTAGACAACAATAGCTGAAATTTTTGTTAAGATTTTTTTCGATAAGAAATGTGGATTTACGTGAGGTCCATGAAGTGCCGCATGACTGACGATCGTGGGTTCGAATTTTCAAAAATGTCAACCAGTACGCTCCGTACGGTATAGTACATGTCGATTTTTTGTTTGGTCTTTTCGATGCTGTATTTGTTGAGTAGGAGGAAGTTGGCGATTTTGGGCTCTTCTATGGGGTATTTTTAATTTGGGTGCGTGTCGTACTGGTAGTACTTACCCATCAATTCTGGAAGGTGTGGTTGCGTTTGTAACCATTGTTGGATTATGCGGATGTCTTGGTTAATGCTTTCTGGATTTTTGTTAAAGAATTGGGCCGCGTTTTTCTTTGCCACGTCGACGTCTTGGAACAACATTGCAAATAATGCGGATTTTGGGTTGTGATTGCGTATGGTAATAAATACGTTTTTTATTAACAGACACAAAAATGTGGGCTCGTAAAACCACTTTTTTTAAATAAAAAAAGTGGTACCGTGGTACCGATTCTCGTTATAGTAAATATCAAACTAAAGTAAGTCACATAATTGGTTAATATCACGAAATTAAATCTGTAATATTTGTCTGTTGCTGCTATCAATATTCTAATGAAAGTAACCTTGGAAATAATCAACTGAATAAATAGTTTTTATAATTATTATTGATACGATAATTGCTTTTAAAATTAATAATAATATAATTTTTCAAAAATTAAGTTCCACAAATCTCGGACATGGCCACTTCAATCGACGTCTAGTTTCTTAAAATTCCCATAAAACCCGAGCAGATCGTCATTGTTCAGCTTCTCAGGTCTCAGACTTTCGTCAACCTTGAGCTTATCCAACTTATCAAACCTCTCTTCATATTCGTCAAACTTGATCTTTAACATGTCTAGAAAACATATTAAGTCCAAAATTACACAAGCGCGTTAAGTACCATTTAACTCCTCTAAAGACGGCGCGGTACCACCGTAATCCCTAGGCAAAAACCCAACCGGAACCACCTTCTTCAGCTCGCCCACATCATGAAAAACGTGCAGCTATTTAATAGTTTGACAATTTCCTAGTGACAAATCGTACCCACCCTTTCGAAAATTTTCGCCTTGAGGAAAGTCTTCGACATCCCTAGCACCACACTAGTTATCGTGGAAGTGTTCACCAGATAAAGTGCTTTCAAGCGAAAGGAAAGTACCTTCTGTTGACAAAAATGTTACCTTGTTTGACAACACCAAATACTAACCTCGGTCGCCGTAACCATTTTCCTAGACGCAGACGGTGGTACTTTTGACAAATCGCCCAAACCGAGATTGGCAAAGTCATAAACTACGACAGTACTTGCTACATACGTCTCGTAGAAAAGGTACTCCATGATGTTAAAACATTGCGCTGTTAGTTCAAAGAAGTCCGGTCGTGACGGTTTTATGAAGAGGAGCAAGTCCGTGTCGTCTAGAAGTTTCGGAAACGGGCAACAGTACGAAGTGTTGATGAAGTGTTGCATTCTTTGTGATTTTGGGTGCGAATTGAGGTACAAGTCGGGAATTAGGGTCCGGATGGTGTAGTACGTGTCGATTTTTTGCTTGGTTTTTTCCACACTGAACTTGTTTCGGATCAAGAAGTTTGCGATTTTCTTGGTTTCTGTGAAATTGTTATGAGAAAGAGTGGTACCAATGGGGGTCTTACCCATAATTTCAGGTAAGTGTGGCTGGGTTGTCATCCATTCTTGTATCGTCTTGATGTCTTTTTCCGCTTCTTCATCCGTCACTCCAAACAGAAGTAGTACCTTTTTTCGCACCTCGTTATCGCGCTTGTCCATGGTTCGACTTTGATTGAGTCTCTAGATACGAAAGAAATAACACCGCACTTGTGGTTTTATTATTTATTTATTAAGTTGTTATAATAATTAACGTAATTGGAGTGATTATGAATCCAGTTTAACGTTTCTTCGGTCGCAGTGTTTCATCAACTTTCAAGGTGTCCATTTTATCAAACCGGTCTTGGTACTGCAACAACTTCTCCTTGATCATTCCTGCAACCAGACAAGATTGAGTACCGATCAGTACTTGTTTTTGCTTACCGTTCAAATCCTCTAACGTGGGTCCGTCCCCACCATAATCTTTTGGCAACTCGTCATTACTAAACAGCTCCTTCACTACTTCCCCGTCGCGATGAACTTGAACCTACTTTATTCACACTCTGAGTACCAACAAAGTCGTACTTACTCTATCGAACAGTTTCGGCTTAACTAGAAACTTCAGAAGCGTCATCCACCCCGACACGTAGAACGGACTATTAACAAAGTACAAAGTCTTGAGTCGCAACGAAAACACGTTCTGAAACAACCACACCAGTACAGAATTTTCGGTACCATAAAGGTCGTACCTTGTACACCGAAAACGCTCGAATTATGAATTTCGGCGACACTTTTAGCATATCTCTGAGCGTCAGATTAGACAAGTCGAAGACAATGATATCGTCGATCATGCAGTCTTCGAACAGCCTTATCTCGAAGATAGCTAAGGCTAGTTTGGCCAGGTCAGACGGGGCGAACACGTTGGGCTCTTTGTGTTTGAGGAAAATGACGCGATGGGTACCGTTGTAGGGCGCCGGGTGCGTGGAGCAGTACCTGAAACTAAAGTTGTACTTTTTTCCTCACCCGAGTGGTACTTACGTGGTGTCCAGTACCGCCTGGATGTTAGCTAGTTTAGGGTTGCCTTCTCGGAACAAGTCGGGGATTTTAGCCCTGATGGTGTAATACGAGTCGATTTTTTCTTTGGTTTTGTCGATGTCGAATTTGTTGAGTTGGAGGAAGTTGCGGATTTTGGCGTCCTCTAGGAGTTGGCGTGAGTTACTAGTAGGACGAGTGAGTTTGCTTACCCATGATTTCGGGGAGGTGGAGTTGGGTCTGCATCCATTTTTTTACCAGTTTGATGTCTTCGTTCACGGTTTGCTCGGTTTTACCGAAGGATTTATACAGTTTGTGTCGGGCTGCTTCGTCTAGACGAAACATTGTCACTTTTGGGTTGAGAGTGCACAGAATAGGAACAATCCGTCTGGGTGATAAATCTGCGATATGAAGATAGCGATGGAGTGGTTTTTTTTGGATACGAATTTGGTATTGTTTTAAAGGCGAACGATTTTGTTCTTAAAGGAGAGTCGGTTTAGGTATTGTCGACGAAACGCGGAATTAATTAAATTGTGAAAAGTTAGTGGGCTATCAATAGAGAAGATAGGAAGGGTCAAAGTTTTATAATAGTGAGGACATGTGTACTTAAGTAGGTGGTTTGGTACTTTCGTAGTTAATCGATCGTTATTATTATTATTTTTCGTTTACTTTTTGTTTGTTGTTGGAAAAATCTAGGTGCAGTCGCAATATTTGCTAATCTTATCACGTAATTTTTTAAGTGCGACAATTGTGTTGACGTTCCGAGTACTACACAGATAGATCTTTTGAAGGAATAAAATCACAGTTGGAATTTAATTCAAAAACTATTTATTTTTTTAAGCTTTCTCGGTCGTGAAGGTATCCAACAGATCGAACCTCTCTTGGTACTCCGCCAGCTTATTTTTCGTGATATCTAAAACCCCATATCAATTTTAACAACCTAAACCTGAACGAATAAGTACCGGTGAGGTCACTCAACGACGGGCCATTTCCACCATAATCCTGCGGGAGGTCCTCCAGCGGGAACACCTCTTTCAAAACCTCGCTGTCCTTGTGAGCTTGAAACTTTTTTTTTGTTAGAACCTATTCAATTTAACCGAAAATCCCTACCCTGTTGAAAATTTTCGCCGGGAAAACTAGCTTGAACAAAGACATCCAGATCGTGATATACGAGGGACTGTTAATCAAATACAGCCGGTTTAATCTCATCGAAAAAATATTCTGCAGCAAAAAAAATTGTGTAAGTACCTAGGTGGAAAAACGTGTTTTATTTACCCTGTATATTTTCAACGTTGTGATTAATAATCTCGGTGATAGTTTACACAAATCCAGGAAGCTAAAGGTGCTCATGTCAATGATAAGCACTTCGTCGACCATGAAATCCTCTTGTAACCTTATCTCGAGCACACTAAAACATAGTTTCGTGACGTTGATTGGCGTGTACGTGTTTTTCTCTTTGGGTTTTACGAAGAAGGCGCGGTGAATACCACCCACGAGTTTGGGGTGAAAACAAAAGTAACTAGGGGAAAAAATTAAGTAAAAAATACTTTCCCAAAAATGTTCTTACACTATGTCCATTTCTGTTTTTAAAACGGGCAGCTTCGGGTTACTGTCGCTAAAAAAACCCGAATATTTGGTCCTGAAGGTGTAGTAATTGTCGATTCTTTCCTTCGCTTTGTCTACGTCAAACTTACACAAGTGCAACATGTTTCGGATTTTGGCATCATCTGGAACTTTGAAATGAGCGACAGTCAAAATTTTGAGCACGTACCCATGGTTTCTGGGTGGTGGGTTTGCGTCTGCAGCCATGTTTTGATGGTTTTGACGTCTTCGGCTACCGTTTCTTCAGTTTTGCCGAAGGAGGCGTAGAAATTATTTTGTGCTTCTTTGTCCGGGTGATCCATTACGGAGTTTGTTTGCCTACTGTGGTCTATAGATGTTTATTTGCGCGCTCTATTAGATAAGACCGATAAGCATTTTTTTTAGAATTTTAAGTTGCAAAATAGCAGAAGGCAGAAAGTATAGACCAAGCAATGTTTCACAAGCGTGTTGAAAAAGTGATCAAGTTGACCTTGATTTTTGTAAATATCGAGACGTATGTCTACAGTTAACCCAAAATTTAATCGGTGTGCTTGTTTAGTATCTATGTAAAGAGGAATACAGAAAATCAGTACCATATGAACACCCTAGTCTAGATTAACGTTAAAACTAATACGCACTGGAACTTGCACAATTAACGAATGCAGTCTAATATTAATTCAAATTAATTCCAAGGTTGCACATAAAGTTGCTAATGTTTTATTTTAAGTTAACGTGTTTTCTGTCAAACCACTAACAACGTCAACAGTATTGCTCGTTGCCTATCCCACTTTATTGGATTTTAGTTAAGTTGATGTTTGCGGTCTCAAACTTTCATCAACTTTTAGTGTATCCAATAAGTCGAACCGGTCCTGATGCTCAATGAATTTTTGCTTCATCATTTCTAAAACTTAATTGTTTTGACGGTACTTAGTCAAAATAAATAAATACCGTCGAGTTCATGCAACGATGGCCCGCTTCCTCCAAAATCCTTTGGTAGATCATTGGGAGAAAATATCTCCTTCAAAATTTCACTGTCCCTGTGGGAGCTCACCCTGCCAAAAATTTTCACCGGAAGAAATAATTTAAAAAGTGCCATCCAGATCGAGACATACGCGGGACTATTGACAAAATACAAAGCTCTTAGTCTCATCGAGAAAGTATTCTGCAAAAACACCAAACATCAATTGGTGTAATAAACTAGGTTTTTGTGTGTATACTTTGTAGATTTTAACAGCTGCTAGCACCATTCTAGGTGATAATGTACATATATCTCTGAAAGTAATGTTGGTCATGTCAACAATAACAATATCGTCGATCATCAAATCCTCTTGCAATCTGATCTCATAAACACAAAAAAATAATTTTATTCCATTGACGGAATCGAGCACGTTTTTCTTTTTAGGACCCACAAACACAACCCTATGAGTACCATCCAGAAGCTTCGGGTGATTGCATAAGTGTCTACAAAAACAAGTAACTGCTTTTGTTAAATTTTCTAAATTTTGCTTACATTGTAGCCATAGTTTCTTTCAATGTTTGCAATTTCGGGTTGCTGCCATTAAAAACGTTGGGATATTTGGTCCTGAGGGTGTAATAGTTATCGATTTTTTCCTTTGTCTTCTCCACGTTAAATTTACACAAATGCAATATGTTTCGGATTCTTGTATCATCTACGACTACCAAATAAGCAATTGTTGACGGGAATGGATACTCACCCATGATTTCGGGAAGGTGGGTTTGTTTCTCTAGCCATAGTTTGATTGTGTTTATGTATTCAGTTACCGTTTCTTCAGTTTCTCCAAAGGATTCATAAAATTGTTTACGCGTTTCCTGGTCGTAGTGGTACATGGCGGAGGCCGCTTGAATACTTTATAAAAACATGTTTTATTTGCGTCCGCTTTTACGTTAGATAAAAAAATGATAACAATGTTTTCGTAGACAGTTTCAATTGGAAAAACAACATTTTTGCATTGATAACAGGAACATAATGATCATAGTGTAATAACACAAACATTCCGCCAACAATTGTCACGTGACAAAATTTGAAAACCCCGCGAAAATTAGAAAAGTGGCTATCAACAAAATGTACATACGTTGCTTTGACGGGTACGTCCGAGTTTAAATGTTCCAAAATTGGAGTCATAAAACACAAAACATAACACAAAATCGAATCAAATTCACGACATTTATTTTGCTGATTATTCCCAAAGCGAATCAATTTTTAAAATTTAAATCTTGAATACTGCCCATTACTATGTTATAATTCTAACTGGGAATCGATTTAATTTAAATAATAACAATTTAGGAAGAACCATCCACCCCAGGAGACATTTCACAATTTAAATAAAATATTATAAAATATTGCAACGAAACATTTCTGGTGTAATATTGTTTATTTCTGTCTCAATACAAGAAAATAAAATGTATAATTTCTAGAGATTTGGTGAAATTAAGTAACAATTTTTACAAGTGCAGACGCGCTTCGGGAAATCCAATAGGTGCCCAGTCAGCGCCAGTCTAAACAGTAGGAATGACGCATGTGTCGAATTTTTAACGTCGTCAATACATGAGATCGACGAATTATCAATTTAAAATCATGTTAAACTTTACTTACACATGGGAGTAATGATTGTGTCTCTTTAATCTAGTGCCTTCGGTTAAATTTTACAAATAAAATGAAACGTACAAATCTCAAAGACATGTAACTTCGACACAGTGGACTTACATCCGCACACCACCACTGCTTGAATCCATCTGAACCATAGAATACCCTCACTAGTAGGGTTTTCTATGATCTGAACTGAATCAACAGCGGACGCGAAAGCTCCCCCCGCTCTTCAAGAGACAAAGCAAATCTACATTACAAAAAAAATGACACTAAATTTAGCTTGAACCGGGACACCACAATATCTTGACCTATTTTTCACGCTTTTAAACTTTCTTCAACCTTTAGTGTATCCAAAAGATCGAACCTCTCCTCATACTCGATGAATTTTTGCTGCATCATATCTAAAACTCGTTCACTTGTTTGACGATATTTTTTTGTCCAAAAAATAATTACCGTTGAGTTGATCCAACGACGGTCCGCTTCCGCCATAATCCTTGGGTAGATCATTGGGAGAAAATAGGTCTTTTAAAATTTCGCTGTCCCTGTGAACTTGCAACTGTTTATTACTAACATATGGATTTAAATCGATCAAAAATAGAACCCACCCTGTCAAAAATTTTGGCCGGGAAAAATAATTTAAAAATTGGCATCCAGATTGACACGTACGAAGGACTGTTAATAAAATACATCGCTCTTAGCCTCATCGAGAAAGTGTTCTGTAAAACAAAACGTAACAGCAAGTGTAAACCGCGTGTACTTTGTTTGTATACTTTGTAGATTTTGACACCTGCTAGCACCATTCTGGGAGATAATGTACACATATCTCTGAAAGTGATGTTGGTCATGTCAACAATAATAATATCGTCGATCATCAAGTCCTCTTGCAACCTGATCTCGTAAATACAAAAATATAACTTTATTATATTAAGGCAACTGAGTACATTTTTCTTCTTAGGGCTTACAAATACAGCCCTGTGGCTACTATCCACAAGCTGGGGGTGGTTGCACATGTGTCTACAAAAACAAGAAACTCTACTTTTCTTCAATCTCTTAAAGTCATCCTTACACCGTCTCCATTGTTTCCTTCAAAGATTGCGATTTGGGGTTGCTACTATTAGAAATATTGGGGTACTTTGTCCTGAAGGTGTAATAGTTTTCAACTCGCTCCTTCACCTTCTCTGCGTTGAATTTACACAAATGCAGCATGTTTCGGATTTTTGCGTCGTCTAGGTTTACCAAATAAGCGATAGTCGAAGATTAGGGACACTTACCCATTATTTCGGGCAGATGGGTTTGGGTTTCGAGCCATATCTTGATGGTTTTTATTTGCTCAGCTACCGTTTCTTCAGTTTGTTCAAAGGATGCGTAAAAGTTTTTGCGTGCTTCGTTATCGAAATGATACATGGCGGAGTCTGTTCGGGTACTGTAGTAAAACTAGTTTTATTCACTATTTGGGTTAGATAAAAGGAGATATTGATAACGCGTGTTTGTAGTTGAATTCTTTTTCGTTTCATTGTGATAGGTTAAACGGATGTTGTCGTGCGTGATTTATTTTTCCGCACCGGTTAAAGTTCACGTGAGGATCGTGTTAATTTTTTTGTGTAAATATGGTCAAAGTTAGACGATTAGAGTAAATATCTATGAAGCGTTTTTATTAAGTAGGTACGTAGTTTTCATATTTAACCTAATTGGAATTAGCTTTGAAAATAAAGTTAATTTTAGTACCTGACAATTTTCTTGAGTTTTCAGGTATCGGCAACATTTCCAAAACGTACTTCAACTGTCTGTAATTTTTAATACTATAAAAGTTTATTAGAAAAAAATCTCCACAACATGACATTCTTTTCGTATGTGAGAAGTTTGTTCAGCATTTCAGGTAGTTGCAACATTTCCAAAACGAACTTCAACTGTCCATAATTTTTGATATTATAAAAGTCCACCAGGTGCTTTCGGGCTTGATTTCTGGCTAACTCAATCAACAGAGGCACTTCAGGTAATTCTTTCGCCTTCCTTTTGAACTTATCGTTCATACGCAAAAGAAATTCGTTCAGTCGATGATGGCAGAAGTGTTCCAGCACAATATCCAAAGAATCAGAAACGTATTGGTCGCTGTTCAAAAAAAATTTTTCTATCGTTAATTGAACATCATATATAAGCTGCGACATCAGGAGTTTGCGCCTTGGAGGCACAGATGTCTGCCTAATGTCCATTAGGATCATCTGTTTAAACAATGAACAAAAACCAAACTTCATATAGACAATCCCCGCATCAAAATGGTCAATCCGGACACCTTGCGTCAAGAGCTGTGATATTATGCTCATTACTTTTTGCATCTGACTGTCGTTCAAGGTACCCAACATTTGAAAAAAACTGCCGATTCTAAATTTGTGTAACCAGAAAATTCATATTCTCAATTGCTCGAGAAGTTTCCTGCGCCGAAGTAATTGAATCTTCCAAACACGAACGAAATGCAACAAGTAAATCGCGACCCAAAATTATATCCCTTAAAGCATCTTCAAATAGTTCCATAAACAATTTCAAGTAGTGAGGGTTCATGGGAAGAATATAAGGGAGTAATTCTCTAAGCTCTCGGTCCGTATACAAAACTTCTGAAACCTTTTCAAATAAGATGTCGACACAAGGATCATCAAAAACTACAGCTTCTATCAAAATCGGAAGACGTACAGGAGCTTTGTAGTCATCAAAGATATAGTCTAACAAAATTTCTTGTACTTCCAACGATGCGAAACTCAACGATGCACAGCGTGGCGTTGTTGTGGCTAGAGTTGCATCAGCACCATAACACAAAAGCATGCAAAGCCTCTCTATACACTCGCTGCCACAAGCCTTTATTAAAGGAGTCCTCCCCCTATAATTAGCAACGTTTGGATCAACACCCATTTCGAGCAAAAGCTGACAAGCTTGCAAGCAGTTATACGAAACTGCATGAAGTAAAGGTGTGTCTCCATTACGGTCGGTCAGGTTAATATTTGCACCCTTCTGTATTAACTTTATCGCTGCAGGCTCATTATGGTCCTTGAAAGCATTGAAGAGAGCAGTTCCTCCAGGACCGTCCTCCGCATCGATCGGTGCGCTATCTGCATTTAGTAATACTTCAAGGGCTTCTAACCTACAAAAGCAATCAGACATGATTGGGAACTAACGGCAAAATGTATTAAAGTTTTGTTCCATGCATCGGTTAAACTGATTCCACCTCCTGTGTCTAGTAAATGTTTTAAGTGTGTTGAGTTATTGTTTTCGACGGCGAGAGCTAATTCCTTTTGGTGAAAATTGCTACTATCCACCTACAACGTCTCTCAGTTGGTTAATTAATTCTCGGTTTCGTACCTTGTACCCATGGAAGAGTGTCTGGAATTGGGTTTATCCAATCGTACCACAACCATTTTTTCTCCATGTTGCATCTTAGGACTTTTGGAGTGAAGTGAAATTAGACGGTTTTTTCATTGATTTTATTTTTAGCCTGGGCATTATTTTGGGCTTTTGTTTAAAGTCAAGATAGGCAGCCAGTTACACTTCTTTTTTTGAAACGAGTATCTGCGCGCTCTACATCTACTTCTATAAGACGGTCTTGATTTTTTGTGAGTCTGTGTTAAGCTGGATTTTAAAAATTATTATTCATTTACCACGTGACTATTGTTAAATGGTATAAATATGTAGACTGAGAAAACTGAACCTGTAAAAGTGAAACAAGCTATTTTACAATAAATATGGCGCAGAAATATCTTTTGTAAAAACGGCTAAGGATTATTTAAAAATTATAAATCTCCTAATCCCCCCAGCATCATAGTAACATTTTATTTATAGACTACATAAAACTATAAATGTTTATTCTACCAAAAACATAAAAAGAATGATCGGTTTGAGTTATTCTTATGCTCTTAAACTTTCATCAACCTTTAGTGTGTCCAAAAGATCGAACCTGTCCTGATACTCGACGAATTTTTGTTTTATCATATCTGAAAATTTTCAATTTTTTTGGCGCTAATTATTGAAAAAAATAAATACCGTTGAGTTCATCTAACGATGGCCCGCTTCCTCCAAAATCCGTTGGTAGATCCTCGGGAGAAAATATGTCCTTCAAAACTTCACTGTCCCTGTAGACTTGCAACTGTTTATTATTAAAATATAAATTTAAATTAATCCAAAATATAACCCACCCTGGCAAAAATTTTGGCCGGGAAAAATAATTTAAAAAGTGCCATCCAGACTGAGATGTACCCAGGACTATTAACAAAATACATTGCTCTTAGCCTCATGGAGAAAGTATTCTGTAAAACAACACCAAACATCAAGTGTAACAAACTACGCGTTTTCGTTTGTATACTTTGTAGATTTTAACAGCTGCTAGCGCTATTCTAGGTGATAATGTACACATATCTCTGAAAGTAACATTGGCCATATTAGCAATAATAACATCATCAATCATCAAGTCTTCTTGCAACCTAATCTCATAAATACAAAAAAATATTTTTATTAGATTAATAGAACTGAACACGTTTTTCTTCTTAGGACTCATAAACAGAACCCTATGGGCACCATCCAGAAGCTTCGGGTGGTTGCATAAGTGCCTACAAAAACAAGAAACTGCTCTGCTTAAATTTTGTAAATTCTGCTTACATTGTATCCATAGTTTCCTTCAAAGCTTGCGATTTCGGGTTGCTGTCGTTAAAAACGTTTGGATACTTGGTCCTGAAGGTGTAATAGTTATCAATTTTCTCCTTCGTCTTTTCCACGTTGAATTTACTCAAGTGCAATATGTTTCGGATTCTTGCATCATCTACCACCACAAAATAAGTAATAGTCGAAGAGTATGGATACTTACCCATGAATTCGGGAAGGTGGGTTTGTGTCTGCAGCCATATTTTGATTGTTTTTACGTGTTCAGTTACCGTTTCTTCAGTTTCTCCAAAGGATTCGTAAAATTTTTTACGCGTTTCTTTATCGCAGTGGTACATGGCGGAGGCTACTTGGATACTGTATCAAAACGAGTTCTGTTTGGGTCAGTTGTTTGGTTAGATAATAAAATAACTTGATAACAATGGTTTCTTAAACTTGGAAAAAACTACATTTTTTTAATGATAACAGAAACAGAATGATCACAGTTTGAGTTATTTTTCACGGTTTTAGACTTTCTTCAACTTTTAGTGTATCCAAAAGATCAAACCTCTCCTGATACTCGATGAATTTTTGCTGCATCATATCTAAAACTCGTTCACTTTTTTGACGATATTTTTAGTGGAAATCAATTCTCTCCTTCACCTTCTCTGCGTTGAATTTACACAAATGCAGCATGTTTCGGATTTTTGCGTCGTCTAGGTTTATCAAATAAGCGATAGTCGAAGATTAGGGACACTTATCCATGATTTCGGGCAGATGGGTTTGGGTTTCCAGCCATATTTGATGGTTTTTATTTGCTCAGCTACCGTTTGTTCAGTTTGTTCAAAGGTGCGTAAAAGTTTTTGCGTGTTTCGTTATCGAAATGATACATGGCGGAGTCTGTTTGGGTACTGTAGTAAAACTAGTTTTATTCACTATTTGGGTTAGATAAAAGGAGATATTGAAAACGTGTTTTTGTAGTTGAATTCTTTTTCGTTTCATTGTGATAGGTTAAACTTATGTTGTCGTGCTTGATTTATTTTTCCGCACGGGTTAAAGTTCACGTGAGGATCGTGTTAATTTTTTTGTGTAAATATGATGGTCAAAGTTTGACGATTAGAGTAAATATCTATGAAGCGTTTTTATTAAGTAGGTACATAGTTTTCATATTTAACCTTATTGGAATTACCTTTGAAAATAAAGTTTCTCTTCGAAAGTGACAATTTGCCCGTCAACTGTCTGTAATTTTTAATATTATAAAAGTTTATTAGAAAAAAATCTCCACAACATGACATTATTTTTATTTATACAGTTTCTTTTCGTAGGTGAGAATTTTGCTCAGCATTTCCGGTAGTTGCAACATTTCCAAAACGAACTTCAACTGTCTATAATTTTTGATATTATAAAAGTCCACCAGGTGCTTTCGGGCTTGATTTCTGGCTAACTCAATCAACAGAGGCACTTCAGGTAATTTTTTCGCCTTCCTTTTGAACTTATCATTCATACGCAACAGAAATTCGTTCAGTCGATGGTGGCAGAAGTGTTCCAGCACAATATCCAAAGAATCAGAAACGTATTGGTCGCTGTTCAAAAAAAAATTTTCTATCGTTAATTGAACATCATATATAAACTGCGACATCAGGAGTTTGCGCCTTGGAGGCACAGATGTCTGCCTAATATCCATTAGGATCATCTGTTTAAACAATGAACAAAAACCAAACTTCATATAGACAATCCCCGCATCAAAATGGTCAATCCGGACACCTTGCGTCAAGAGCTGTGATATTATGCTCATTACTTTTTGCATCTGACTGTCGTTCAAGGTACCCATCATTTGAAAAAACCTGCCGATTCTAAATTTGTGCAACCCATACGTCTTTAGCTTATTAATGCTTCCTACTACACAAGTAGATAGATGACTGTTGACCAGAAAAGTCATATTCTCAATTGCTCGAGAAATTTTCTGTGCCGATGTATTTGGATCTTGCAGACACAAATTAAATGCGCCAAAAAAATCGCAACTCAAAATTATATCCCTCAGAACATCTTCAAACAGTTCCATAAACAATTTCAAGTAGTGAGGGTTCATGGAGGAAATGTCGCGAACTAAATAATTAAGCTCTCGGTCCGTGTAAAAAACTTCTGAAACCTTTTCAAATAAGATGTCGACACAGGGGGTATCATAAACTATGGCCTCTATCAGAACACTAAGACGTACAGGGACTTTGTAATCATCAAAAATATAGTCGAACAAAATCTCTTGCAGTTCCGACGATGTGTCACTGAACGGTGTAGACTATGGCGTTGTTGTGGTTAAAGTTGCATCAGCACCATAACACAAAAGCATGCAGACCCTCTCTGTCCACTGGTTCCAACAAGCCATATGTAAAGGGGTTATCCCCATATAATTAGCGACGTCTGGATCGACACCCATTTCAAGCAAAAGCTGACAAACTTTCAAGCAATCATTCACAATTGCCAGAAATAAAGGAATGTTTCCTTTACGGTCCTTAACGTTGATATTTGCACCCTTCTGTATTAACTTTATCGCTGCAAGCTCTTTATGTCCATCCAAAGCGTTCAAAAGAGCAGTTCTTCCAGGACTGTCCTCCGCATCGATCGGTGCGCCATCTGCATTTAGTAATACTTCAAGGGCTTCTAACGTAAAAAAGCAAATGACTGGGCGAACTTCATAACTACGTACTCTACCTGTTTCTAGCAACGGCAAAATGTATTAAAGTTCGGTTCGATGCATCGGTTAAACTGATTCCACCTCCTGTTTCTAGTAAGTGTTTTAAGTGTGTTGAGTTATTGTTTTCGACGGCGAGGGCTAATTCCCTTTGGTGAAAATTGCTAGTGTCCACCTACAACGTCGCTCAGTTGATTAATTAATTCTCGGTTTCATACCCTGTACCTGTGGAAGAGTGCCTGGAATTGGGGTTATCCAATGGTCCCACAACCATTTCAAAAAAATTCAAGGTTTTTTTCACTGATTTTATTTTTAGCAGGACCACTATTTTGGGGTTTTGGTTACAATGAAGATAGCCAACCAGTTACACTAATGTTTCTGGAAACTAGTATCTGCGCGCTCTACACTTACCTGTTCTATACCACGGTCTTGATTTTTGTTAAGTCTGTGGTTTAAAACTGGATTTTAAAACCTAATCTTCATTTACCACGTGACTATTCTTAAATGGTATAAACAAATACAGCAATTTATATACACAGAAATATCTTCTGTAATAAGGTCTCAGGATTGTTTAAAAATTTACACCACACAAAACTGTATATATTTATTCTACCAATAACAAAAAAAAGAATAATCGGTTTGTGTTATTCTTACGCTCTTAAACTTTCATCAACCTTTAGTGTATCCAAAAGATCGAACCTCTCCTGATACTCGATGAATTTTTGCTTCATCATATCTAAAATTCTTTCTCTTTTTTCGTGATACTTAGTCTGAAAATTTAATACCGTTAAGTTGATCCAACGATGGTCCGCTTCCACCATAATCCTTTGGTAGGTCATTGTTAGAAAATAGGTCTTTTAAAACTTCACAGTCCCTATGAACTTGCAACTGTTTATTATTACTATTAAATTCAAATGACTCAAAAATACTCACTCTGCCAAAAATTTTTGCCGAGACAAATAATTTAAAAATTGCCATCCAAATCGAAACGTAAGAAGGACTGTTAATAAAATACGCCGCGTTTAGCCTCATCGAAAAAATATCCTGCAAAACAAAAACAAACAACCAGTGTAACAAAACGTGTATACTTGTATACCTTGTAGATTTTGACAGCCGCCAGCACCATTCTGGGCGATAAGGTACACATATCTCTGAAAGTAATGTTGGCCATATCAACAATAACGATATCATCAATCATCAAATCCTCTTGCAGTCTGATCTCGTAGATACATACACATAATTTTATTGAATTGAGTGCACAAAACGTGTTTTTATTCTTAGGATTTACAAACACAACCCTATGGCCACCATCCAGAAGCTGCGGGTGGTTGCAAATATATCTACAAAAACACGAATATGCTTTTCTTAATTTTTTTAAATTTTGCTTACACTGCATCCATAGTTTCCTTTAAAGCTTGCAATTTCAGGTTGCTATTATTAAAAGCAATCGGGTACTTGGTCCTGAGGGTGTAATATTTATCAATTCTCTGTTTCGTTTTCTCCACGTCGAATTTACACAAATGCAACATGTTTCGGATTTTGGCATCGTCTGGGATTACAAAGTAAGCGATAGTGTAAGGGTATGGACACACTCACCCATGATTTCGGGAAGATGGGTTTGTGCTTCTAGCCATGTTTTGATGGTTTTTATTTGTTGTGTTACTGTTTCTTCAGTTTGTTCGAAGGATTCGTAAAATTTCTTGCGTGTTTCGCTCTCGAAATGATACATGGTGGAGTTTGTTCGGATACTGTTACAACACTAGTTTTGCTCCTTATTTGGTTTAGATAAAAAGAGATTGATAACTGTGTTTTTCTAGTTGATTATATTTTGTAACGAAGATTTGGTATGTTTTTTTTTTCATTTTAGTGGACTAGGTAGACGGATGTTTTTATCTATGGTTTGTTTGTTCTCATTGGTTAAAGTTCATATCAGAATAGTGTCGACTAATTGTGCATATACATCGATACGATAGTACAAGTGTGGTAACTATCAATGAAGTGTTTTTATTAAGTGATTTTTTAAGTCAAATAACCTTTGGGGAGTGTCGGGGAATTAAGAGAGGGGTACATTTTTTATTCTACATTGATCTATACCTACATGCAAAAGTGTTTATATTGACTGACTGATTCATCAACGCAAAGCCTAAACTATACTGAAGCTAAAAACGGAGCTGCAGGTACCAACTTATATTTTTTACGATTTTATGATTATACTTTACAAATAAAGATTTAGTTTTAGGACACTCGTAAATGAACCTGCTCGAAAAATAATTAGGAAAAATCACCACAATCTAACATTATTTTTATTTATACAGTTTCTTTTCGTAGGTGAGAATTTTGCTCAGCGTTTCAGGTAGTTCCAACATTTCCAAAACGCACTTCAACTGTCTATAATTTTTGATATTATAAAATTCCGTCAGGTGCTTCCGGGTTTCATTTCTCGCTAACTCAATCAACAGAGGCACTTCAGGTAATTCTTTCCCCTTCCTTTCCAACTTATCGTTCACGTGCAAAAGAAATTCCTTCAGTCGATGATGGGAGAAATGTTCCAGCACCATATCCAAAGAATCAGAAACGTATTGGTCGCTGTTCAAAAAAAATTTCTCTATCGTTAATTGAACATCATATATAAGCTGCGGCATAAGGAGTTTGCGCTTTGGGGGCATAGATGTTTGACTAATGTCCATTAACATCATCTGTTTAAACAATGAACAAAAACCGTACTTCATATAGACAATCCCCGCATCAAAATGGTCAATCCGGACACCTTGCGTCAAGAGGTGTGATATTATGCTCATTACTCTTTGCATCTGATTGTCGTTCAAGGTACCCATATTTTCAAAAAAACTGCCGATTCTAAATTTATGGAACCCAGACCGGTTTCGTTTATTGATGCTTCGTACTATACAAGCAGACAGATGACTGTTGACCAGAAAAGTCATATTCTCAATTGCTCGAGAAGTTTCCTGCGCCGAAGTAACTGAATCTTCCAAGCAGGAACGAAATGCACCAAGAAAATCGCGACCCAAAATTATATCCCTCAAGGCATCTTCAAATAGTTCCATAAACAATTTCAAGTAGTGAGGGTTCATGGGAAGAATGTAAGGGAGTAATTCTCTAAGCTCTCGGTCCGTATACAAAACTTCTGAAACCTTTTCAAATAAGATGTCGACACACGGATCATCAAAAACTACAGCTTCTATCAAAATCGGCAGACGTACAGGAGCTTTGTAGTCATCAAAGATATAGTCTAACAAAATTTCTTGTACTTCCAACGCTGCGAAACACAACGATGCACAGCGTGGCGTTGTTGTGGCTAGGGTTGCATCAGCACCATAACACAAAAGCATGCAAAGACTCTCTATACACTCGCTGCCACAAGCCTTCATTAAAGGAGTGCTCCCCCTATAATTTGCAACGTTTGGATCAACACCCATTGCGAGCAAAAGCTGACAAGCTCGTAAGCAGTTATACGAAACTGCATGAAGTAAAGGTGTGTCTCCATTACGGTCGGTCAGGTTAATATTTGCACCCTTCTGTATTAACTTTATCGCTGCAGGCTCATTATGGTCCTTGAAAGCATTGAAGAGAGCAGTTCCTCCAGGACCGTCCTCCGCATCGATCGGTGCGCCATCTGCATTTAGTAATACTTCAAGGGCTTCTAACCTACAAAAGCAATCAGACACGACTGGGTGAAGTACGTACGCACGTACTCTACCTGTTTCTATCAACGGCAAAATGTATTAAAGTTTTGTTCCATGCATCGGTTAAACTGATTCCACCTCCTGTTTCTAGTAAATGTTTTAAGTGTGTTGAGTTATTGTTTTCGACGGCGAGAGCTAATTCCTTTTGGTGAAAATTGCTACCATCCACCTACAACGTCTCTCAGCTGGTTAATTAATTCTCGGTTTCGTACCTTGTACCTCTGGAAGAGTGTGAGGAATTGGGTTTATCCAATCGTACCACAACCATTTTTTCTCCATGTTGCATCTTAGGACTTTTGGAGTGAAGTGAAATTCGAAGGTTTTTTTCATTGATTTTATTTTTAGGCTGAGCACTATTTTGGGCTTTTGTTTAAAGTCAAGATAGGCAACCAGTTACACTATTCTTTTTGAAACAAGTATGTGCGCCCTCTACATCTACTTTTCTAAGACGGTCTTGATTTTTTGTGAGTCTGTGTTAAGCTGGATTTTAAAAATTATTATTCATTTACCACGTGACTATTGTTAAATGGTATAAATAAGTAGACTGAGAAAACTGAACTTGTAAAAGTAAAACAAGCTATTTTACAATAAATATTGCGCAGAAATATCTTTTGTAAAAACGGCAAAGGATTTTTTTAAAATTATAAATCTCCTAAACCCCCCAGCATCATAGTAACATTTTATTTATAGACAACATAAAACTATATATGTTTATTCTACCAAAAACATAAAAAGAATGATCGGTTTGAGTAATTCTTATGCTCTTAAACTTTCATCAACCTTTAGTGTATCCAAAAGATCGAACCTGTCCTGATAGTCGACGAATTTTTGTTTTATCATATCTGAAAATTTTCTACTTTTTTGGCGCTAATTAGTGCAAAAAATAAATACCGTTGAGTTCATCTAACGATGGCCCGCTTCCTCCAAAATCCTTTGGTAGATCCTCGGGAGAAAATATGTCCTTCAAAACTTCACTGTCCCTGTAGACTTGCAACTGTTTATTATGAAAATATAAATTGAAATGAATCCAAAATATAACCCACCCTGGCAAAAATTTTGGCCGGAAAAAGTAATTTAAAAAGTGCCATCCAGACTGAGACGTACGCGGGACTATTAACAAAATACATTGCTCTTAGCCTCATGGAGAAAGTATTCTGAAAAACAACACCAAACATCAAGTGTAATAAACTACGTGTTTTCGTTTGTATACTTTGTAGATTTTAACAGCTGCTAGCGCTATTCTAGGTGATAATGTACACATATCTCTGAAAGTAACGTTGGCCATATTAACAATAATAACATCATCAATCATCAAGTCTTCTTGCAACCTAATCTCATAAATACAAAAAAATATTTTTATTCCATTAATAGAACTGAGCACATTTTTCTTCTTGGGGCTCATAAACAGAACCCTATGGGCACCATCCAGAAGCTTCGGGTGGTTGCATAAGTGTCTACAAAAACAAGAAACTTCTTTTCTTAAATTTTGTAAATTCTGCTTACATTGTATCCATAGTCTCCTTCAAAGCTTGCGATTTCGGGTTGCTGTCGTTAAAAACGTTTGGATACTTGGTCCTGAAGGTGTAATAGTTATCAATTTTCTCCTTCGTTTTGTCCACGTTGAATTTACTCAAATGCAATATGTTTCGGATTCTTGCATCATCTACCATCACGAAATAAGTAATAGTCGAAGAGTATGGATACTCACCCATGATTTCGGGAAGGTGGGTTTGTGTCTGCAGCCATATTTTTATTGTTTTTACGCGTTCAGTTACCGTTTCTTCAGTTTCTCCAAAGGATTCGTAAAATTTTTTACGCGTTTCGTTATCGCAGTGGTACATGGCGGAGGCTACTTGGATACTGTTTCAAAGCGAGTTCTGTTTGGGTCAGTTGTTTGGTTAGATAAATAAATAACTTGATAACAATGTTTTCTTAGGCTTGGAAAGTAACTACATTTTTTTAATGATAACAGAAACAGAATGATCAAAGTTTGAGTTATTTTTCACGCTCTTAGACTTTCTTCAACTTTTAGTGTATCCAAAAGATCAAACCTCTCCTGATACTCGATAAATTTTTGCTGCATCATATCTAAAACTCGTTCACTTTTTTGACGATATTTTTAGTGGAAATCAACTCTCTCCTTCACCTTCTCTGCGTTGAATTTACACAAATGCAGCATGTTTCGGATTTTTGCGTCGTCTAGGTTTACCAAATAAGCGATAGTCGAAGATTAGGGACACTTATCCATGATTTCGGGCAGATGGGTTTGGGTTTCCAGCCATATCTTGATGGTTTTTATTTGCTCAGCTACCGTTTGTTCAGTTTGTTCAAATGATGCGTAAAAGTTTTTGCGTGTTTCGTTATCGAAGTGATACATGGCGGAGTCTGTTTGGGTACTGTAGTAAAACTAGTTTTATTCACTATTTGGGTTAGATAAAAGGAGATATTGAAAACGTGTTTTTGTAGTTGAATTCTTTTTCGTTTCATTGTGATAGGTTAAACTTATGTTGTCGTGGGTGATTTATTTTTCCGCACCGGTTAAAGTTCACGTGAGGATCGTGTTAATTTTTTTGTGTAAATATGATGGTCAAAGTTAGACGTTTAGAGTAAATATCTATGAAGCGTTTTTATTAAGTAGGTACATAGTTTTCATATTTAACCTAATTGAAATTACCTTTGAAAATAAAGTTTCTCTTCGAACGTGACAATTTTCCCGTCAACTGTCTGTAATTTTTAATATTATAAAAGTTTATTAGAAAAAAATCTCCACAACATGACATTGTTTTTATATATACAGTTTCTTTTCGTAGGTGAGAAGTTTGTTCAGCATTTCCGGTAGTTGCAACATTTCCAAAACGAACTTCAACTGTCCATAATTTTTGATATTATAAAAGTCCACCAGGTGTTTTCGGGCTTCATTTCTGGCTAACTCAATCAACAGAGGCACTTCAGGTAATTCCTTCGCCTTCCTTTTGAACTTATCGTTCATGTGCAAAAGAAATTCGTTCAGTCGATGATGGCAGAAGTGTTCCAGCACAATATCCAAAGAATCAGAAACGTATTGGTCGCTGTTCAAAAAAAAATTTTCAATCGTTAATTGAACATCATATATAAGCTGCGACATAAGGAGTTTGCGCCTTGGAGGCATAGATGTCTGCCTAATGTCCATTAAGATCATCTGTTTAAACAATGAACAAAAACCAAACTTCATATAGACAATCCCCGCATCAAAATGGTCAATCCGGACACCTTGCGTCAAGAGTTGTGATATTATAATCATTACTTTTTGCGTCTGACTGTCGTTCAAGGTACCCATCATTTGAAAAAAACTGCCTATTCTAAATCTGTGGCAGCTAGACGTGTTTCGCTTATTAATGCTTCGTACTACACAAGCAGACAGATGACTGTTGACCAGAAAAGTCATATTCTCAATTGCTCGAGAAATTTTCTGCGCCGAAGTATTTAGATCTTGCAGACACAAATTAAATGCGCCAAAAAAATCGCAACTCAAAATTATATCCCTCAGAACATCTTCAAACAGTTCCATAAACAATTTCAAGTAGTGAGGGTTCATGGAGGAAATGTCGCGAACTAAATAATTAAGCTCTCTCTCTAAAGGGGTCGTCCCTACATAATTAGCAACGTCTGGATCGACACCCATTTCAAGCAAAAGCTGACAAACTTTCAAGCAATTATTCGAAATTGCTTGAAATAAAGGAGTGTTTCCTTTACGGTCCTTAACGTTGATATTTGCACCCTTCTGTATTAACTTTATCGCTGCAAGCTCTTTATGTCCACCCAAAGCGTTCAAAAGAGCAGTTCCTCCAGGACTGTCCTTTGCATCGATTGGTGCGCCATCTGCATTTAGTAATACTTCAAGGGCTTTTAACCTAAAAAAGCACATGACTGGGCGAACTACATATCTACGTACTCTACCTGTTTCTAGCAACGGCAAAGTGTATTAAAGTTCGGTTCCATGCATCAGTTAAACTGATTCCACCTCCTGTTTCTAGTAAGTGTTTTAAGTGTGTTGAGTTATTGTTTTCGACGGCGAGAGCTAATTCCTTTTGGTGAAAATTGCTACTATCCACCTACAACGTCTCTCAATTGGTTAATTAATTCTCGGTTTCGTACCTTGTACCTCTGGAAGAGTGTCTGGAATTGGGTTTATCCAATCGTCCCACAACCATTTTTTCTCCATGTTGCATCATTGGATTTTAGGAGTGCGGAGTGAAGTCAAATTTAGCGTCTTTTTTCATTGATTTTATTTTTAGCGGGACCACTATTTTGGGCTTTTGGTCGCAATGAAGATAGACAACCAGTTACACTAATGTTTTTGGAAAGTAGTATCTGTGCGCTCTACACTTACCTGTTCTCTAACACGGTTGTAATTTTTGTTGAGTCTGTGGTTTAAAACTGGATTTTAAAAGCTGTTCTTCATTTACCACGTAACTATTCCTAAATGGTATAAACAAGTAGACTGGGGAAACTGAACTTGTAGAAGTAAAAGAAACTATATTAAAATAAATATTGCTTCATTCATTATCAATTTACGTGCAATTTTCATTTATGCAGAAACATCTTTTGTAAAAAGGACTAAGGGTTGTTTACAAATTTACACTACACAAAACTGGATATATTTATATTCTTACGCTCTTAAACTTTCATCAGCTTTTAGTGTATCCAAAAGATCGAACCTCTCCTGATGCTCGTCGACTTTTTGTTTCATCATATTCAAAACTCTTTTAAGTCTTTAGTATATATCAATACATACTGTGTTCAGACGCGTACAGAAGGATAAGCAGCCAGTAATGCGTTGCTTTAAAATTTATGCCCGTGTAATAATTGACATTCAAACACTTATTCGTTTATTTATTTTTCCACCAGGTGGTAACTGTAATAATTTTTAATTCCCCAAAATCTGAAAAAAAGGCAGCAATTCAGAAAATAACTCTTTATTAAAATGGTCACCAGACCATATTCAATACAAAACTGGGTACAAATACCCCATAAATGGCACATTTTCATGGATAAAGTTTCTCTTCAAACGTGAGAATTTTCCTGCACTTTTCCGGCATATTCAACATTCTCACAACCCACGCCAACTGTCTAAAATTTCTGATTTTATAAAAGTCGACCAGATGCTTCCGGGTTGCATTTCTGGCCAACTCAATCAACAGGGGAACCTGCGGTAACCTCTTCACTTTCCTTTCAAACTTATCACTCACGTTCAAAAAAATCTCCTTTAGTTGAGGATGGCTGAAGTGATCCAGTACTAGATGCAAATAATTGGAGTCGTACTGGTCGTTGTTCACTAAAAACTCCTCCATCGTCATTTTAACATCACAAATCAGCTGCGGCAGAAGTTGTTTGCGCTTTTTTCTCATATAGGAGTTACCAACATTCAACAGACTCATCTGTTTAAAAAGTGGACAGTAACCGTACTTGACGTAGACAACACCGAGATCGTAATAGTTAATTCGGAGACCTTGCTTCAAGAGCTGCGACACTACATCCATTAGTATTTTAATCTGGGTTTCACTCAACTTAGGCAACTGCTTAAAAAAATCACCGACTGTGTATTTGTAACCGGGATTTCTGCTGTCGTTATTTATACTCTTGACCATACAAGAGCATAAATGACTCCTGACAAGGAGGGACAAGTTCTCGATCGCCGTAGCATTTTCCTCTGGTGAATTTGTGTCGCGCTTCAAGAATTCACCAAACACCAGAAGCGGATCATCGTGCAAAATCAAATCTATCAACGCACATTCAAACTGTTCTATAAAGAGCTGCAAATAATGTGACTTCAAGCGCGGAATTTTGCAGACGAGATGGTCAAACTCCTCTTTCTTGTACAAAATTTGAGACACCTTTTGTAATAGCGTGTCACTAAAGGCAGTCTGAGAAGTCATAGCTTCCATTAGAACATTTAAATGCACGGGAATTTTGTAGTCGTCGAAGATATAGTCTGACAAGATGTCTTGTATTTCTAAAGGAATGCGCGTTAATTGTGCATTGGCCGCTAATACGATTGACGTTGCATCAACTCCGTAGTACAAAAGCATACAGACACCCTCAACCCAGTTTTTTTTACAAGCAACCAATAAAGGCGTCTGTCCTGTGTCACTACCCAGGTTCATATCGACACCCTTGTTGAGCAAAAGTCTACAAGCTTGCAAACACCTATTTGACACCGCATGCAATAAGGGCGAACGTCGCCTGATATCTACAACATTGACATCGGCACCCTCTTCAATTAGTTTAATTGCTAGAGGTTCCGCGCGTGTTCGCAAAGCCAACGACAGAGGCGTCTCTTGGAGGTTCCAGTCCTCGACGTCGATCGGTGCGCCCTCTGTGTTTAATAACACGTCAAGGATTCCTAACCTATAAAAACAACTTCAAATAAAACTTTTTTGTGTGAAGTAATTTGTACCTTTGGCGTTGAACCGCGTAATGTATTAAAGTTCTTCCTGCGGCGTCCCTCAAACGGATTCCTCCACTTTCAGCTAGTGTACGTCTTAACTTAGCTGGTTTGTTGTTGTCAACAGCAGAGGCCAATTGGGACTTGAGACTCTTAAACTAAAAAGTAGGTTTTAGCTTGACTTACAACAACTTATTCTGGATCCGTACAGAGGTGGAAATTGGATAATAACACCACAAACCCCCGATGTCGTCGTCACCATCCATTAGTAAGATTTATATGATTCAACTCTGGACTCAAGATTGTTTACTTTGGTTCGTTCGAGGTTCGTAAACGTGATTTTGTTCCCTTCCAGCATACATAGGCAACCAACTATACTTGACTTTTGAGTGTAGGAAGTGTCAAATTAAAATTTGACACGTAAATGTAGTAAAGTTTTACCATTTTGACACATTAATTTGCTAATCCACTTTCTTTTTTTGCCTCTGTTTTATAATATGTTAATATGTGATTATATAAATAGTACCTACATATACACTGTGAAAAAAAAAAAGATTAATTTTATAGTTTGCATAGGCAACCAATTATATTGCGTTGTAGTGTGGGAAGTGTTTCTGGGCTAACTAATTTTGTATGTATAAGGTCGATTTATAAACTTGTCGCTTTTAAACACATATGTGTAAAATGTTTGTAGGAAAGTATCGCTTTTGCAATTAGGCTCCGCCTCTCCCTGTGACAACCATTGAAAAATTCATCACAATTGCGCTTGGGATGGATATGGGTGGGGCTTAATATTTGGCTTGTTTTTTTCTTAATATACATTGGTTCATAACATTCTTTGGACAACACGATACTCAAAAACGTGTTCTTTATTTCTTGTAGTGTTGCAATTAAGCTCCGTCCCTTTGGCCCAAGGCGAATAAAAAAATCATCACAATTGATATAGGGCGGGTGGGCGGGGCTTATATTTTGCCTTTTTTTTCTTAATATACATGGCCATCTTTTCACAACAATAAACTTAGAACATTATGGGGCGGAGCGTAATTGCAAAATCGATATCTCCTTATACAAATTTAGCATTTTAAACATGTTCCAAATAAAAGATAAAATGTCAGCCCGCCCACCCACTCCATCGCAATTGTGCTTATTTTTTTATTCGCCGTTAACCAAGGGGGCGGAGCTTAACTGCAAAATACTCATTTCTTTACAAGAAATGAAAAACATGCTTTTGCGTCGCGTGTTGTTCAAAAAATACGACCATTAAAAAAATCATCACAATTGAGATAGGGCGGGTGGGCGGGGCTTATATTTAACCTTTTTTCTTAATAGCCGTAGTCGTTATTTCAAAACAAGAAACCTAAAACATGCTTGAAATGGTAAATTCTTGTAGATAAATATAGATCTTACAATTAAACCCCGCCCCTAGATGTGACAACGAATGAAAAATTCATCACAATTGAAATAGGGTGGGTGGGCGGGGCTACATTTATTTTGCCTTTTTTTAATATGTGTGGTCATCTCTTCACAATAAGGAACTTAAAACATGTTTAAAATAGTACATTTGTATAGGGAAACATCGATTTTGCAATTATGCTCCGCCCGCGGTCTGACAACGAATGAAAAATTCTTAACGATTGAGATCCAGATGGATGGGTGGGGATTCTCTTTTAGTTTTCTTTTTTAATTAATACATACATTTAGATTTCTTTTTATAACACGATTACATAAGAACATATGTCACATGGCAATTTTTCGTGGAAAACTAAGAATTTTGCAATTAAGCTTCGCCCTCTTGGCTCACGACGAATATAAAAGTCATCAAAATTGCGATAGGGCGGGTGGGCGGGGCTTATATTGTGCCTTTTTTTCTTAATACATATACATAGCCATCTTTTCACGACAAGAAACTTAGAATATGGTTAAAATGTTAAATTTTTACAAGGAAATATGGATTTTGTGATTATGGGGCGGAGCGTAATTGCAAAATCGATATTTCCTTATACAAATTTTCCATTTTAAACATGTTCTAAATAAAAGATAGAATGTCAGCCCGCCCACCCGCCCTATTGCAATTGTGATTATTTTTTTATTTGCCGTGAACTAAGGGGGCGGAGCTTAACTGCAAAATACTTATTTCTTTACAAGAAATTAAAAACATGCTTTTGAGTAGCGTGTTGGTCAAAAAATACGACCATTAAAAAAATCATTACAATTGAGATAGGGCGGGTGGGCGGAGCTTATATTTTGCCTTTTTTCTTAATATACGTAGTCGTTGTTTCAGAACAAGAAACCTAAAACATGCTTAAAATGGTAAATTCTTGTAGATAAATATGAATCTTGTAATTAAGCCACGCCCCTAGATGTGGCAACGAATGAAAAATTCATCACAATTGAAATAGGGTGGGTGGGCAGGGCTACATTTATTTTGCCTTTTTTTAATATGTGTAGTCATCTTTTCACAATAAGGAACTTAAAACATGTTTAAAATAGTACATTTGTATACGGAAACATCGATTTTGCAATTATGCTCCGCCCCGCGTTCTGACAACAAATGAAAAATTCTCCACGATTGAGATCGAGACGGTTGGGTGGGGCTTCTCTTTTGGTTTTCTTTTTTAATTAAAACATTTAGTTTTCTTTTTATAACACGATTACATAAGAACATATTTCACATGGCAATTTTTCGTGGAAAACTAAGGATTTTGCAATTAAGCTTCGCCCTCTTGGCTCACGACGAATATAAAAGTCATCACAATTGCGATAGGGCGGGTGGGCGGGGCTTATATTGTGCCTTTTTTTCTTAATATACATAGCCATCTTTTCACGACAAGAAACCTATAATATGGTTAAAATGTTAAATTTTTGCAAGGAAATATGAATTTTGTAATTATGGGGCGGAGCGTAATTGCAAAATCAATATTTCCTTATACAAATTTTCCATTTTAAACATGTTCTAAATAAAAGATAGAATGTCAACCCGCCCACCCACCCTATCGCAATTGTGATTATTTTTTTATTCGCCGTGAACTAAGGGGGTGGAGCTTAACTGCAAAATACTTATTTCTTTACAAGAAATTAAAAACATGTTTTTGAGTATCGTGTAATTCACAAAATATACCTAACCATTAAAAAAATCATCACAATTGAGATAGGGCGGGTGGGCGGGGCTTATATTTTGCCTTTTTTTTCTTAATATACATAGCCATCTTTTCACGACAAGAAACTTATAATATGGTTAAATTTTTGCAAGGAAATATGAATTTTGTAATTATGGGGCGGAGCGTAATTGCAAAATCAATAAACAGTACAATAAAAAGTTTCATGTTGTGAAAAGAAGTGTACACATATTAAAACAAAAAGACAAAATGTTAGCCCGCCCACCCACCCTACCGCAATTGTGATGATTTCTTTTTTTTACTCGTGAACCTAGGGGGTAGAGCTTAACTGCAAAATACTTATTTTTTCACAAGAGATTAAAAACATGTTTTTGAGTATTGTGTTGTTCAAAAAATATGTACTGCGTGTATTAAAGAAAAAAAAAAGGCAAAAAATAGATCCCCCCACCCACCCCTTCTCAATTGTGACGATTCTTTTATCCTTAGAAACCTAAAACATATTTAACTTGGTAAATTTTTTTAAGGAAATATGGATTTGGTATTTAGGCTCCGCCCCAAGTCTGCCAACGAATGAAAACTTCATTACTATTTAGATCAGGGCAAGTATAGGTGGGGCTTAATGTTTGGCTTTAAGTTTTTTTAACAGATTTACATAGTATGTTTTGAATGACACGATACTTAAAAACATGTTTTTAATTTCCCGTAGAGAAATAATTTGCAGTTAACCTCCGCCCTCTCGGCTCACGACGAATAAAAAAGATCATCACAATAGAGATAGGGTGGGTGGGCGGGGCTTATATTTTGCCGTTTTTCTTATTAGACGTTGTCGTCTTTTCAGAACAAGAAACTTAAAACTTGTTTAAAATAGTAAATTCTTGTGGACAAATATATATCTTTCAATTAAGTCCCGCCCCTCGACCCGACAACGAATGAAAAATTCATCACATTTGAGAATTGGGATCGGGGCGGGTATGGGTGGGGTCTAATCTTTGCCTTTATTTTTTTCTTAATATACAAAATAGTCTTTGAATAACACTATACTCAAAAACATGTTTTTAATTTCTCGTAGAGAAATAAGGATTTTGCAGTTATGCTCCACCCTCTTGGCTCACGACGAATAAAAAAAATCATCACAATTGAGATGGGGTGGGTGGGCGGGGCTTATATTTTCCACTTTTTTCCTAATATGTGCAGACTTATTTCGACAACAAGAAACTTAAAACATGTCTAAAATGGTAAACGTCAACTGCAAGTTTATAAATCCCACTATAACATCAACAACACTTTATTTGAGTATGGAATAATCACCTAACAGCTTGTAACATACTTAATCTACATCCAGTTTCTTGAAACTCCCGTAGTACCCCAAAATGTCATCATTGCTGAGCTTCTCGGGACGCAGTCTTTCATCGACCCTCATTGCGTCCAACTTGTCAAACCTGTCTTGGTGCTCAGCGAGCTTCGCCTTCAACATTTCTAAAACGCCAATTTACTTCAAGTATAGTTTTTCTCAAATCCTACCGTTCATTTCTTCCAAACTAGGTCCTTCGCCCCCGTAATCTTTCGGAAGCACCTTTTTCGGAAACAACCTCTTCACAGCGGAATCATCCGGACAAAACTCCACCCTCTCAAACAGCTTAGGCGGCAAAACTGCTTTTAAAATCGTCGCAATAACGGAAAAGAAGCTGGGGCAGTTCATGATGATGAGTTTCTTCATCCGAATCGCGTAGACTTTCTACAAAACTAGAAATCAGAGGCTTTCCAGTAGTTCGAGACTCACCTTATAAACGGCGAAAAATTTTGACATGTACATCGGAGTGAGTTTCTTCACGTCGTTGAGGGCGAAGGAGTCCACGTCGAAAATGAGGATTTCGTCGATCATGAAGTCTTCGGATAGTCGGAGTTCGTACACGTCGTACCAGAGGTTGGTGAGTTCGAAGGGGTGCATGGAACTGGGAGACTTACCTTTGGCTAGGTAAACACGGGTGACCCCATCGACCAGAGTCGGGAAAATCGCCATGTACCTACCATGTAAGTCACAGTTGTGTAGGGTAGTTTTAAACGATTAGGACTTACATTTGGTCGAAGACTCGTCGGATTAAGTCGGACTTGGGGTTGCTCTCTGCGAAGAAATCGGGAATTAGGGCCCGGATGGTGTAGTACATGTCGATCTTCTCTTTAGTTTTTTCCAGACTGAATTTGTTTAAGCTGAGGAAGTTTTTGATTTTGACGTCCTCTGAAAACTATAGTTTTAGTGGTAGAAAGTTTGGGGGAGGGTTTACCCATTAGTTCGGGGAGGTGAGGCTGCGTTTTCATCCACTCTTTGATAATGGTGACGTCATCGTCCACACTTTCTTCGGTTCTTCCAAACGATTCGTAGAAGTTTTTTTTCGCTTCGTCAGTTATCTTCAAGCTGAACATGGTTAAAGTTAGAGAGTTGAGAGCATGTGTGATGCCAAACGCGGCGTACTTAATTTTATATGTAAATTTATACTTCATCCTGTTATACAAGTTTTTCTTTAAGAAATAATAAATCGTAATCTTGTCTGTTTTAATGGTGTGGTCAAGGTTAAAATAATTTTTAGTACTGATTAAAATGCCGAAGGCTGTAAGAGGTCAGACAAAAGCAGAAAATGCAACTTGTTGCACCGTAGGTTTATTAACCAAAAATAAATGCGCAAAATACACATCAACCACTAAATCGATCTACTCGTAAATTTGGCACAGTTCTTCCCTATGTGGGTCCTTTCAGCAAAATTAGTCCACACTGATTTGCCTGAAACTCCCATAGTATCCCAAAACTTCGTCGTTGTTCAGCTTCTCCGGGCGAAGTTTTTCATCAACTCTCAGCGTATCTAGCTTGTCAAACCGCTCTTGGTACTCGGAAAGCTTCATTTTCAACTTTTCTAAAAAGTGTATTAATTTATCGTGCGTTGTTTCAGACAATCGTACCATTCATCTCTTCCAGTGAGGGTCCTTCGCCTCCATAGTCCTTCGGTAGTACTTCTTTCGGCAATAACTTCTTCAAAGCGGAATCGTCTGGACAGAACTCCACCCTGTCAAAAAGTTTAGCTGGAAGAACAGTTTTTATGACAGTACCAACAACCGAAAAGAAAGTGGGACAATTAATGCAAATCATCTTCTTCATCCGAATCGAATACACTTTCTGGAAAAAACAAAAATCACTTGTGTTGAGTCTACGGCTTCGGGTTTAGTCGTCACCTTGTAAATATTGAAAAACTTGGAGAGAAAAATCGGGGTGAGCTTTTTGGTGTCGTTCACAGTGAAAGTGCTCACGTCAAAAACGAGAATGTCGTCGACCATGAAGTCTTCGTACAGTCTCACTTCGTAAACGTCGTACCAAAGACTTGTCAACTCTGGTGGGTTCGTGGAACCCATGTGCTTTCCCTTTGCTAAATAAACCCGACTGTGGTCGTCTACAGGAACCGGGAACACCGCCAGGTACCTTGAAAAACAAAAGTCAGCGACGCCGCAACACAACACAGACTTACATTTCACGAAACACTCGTTGTATAAGCTCAGATTTGGGGTTACTCTCTTGGAAAAATTCCGGAATTATGGAACGAATGGTGTAGTACATGTCAATCTTCTCTTTCGTTTTCTCCAAGCTGAATTTATTTAAGTTGAGGAAGTTTTTGATTTTGACGTTCTCTGAAAACTATTAGTTTTAGTGGTAGAAAATTTGGGGGATGAATTACCGATTAATTCTGGAAGGTGCGGCTGCGATTTCATCCACTCTTTGATTGTGTTGACGTCATCGTCCACCCTTTCCTCGGTTCGTCCGAATGATTCGTAAAAGTTCTTTTTTGCTCTTTCGGTAATGTTCGAGCTGTACATGATTCAGTTCTGACGTCAAAATCACTTGTGACGGCAAACGCTAGTCACTTGTTTTTATATTTATATATCATCCTGTAATACGGGTTTTATTGTAATAAACAATAAATCTTACTCTTTGCTCGTTTAATGATGCGATCGAGGTTAAAATAAACGTACTTGTTAATTAAAAATACCCAAGGCTGTAAAACGAAAGCTGAAAATGGATGGACATATCGTGAGCTTTTATGCACGCGAGAGCAGGATTAACCCAGATAAGCTAATTTCAGTTCAGTATTTAAAATTAATGAATTTGAAAATTTGCCATTATCAAAACTGTCGATCGAAAAATTTTGACTTCCACTAGGCCATGCATAGTCGTGCAGTTGGCATTATTGGTTTAGAAATAAAGGGTACAAAAGTAAGATATATATTTAGTCACTCTTAGTCTTAACACTAAAAAGAAAAATTACGACGGTTCTAAAACCGTCTGCAATAAAGTCGATCAGTTCCCCGCTTTTAAACTGCCTATAAAGTTTTATGTTAAATTAACTATGTTAATGCAAAGACTGTAAATTTTATTATTATTATTATTATAACCTGTACGGCATACGGAGATATCAAAATTTTTTAAACGTCTTTAATGTAGATCAAAATACGCATAAATGGGTCATTTTTCCATTTCGGGTGAGATGTCTCGTTTGGTCCCTGTACCCTTGAGACAAATGACAGGTTAATTCAAATTATGTTTGTCTGTTAATCGGGTCAAACTCCCCTATATGGAACTGTTTGTCTACGAAACTGGAATGAATAATTAGATTAATAAAACTATTACAAAGCGCGACAAAGAAAACTTCGAGAAAGGCGCTCAAATTTTCCCTATTTAGGTTTTTCCGATTCTTCGTTTTCGAAGTTTGCTGTTGCTTGTCGGCGTTCTGTAATAGTTCTATTGCTGCGTTTTTTTTTTGCTTTATTCGAGTTTTTCAGGTTTTTGTAAACAAGCAAACTTTGTTGGAATGTCAAAGATCAAAAAATAGTAATAATTATAGTGATGTCTGATGTCTGTTTAACCTTGCACATGTTTTATTGTACAATAAAAGCATTATTAGTTTATGCGTAATAATGCAGCATGATTACTATTATTATATGTATCAAAGAGCAACCTCATTGGTAATTTATACTAACCTATTAAATTACTTCAAAAACTACACAGGAAAAATAACACCTTTTTTTTTAATTCGTAAACTTTTCCGGAGAAATCAAATTCCGCTTAGATTTTTGTCCAGAAGAATGTATAATTGGTTGCATATACTTCGGTGATCCTTAATTATAAATTTTAAACAACTTTTTAAAAAGTGGAATGTTCTACATTTTCTTGTCGATTCTTTCGATCGTTGAAATATCGAGATTTTTAGAAATTCTTAAAAATTCGCATTTCATACAGATTCTTTCGAAAATGCTGCTCCGTCACCATCAACACTCTATATTTTTGGAATCAGCATGTCGAGATCTACGTCCATGAATTTTTTCATTATTTTTAGACAACTTTAAAACAGTGAAATTTTTCCAATGGTCCCAAATTTCGGTGAAATTTTGACATTTTCGAAACTTAACTAAATACATTTTCTTGTAGATTTCGAACTCTAGAACGCATTTCCGGCCTCGTTTCTTTGATAACTCGAACCGTTTTTCCGGAATCGACCGTTGAAATATCGAGATTTTTTTAAACCTTCAGGAATTCGCTTTTGGTACCGATTCTTTCGAAAATGCTGCTCCGTCACCACCAACAGTCTAAATTTTTGGAATCGGCATGTCGAGATCTACGTCCCTGAATTTTTTCATAATTTTTAGACAACTTTTTAAAAAGTGAAATTTTTCCAATGGTCCCCCCTTCTTCAAATTTCGGTGAAATTTGGACATTTTCGAAACTTAACTAAATACATTTTCTTTTAGATTTCGAGCTCTAGAACTCACTTTCGGCCTCGTTTCTTTGATAACTCGAACCGTTTTTCCGGAATCGACCGTTGAAATATCGAGATTTTTTTAAATCTTCAGAAATTCGCTTTTCGTATCGATTCTTTCGAAAATGCTGCTCCGTCACCATCAACAGTCTATATTTTTGAAATCAGCATGTCGAGATCTACGTCCCTGAATTTTTTCATAATTTTTAGACAACTTTTTAAAAAGTGAAAATTTTCCAATGGTCCCCCCTTCTTCAAATTTCGGTGAATTTTTGACACTTTCGAAACTTAACTAAATACAATTTCTTGTAGATTTCGAGCTCTAGAACTCACTTCCGGCCTCGTTTTTTTGATAACTCGAACCGTTTTTCCGGAATCGACTGTTGAAATATCGAGATTTTTAGAAATTCTCAAAAATTCGCATTTCGTACCGATTCTTTCGAAAATGCTGCTCGGTCATCATCAACAATTTATATTTTTGGAATCAGCATGTCGAGATCTACGTCCCTGAATTTTTTCACAATTTTTAGACAACTTTTTTAAAAGTGAAAATTTTCCAATGGTCCCCCCTTCTTCAATTTTCGGTGAAATTTTGACATTTTCGAAACTTAACTAAATACATTTTCTTGTAGATTTCGAGCTCTAGAACTCACTTCCGGCCTCGTTTCTTCGATAACTCGAACCGTTTTTCCGGAATCGACCGTTGAAATATCGAGATTTTTAGAAATCTTCAAAAATTCGCACTTCGTACCGATTCTTTCGAAAATGCTGCTCCGTCACCATCAACAGTCTATATTTTTGGAATCAGCACGTCGAGATCTACGTCCCTGAATTTTTTCAGAATTTTTAGACGACTTTTTCAAAAGTGAAAATTTTCCAATGGTCCCTTCTTCAAATTTTGCCGAAATTTTGACATTTTCGAAACCTAACTGAGCACATTTTCTTGTAGATTTCGAGCTCCAGAACTCATTTCCGGCCTCGATTCTTTGATAGCTGCAACCGTTTTTCCAGAATCGACGGTTGAAATATCGAACTTTTTGAAAATTCGATAAATTAGGCATTTCGTACCGATTTTTTTGAAAATGTCGCTCCGCGACCATCAACAGTCTATATTTTTGGAATCAGCACGTCGAGATCTACGTCCCTGAATTTTTTCAGAATTTTAAGACGACTTTTTCAAAAGTGAAAATTTTCCAATGGTCCCCCCTTCTTCAAATTTCGCCGAAATTTTGACATTTTCGAAACCTAACTGAGTACATTTTCTTGTAGATTTCTTGCTCTAGTACTCACTTCCGGCCTCGATTCTTTGATAGCTGCAATCGTTTTTCCAGAATCGACGGTTGAAATATCGAAATTTTTGAAGATTCGATAAATTAGGCATTTCGTACCGATTTTTTTGAAAATGTCGCTCCGTCACCATCAACAGTCTATATTTTTGGAATCAGCACGTCGAGATTTACGTCCCTGAATTTTTTCAGAATTTTTAGATGACTTTTTCAAAAGTGAAAATTTTCCAATGGTCCCCCCTTCTTCAAATTTTGCCGAAATTTTGACATTTTCGAAACCTAACTGAGCACATTTTCTTGTAGATTTCGAGCTCCAGAACTCATTTCCGGCCTCGATTCTTTGATAGCTGCAACCGTTTTTCCAGAATCGACGGTTGAAATATCGAAATTTTTGAAAATTCGATAAATTATTCATTTCGTACCGATTTTTACGAAAATATCGCTTCGCGACTATCAACAGTCTATATTTTTGGAATCAGCACGTCGAGATCTTCGTCCCTGAATTTTTTCAGAATTTTTAGACGACTTTTTCAAAAGTGAAAATTTTCCAATGGTCCCCCCTTCTTCAAATTTTGCCGAAATTTTGACATTTTCGAAACCTAACTGAGCACATTTTCTTGTAGATTTCTAGCTCTAGTACTCACTTCCGGCCTCGATTCTTTGATAGCTGCAAACGTTTTTCCAGAATCACGGTTGAAATATCGAAATTTTTGAAAATTCGATAAATTAGGCATCTCGTACCGATTTTTTTGAAAATGCCGCTCCGCGACCATCAACAGTCTATATTTTTGGAATCAGCACGTCGAAATCTACGTCCCTGAATTTTTTCAGAATTTTTGAACGACTTTTTCAAAAGTGAAAATTTTCCAATGGTCCCCCCTTCTTCAAATTTCGCCGAAATTTTGACATTTTCGAAACCTAACTGAGTACATTTTCTTGTAGATTTCTAGCTCTAGTACTCACTTCCGGCCTCGATTCTTTGATAGCTGCAACCGTTTTTCCAGAATCGACGGTTGAAATATCGAAATTTTTGAAAATTCGTTAAATTAGGCATTTCGTACCGATTTTTTCGAAAATGTCGCTCCGCGACCATCAACAGTCCATATTTTTGGAATCAGCACGTCGAGATCTACGTCCCTGAATTTTTTCAGAATTTTTAAACGACTTTTTCAAAAGTGAAAATTTTCTAATGGTCCCCCCTTCTTCAAATTTCGCCGAAATTTTGACATTTTCGAAACCTAACTGACCACATTTTCTTGTAGATTTCGAGCTCCAGAACTCATTTCCGGCCTCGATTCTTTGATAGCTGCAACCGTTTTTCCAGAATCGACGGTTGAAATATCGAAATTTTTGAAAATTCGATAAATTATTCATTTCGTACCGATTTTTACGAAAATATCGCTTCGCGACTATCAACAGTCTATATTTTTGGAATCAGCACGTCGAGATTTACGTCCCTGAATTTTTTCAGAATTTTTAGACGACTTTTTTAAAAGTGAAAATTTTCAATGGTCCCCCCTTCTTCAAATTTCGCCGAAATTTTGACATTTTCGAAACCTAACTGAGTACATTTTCTTGTAGATTTCTAGCTCTAGTACTCACTTCCGGCCTCGATTCTTTGATAGCTGCAACCGTTTTTCCAGAATCGACGGTTGAAATATCGAAATTTTTGAAAATTCGATAAATTAGGCATTTCGTACCGATTTTTTCGAAAATGTCGCTTCGCGACCATCAACAGTCTACATTTTTGGAATCAGCACGTCGACATCTACCTCCCTGAATTTTTTCAGAATTTTTAGACGACTTTTTCAAAAGTGAAAATTTTCCAATGGTCCCCCCTTCTTCAAATTTCGGCCAAATTTTGACACTTACGAAACCTAACTGAGCACATTTTCTTGTAGATTTCGAGCTCGAGAACTCACTTCCGGCCTCGATTCTTTGATAGCTGCAACCGTTTTTCCAGAATCGACGGTTGAAATATCGAAATTTTTGAAAATTCAATAAATTAGGCATTTCGTACCGATTTTTTCGAAAATGTCGCTTCGCGACCATCAACGGGCTATATTTTTGAAATCAGGACGTCGAGATCTACGTCCTTGAATTTTTTCAGAATTTTTAGACACTTTTTTAAAAGTGAAAATTTTCCAATGGTCCCCCCTTCTTCAAATTTCGGCCAAATTTTGACATTTTCGAAACCTAACTGACCACATTTTCTTGTAGATTTCTAGCTCTAGTACTCACTTCCGGCCTCGATTCTTTGATAGCTGCAAACGTTTTTCCAGAATCGACGGTTGAAATATCGAAATTTTTGAAAATTCGATAAATTAGGCATTTCGAATTTTTTCATAATTTTTAGACAACTTTTTAAAAAGTGAAATTTTTCCAGTGGTCCCCCCTTCTTCAAATTTCGGTGAAATTTTGACATTTTCTAAAGTTAACTAAATACATTTTCTTGGAGATTTCGAGCTCTAGAACTCACTTTCGGCCTCATTTCTTTGGTAACTCGAACCGTTTTTCCGAAATCGGCCGTTGAAATATCGAGATTGTTTTAAATCTTCAGAAATTCGCTTTTTGTACCGATTCTTTCGAAAATGCTGCTCCGTCACCATCAACAGTCTATATTTTTGGCATCAGCATGTCGAGATGTACGTCCCTGAATTTTTTCATAATTTTTAGACAACTTTTTAAAAAGTGAAATTTTTCCAATGGTACCCCCTTCTTCAAATTTCGGTGAAATTTTGAAATTTCCGAAACTTAACTAAATACATTTTCTTGTAGATTTCGAACTCTAGAACCCACTTCCGGCCTCGTTTTTTTGATAACTCGAACCGTTTTTCCGGAATCGACCGTCGAAATATCGAAATTTTTAGAAATCTTCAAAAATTCGCATTTCGTATCGATTCTTTCGAAAATGCTGCTCCGTCACCATCAACAGTCTATATTTTTGGAATCAGCATGTCGAGATCTACGTCCCTGAATTTTTTCATAATTTTTAGACAACTTTTTAAAAAGTGAAATTTTTCCAATGGTCCCCCCTTCTTCAAATTTCGGTGAAATTTTGACATTTTCGAAACTTAACTAAATACATTTTCTTGTAGATTTCGAGCTCTTGAACTCACTTCCGGCCTCGTTTCTTTGATAACTCGAACCGTTTCTCTGGAATCGACCGCTGAATTATCGAGATTTCAAATTTAAATCACTAAAAAATTATTGTAAGTTTAACAAAATTAATACTTTTTATTTGAACACAAAAACATTTTAGTTCAGCATTCAACTATACAATTTCTTTTCGAAAGTCAGAATTGTTACAATTTCTTTACAAATCGGAAGCGTCTCTAGAACTTCACTAAACGTCTTAAAGTTTTCCACTTTATAGAAGTCGATAATATGCTGTCGAGCCACATTCCTCGCCAACTCTACCAATAGAGGCACCTGTGGCAACTTCTCCACTTTCTCTTCACATTTCAGCCTATTGTATTTCATTCCGTATTCTTTGACTCGCTGGTCACAAAACTGTTCCAAAGCGAATTCCAAAGACTCCAAATGCCACAAACGCGAATCCGTCAACTGCTCGATAAAATCCCTAACAGTCATTTTCACGTCGTAAATTAACTGCGCTATCAACACTTTTTGTTGGTGTAATCCTGTCTTCGTAAGCTCTGGATCCATAATCATGTATTTGAACAAAGGGCAAAACCCGAAGTAGAGATACACCACACCGGCGTCCAGTTGATTAAAGCGAACACCCTGTAGAACCAACTGTGTCACTAGATCCAGCAATCGACTGTTATCTTTCATTGTCGACAAATGAGCAACGTAATCACCAACAGTTGCATATTCCACTAGTCCACCCTTCAGTCTATACTTATTTATGTATTTCACGACGTAAACACAATAGTCGCTGTTTACTAAAGCACTAAAATTGTTTACAGATCTAACATCGTTCGAGCTAAACATCTGAAACGTGGGGTAGTTCTTCAGTATGTACTTTACGACATGGCCGAACCTTTCCATTAACAACGTCAAACAAAACGACTCCATTATTTCAACTTCGTACATAAGAAGTTCCTCGTATTCGTCATCTAAGTACCAAACGTCAGAAATATAATCCGCGATTCTTTCCAAAAGAGAAGTCCTCATCCTAGCCAATGTCTTCAAACGCATGTCGTACTTGTCACCGTCAAAAATGTAATCGAAAAGAACTTCTTGTATTTCTTGACGTGCTACATCAAACGGTGTGACTTTTCCTCTTTCTGGTTTGAGTACTTCAACCCCGTAAAACAAAAGAAGGTGAATAGCGTCCACCCGATTCATCTGACAAGCGCTCGTCAACAGATCATTTTTTTCCTCTGCGCAGTTAACATCCGCCCCTTTCTCTAATAAAGTTTTTGCCGTTTCGAGATGGCAATTTGGCCACGCGTTTAAACAATAATACAGGGCCGAGTTGCCCGATTTATCGACCAAATTTATGTCCGCACCTCTGTGGATTAATTTGTTTGCTATATCTACTTTGTCGAATCTCATAGCGAAAAGAAGTGGTGTTTCGACACCGAAACCTGGGGTTTGTTCAGCTTCAGCGTCGATGGGGACGCCATCTGTGGCCAGGAGTACGTCAACAATGTCAGATCTGAAAGTTAACATGTGAACACGTGAGAAGAATTTTTTTGAGGCGTTCGTTACTGGTCAAAGTCGATTGCCAGATGTAGCAAAGTGCTGTTTGTGGAGTCGACATAATCGATTCCTCCTGAGGCCAACAAGGTTCTTAAGGTATTTGGGTCATTTTCAAGGACAGCGGTGGCTAGTTGTGCCTTATGATACTCGACTGGGTTGTCCTAGAACATACTGAGTAATTTACGTTAATTATGTACATTGTTTTACCGGGGTTATTTCGTAGGCTTTATTTTTGTAGTCTATCCACAACATCTTCATATAAATATCACTAAATAGATAACCGCAATGTTATTAGCAACGGTAATTGTGTTAGGCAACCAGCAATACAGCGGTGAAAAAATAAATCTATGTTACTAGAGTATAAGTGTTTCATTTATTAGTTATTACGCTCAAAGTGACGCAGAATGTGTATAATAAATGACAACATACCGTGCGTTTTGTAACATAACGCAAATAAGGCAATACAGTGACTTGTCATGACGAAAATTCGTTCATCGGATGAAATCGCTTTCGTGTTACGTCATGCAACAGGTGAATGAAAGGATGTCAAAACAGTTCTAGATCAAAGCCAACTAACGTGGAATATCAACCACGGTAAACCTGAATCCCAAGTTTGCCGACTTCTGTAGTAAAGAATGGGACAGTTAGGTAATCAAATTGCCAAAACTTGCTCATTTTACGCAGTTAGTAAAAATGCAGAAATATATTTCAATATCAGTTGTACTAATTCTGAAAAAAAAGCTGCTACTTAAGCATGGCAGGGGTTATCAAACCACTATCGCAAAAATGTTTAAACGTTAATTGTAGAAACCAAGAGAAATATCTTTCCAAGTGAGTTAGTACTGTGAGTAACAACATATATATTTTGTGTAAGAAAAAATTTTACTAATTCTATAAAATCTTTTTAGACTTAAACAACACAACATTTTGATTTGTGTTATTTATAAACACACGTTAAGTTCGCTTTCAGTTGCAACCAAAGAAAATCGATAAAGCGTAACCTCGACCTATCCAGCCACGTAATTCAATAAAACACCCCCTTACATCAGAAAATTAATTTAGTTCAACTTCAGTAGCGATGCCGTTGCCAGCTAAAAAAACCCCAAACGACGTAAGTCAAAAAATACAAAATTCTCCTCTACCTCTGTCATTTGCAGCCCAATTACTACCCTAACTGCGACGCCAACGTATGGTTGCGTTCGTGCGAGCGCGAACTCGTCGAACCCATCAAAGGTACCATCACCGGTACCATACCCCCATGGTTGCAAGGTTCGCTACTCCGTAATGGTCCCGGGAGCATCAAAGTCGGCAAGGATTTTTTCGATCATTTGTTTGACAGTTCTGCTTTACTCCACCGGTAAAACTTTGCTTTTCGTTGATTATTCTTAACTCGTAGTTAAGTTTTTGCATTGAAAACGGAGGCGTGTCGTACCAGTGTCGCTTTCTCCAATCAGAAGTGTTCAAGACGAACAAAGCAGCCAATAGGATTGTTTTAACTGAGTTTGGTACGACGGCGGTACCCGATCCTTGTCGAACGATTTTTCAAAGGTACTACTTACGTTTTTTTCGTGTTTTTGTATAATAATGTAATTTGTAGAGTGGCTGCCATTTTTAACCCGAAGAGTAAACACACGTCGGATAATTCGATGATTTCGGTTTATCCGTTCGGGGATGAAGTGTATGCGTTCGGGGAAATGCCTGTGATTCATAGGGTTAATCAGACGAGCTTGGAAACGGAAGGGAGGGTGGATGTTAGTGATTTTGTTTCTATAGTGCATCACACTTCACATCCCCATGTTGTCGCGAAATCTGTGTACAATATGGCGCTGTCGTTTTTTCCTACCGGTCCGCATCACGTCATAGTTCATTTCCCGCCGAAAACGCAAGGTACTATTAGTACTAGAAGTGTGTTTAGAAATAGCTGTGTGTTTAAGGTGTGGGGGAGTCGAGCGACATGTTTACGCAAGCCAAGATAGTTGCAGGGATTCCAGCAAAGTGGCCTCTGCATCCATCATACATGCACACGTTTGGTTAGTACCACTGTTCGTACTTATAACACGTACTATTCGCTTCATTGCAGGTGTAACAGATAACTACTTTATCTTAGTGGAGCAACCACTGGCGGTTTCTATTGGTGGTATGTTAGCCGCTAAAGTAGCAAATCGGCCTATGGCCAGCTGCTTCCGGTGGTACCAACACGAAAAAGTAGATCTTTCTTCTGACGTTGTCTCTTAACGAAACTCTATCTTTACAGACCCGGATTAACCTAATAAGTAGGAAAACGGGAAATTTGGCGTACAAATTCTGCGCCGACGCTTTTTTTTATCTCCATATTATAAACCAGTACGAAGAATCTGATCACGTGGTGCTCGACATTTGCACCTATCGCGACCCCGCCATGTTGGACTGCATGTACATCAGTGCTATGAAGGTACGCATTTATCTTCCCATCTCTTTCTAAAGGTACTTCTTCCAGAACATGCAACATAACCAACGCTATGCGGAGATGTTCCGGTCCAAACCTCTTCGTTTCGTGCTTCCACTAAAACCACCCAAAACCCATTCGAACCTTGTACGACTACCAAACACCAAAGCCGAAGCCTACTATCTCCAAGACGAGATCTTAGTTAAACCAGAAAAACTGGCAGATTTGGGCTGCGAAACTCCTCGAATCAACTACGACCAATATTTAGGTACCGCTGTGTTTGGAAACGAACAAAAATGACTTGTTGTTTTAGGGAGAAAGTATAGGTACTTTTACGCCATCAGCGCCGATGTGGATGCGCCCAACCCCGGAACTATAATCAAGGTCGATACTGTCACGAAGACTTGGAAAACGTGGTGCGAGGATAACTGCTACCCCAGCGAACCTGTCTTCGTGCCGCGTCCTAACAGCCAGGTAGGAAGATTAAGAGGTTGTGTTTTTGAACAAAGTTGTTTAGTTTGAAGATGATGGGGTTGTTTTGGCGTCGATGGTTTGGGGAGGAGATGACACCAACAGAGTTGGTCTTTTGATTCTTGACGCTGCGACGTTTGAGGAAGTAGGGAGGGCTGAGTTTGATACTCCTGGACCAGCCCCAAAGTGTCTACATGGATGGTTTTTACCAAAAGATAAAGTTTAGGGTTTGCTGTCTCGGAACATAAAATTTGTGTACTATTTCCTTGGAATTTTTTAAATAAAAACTTGCAGATATCTTTACTTTTTTTGTGTATGGAAAAGAAAAATTGGTGTAACGGGTTTAGATCGTGCTTCCCTTGCTTTCTGTCGCAGCAGTTTTTCCTGACTAGGAAATCTTCATGAGAAAAATCGAACCTTTTACTTCAGTAATAAATATCATGAGTAGTATTTTTTAACGTTGACTGATTTGACTTAACTGCTGTCATTGTGACAAACTGTTGTAGAAAAATGCAGCAGGGTATTTCCAAGCCCTCACTTCCTTTCGTACCTCGTCACTCGCGGCAGGACGACGGCTCTGATTCCCCGAGTGGCTCGAGTTCCACACAATCTAATCGTGAGTATAAATTTGTCCCGAACTTCCTTTGAAAATCAAACTTTCCAGGCTGTAACTTTCCACAACGCTATCTGGTATTTATCATGCTCGTCTTAGCCCTTGGTTTCGGCAGTGCCTTGAACAACAACCTAATGATACTGACAATATTTCAAAATGATACCGGTAAAGCTACATACGCATGCACCGTCCCTGAGAGGAACCTGAAGAACATGACAGTAAGTTCGTCCAGCCAGGCTTTAACATGTTTAGAATTCTTTTTTGGATATTTCGTTCGACTGGGACTTAAATACCGAGATCATTTATATCAGTTGTTTCTACTGGACTTTTCCTTGGAGCAACCTGGTCATGGGGTACTTCAGTGACCAGTTTGGAGGAAAGTATTTGATCATGGTAGCAATCATGGGTGCTTCCGTCAGTAGCCTATTTACGCCTTTGATTTACAAGAAGACTCGACCGAATTACCACCCGTTTTTCGCATTAAGAGCATTCAATGGTTTTTGTCAAGGGTTCTTGCTCCCGTCACTCTTCTCAATTTTGGTGTATTGGACACCCAAAAACATGCGAACCACGATTGTGTGCATTGGATTGTCGACGAGTTCCTTCGGATACATGATCAGTACATTCGTGGGTGTCACTCTCATGTGGTACTCTTACGAATGGACTTCTATTTACTACATTTTCGGGTCATTGGGAGTCATCTGGTGTGCGGTGTGGCATGTTTTCTGCTATTCCAGACCTTATCTTCACCCTTTCATTACTGCCAGAGAAAAACGCTTTCTAACGGAAGAACTAGGTGGTGAGGTACTCAGCATGGTACCATTATGACTTCACATTTTTAGAAGACCAGCTGGTTTTTACTCAAAAGGAGGTACCTTGGAGGTCTATCATACGCAGTCGGCCCTTGTGGGCTCTATTGATAAATCACGTTGGAATCATATGGTGCACTTATACTTTCGGAACACGAATGCCCGACTACGTAAACGAAGTTTTAAAAGTCAGTTACGAACTTCAAACCTACTGGGGGCTCATAATGGTTTTTTCCGTATTTGTGGCAACTATCATCTACGGTTGTTTCTCTGATTGGTTGATTGCTGAAAAACACATCAACATCACAGTGTTAAGGAAATACAGCATTGCCTTTAGTAAGTACTGCCTTTACAAACACGATTCCTTCAAGAGGATGTTACAGCTACTCTCGGTTCTGTGTTTTTTGTAATGATGTTTGTTTTTATTGCACGTTGCGACAGAGTTAAGTCAGACATAACTCTTGCAGTTGCAAATGCTTTTATAAATATACATAGTGCTAACCTGATGACAAATAATATGGAACTAGCGCCTAATTTTGCTGGGATTATTACATCACTCAGTACTATTTTTGGAACAACTGTGGGAATATCAGGAGCTTTGATTCTTCAAATTTCTACTGTCAATGTATGTTACATGAAGTACATTTAGTATGTAATAGTTTAACCTTGCAGCGTACGCTAGAAGGGTGGAATATATTTTTTGCTGTTACTGCTGTCATTCTTTTTATTGGAGGATCATCTTATGTGTATCTTGGAAGTGGACAAGTGCAGTTTTGGAACAATCTTCAAGAAAGAGACTCTGATACAGAATCAATTTAAAAATAAAACTTTAACATTGTACAGTTTATTTTTGTCACTAACTTCGTCCCCAGATCTTCCTAGGACTGACTCTTGCCACATATTTACATACATATAAAACATTATTATGGAATAATGAATGCCATATATGCACTCAGTCCCGTAAAGTTGTACAGGGCGATTGCTAACTTTTTTTTAACTTGACTTTTTTGTTTTGTCGATAATGATGTTGAATTTAAATCTTTTTTTACCAAGTGTTTACTAACGTACGGTGGTTAGGTAAGCTGAAGTGCTTTCCCTTTAGACGAAAAAAAAAATGTATTGTGCTGCTAAGCAACAAACTGAAATATTTAAGAAAAAAAAATCTGATTTTACTTACAAAAAGAACGCTACTCTAAAATCGAGGTTTTAGATGTCTAAATCAATAGATTAAGTATACGTTCGAATTTTACACTTTCTTGGGTCAAATATTTGTTCTAAAAGTGGACATATGCAATATTCTAGACTTTTTGCACATTCAGTCAGATAACCTTATGGTCTATTTTAATTTTGAAATTAAAAATGTCTGTACAAATTAGTTCGTTTAAATCTCTCAAAGATTTAATAAATTACCTATATTATTATTAATTTTTTAATAAATTATATTATGAAATTTTGCTTTTGACTTTACATAAGGCCAAGGATACTTTTAGTTACGTCAGGAGTTTTTACTTATCAGTGACTCATAAGGCAACGACTGGCTCATACGTTCAAAGAGGTAATTAATGAATGCCAAATACTCCAAAATCATTCTATTTGGTTCATCTCTGTGTTGTGCATACAAGATCATGTTAAAGTTTGACCTATTAAATCAAACTTATAATAATAACTTAAGTCATTACTTTTTAAAAATTGGGTTTATTCATTTATTATGGCAGCATAAACAGAAAAAACAAGTAGTTTCATTTATTTTATTAAATGTTAAAAAAAACGGTAACTCTAAACATAAAAGTAAAGCATTTCTGTTGGATCATAACAAAATATCACAAAATAAAACAACTTCTTAAAAAATACTTACCCTATAACCTGGGTCGAGATTTGTGTATATATTGTAGATGATGTTGAAGTAAAAAACTGTGCTAAATTCTAGCTACCCATAAATAGAGATGATAACACTTTTAATTTTTGTTCACAACTTTCAAATGAAGCATATTAGAAAAAAACTTTTGAAATGCAAAATTTAACACGTAAGAATTTTTTTTTGCACAATAAAGGAGTGGATAACCCCACTTGATAAATTTTCAGAGGTAATTTTCCCCTTTAAAAGTGTTCATTGGCACCTAGAATTTTGCACAGTTTCTTACTTTAGTATTCTCTACGATATATACTTGTACAAATCTCGACCCAGGTTGAGGTTACATTATCACAAATTTTAATCACATCACTTAAAAAAAACTAGAATTAAATCAAATATTTTTTCAATAATTTTTTTTCAAATACTATACTGCCTCTTCTGAGTACCTGAGCTGGAGGTAGCTTCATTATATATTCATTTTCTTGGATCTCCCCCTGATATTTAATGTCCGGAAACATAAAAGCATCCGGAATTTTTGGATTCCTTTTCAAAAAATCACAAAAAATAGGGTTAAGTGATAACACTTTACCAATGTAACATTTTTTCTTTTGTTTTTGAGTTGTTAATTGTATTATAATATAATCGTCTATATTTAAGTCTGGTTTAGAACGATCAGTCTTACTATTTTCAGCCTTGAGATTCAAACGAGGATTCAAATCATCAGAATAATTGGAAGAATTCAAACTTTCGGTGTCCGTGCTGTCATCATATTCGATACTACTTGGGTTGTCTAAATCAGATGAGTCACTTGATATATTATAGCGTCTTTTTTGTTTTCCAATTTGGACTGGTTTTTGAATTTGAGATGCATCTTTATGTTGAAGGCAGGTATCTGTTTCTGAGTTAACTGTACTACTTTTACATTTCTTATTTTGAATAAATTTTTTGAGACGACCCACACTGATGCGATCCTTTTCATTGTCTAACAGCCAGCAAAGTGAAGACATTTTTATAACTTTTGTTGTATTATCTAAGCGTATTCTGACTAGATCACCTTTCTCAACAAAACTATCGTCACTATCAAAACTTCTAAGGTGTATGTCTCTGTCAAATGTCTTAGATTTGTACGAAATTCTGCAAAGATCATTCAGTAAATCTTCATCTTGGTCAACTGGATCGTTTTCCAAACTTTGAAATCAGTTACGTTTCATGGCTATTTGAGAATTGTTGTAATTTTCAATGTGATCGCACCGTTTTTCACTAAACATTTCATCTTCAACTTCGCCATTGCATTCATTGTCTTTACACGGAGCCAAAAATACATAGTTGAAATCTATCACTTTTATTCCTAAATCTTCAGTGTCACGCAGACAATCCCGTAAAGCTGATTCTACGGTGCTTTGTATATCTTTATTTGAAATGTTTCCTAAGTCATCATTTTTCACAAAATCTCTCTTCATGATTGAACTTTTTTTTCCTGATTTCTCTAGGAAAAACGAATTTTTTATCCAAATCGTTTTTAATGTTGTTTATAGTTTGTAGTCTGTCACTTCAATGCAACATATCTCTTATACTAAAATTAACAATTGTGCTAAAAGTTGAGGTCATTGATCTAAGGCTTCTAAACATACTCTCACAAGTTTGAGAGCTAAATTTCCAAGGCAAGAACATATCATCAGTAAGATTACTTTTTGAAATATTTTAATTATTTTTATTAATGCGTGTCCATTGAGTTCAACGCATGTGTAGCAATTGGAAGATAAAAAGTTATCTTTTACTGTATATTGTCTTTGGTCCTTAATCCATTTTTTCCATATTCGTAGGAAAAATATGCAATACCAAATGTTATACAGGGTGCCGCATCCAAGTCTGGATATAGGGAATTAACATGGCAATTGGTTTTTATTTTATAATATCTCCCCAAATCACTTTAAAGCTATTATTGAGTGATGGCTTTGTGGAGGTCGAAGCGGGCTATCGACCAGTATTTTTTTCAAATCGTTGCATCGCGCTCATTTACTGTAAAAAGGTTTTAAAAATCGTATTTTGAAATTCGCGCCCGATCCGAGTTGTCGCGAAATGTTCCGTCGCACTGTCGAAGTTCGGCGATCGCGTCTTCAGATTAGCCATGCAAAATCCAAATGTCAAAGTGAAATTAGAAATTATTCTCAGAAATCAACGAACAACTCAAACTGATTTATTTTATCCGGTGTGATGATTATTGTAGGACATATTAAACGGAATAAATGCACAAATTGATCCATTTATTCGTCATAGTACGCGACCCCGTCAAACGATTCATCTCGAACTACATTCAGGCCGTATCCAAAAAGCCCGAGATGAAGACTTCGAGCAGCTGGGATTAGATGAAAAAGCGAGGGCCTGCTTGTTCTTCGACGGTTAATTTAATTAGTAGGTAATTTGGATAAATTTCACACTTTTTTTTGAATCACCAAAGATTGGAAGTCAATTCATTTTACATTCGTTAAGCAGGGATGGAATTTTTGCCACATGGAAACATGTTCGTTACAAGAAATTTTTGAGAGAGAAATCTAGAACATTCACTCATCAACATTTTAAAATATTTTTCTGTATTACGAATGTGTTTTGGGATTCAGAAACTTTTGTATTACTGTTTTATTTGTTTATTGTGTTAACAACAACAGAAATAAAAATAATATTTCACAAAACAAAGTTACATTTATTTTCAAAGATAATAAAAATTACATAAAATCAGGTGGTGTTAACAGGTGCATGTTTGGCGCCACAATTTGAATTATGCATTTAAGAACTTTTACTAATTTGTAACTGTTGTAAGGGATGCCGTGTCATTGGCACCAATCAGATTATCTCAAGCTCTTGTACGATCCGTGGTAGAAACAATTCACTGGCTCTGATTCTTATCAGGTGGGCACGACGTCTTTTAGGGATCTTAAACAGATGGGATAGAAGAGTTTCAAAAAGCATCATGACAAAAAATTAAAGCCTGAGGACTACTCACATATGGAGTTTTACGAAGGAACGCTTGAGAAAATCTAGGCTGATGGAGAGTTTTTGAGGAACATTTGTTTTACTGACGAATGTTCATTTGGTCTTAAGGGAAGTTATAATCGTCAGAACGATCAAATTTGAGCAATACACAATCCTCACGTGGTCGATGACCATCGTTATCAATGGCGTGCAACTGTCAATGTGTGACTGGGGCTTCTAGGACATCATGTAATTGCACCTTTTTTCATCGAATCTGGATTGAATGCTCAGAAGTAGGACAATATCAGCAAATACTTCCTAGGATTCGAAGGGTGCGGCATCTGCAGCAGATCTTTTACATGCAGGATCAAATCTCCAGCCATACAACTCGCACAAATGTTGTTTATTTGAACCAGTATTTTCCCGCAATATTGGAATGGAAAGTTTTCACTGCCCCATTGGCCTGTGCATTCGCCAGATCTAAACCCCTGGCAATTTGTTCTTTGGAGATTTCTTCACGAGCATCTGTATTCGAACAATACGAGCTATACAAACAGAGACGCGCTGAAACAAGCAATCCAGCAATATTGTCTTCAGATTTCAACTCAAATGCTAATCAACACGCGTAGGAGTTTTGAAGATTGGCATATTTACTGTACGGCTGCTGACAGCAGTCTTTTTGAGCAATTCTTGAAAATAGTGCAATACTTCTCCAGATTCGTACAATATTTCATTACTTCATTCATCAACAATTGTTAAGTTTTGTTATTTGTAGTTATCTAAATGGTTCATTAAAAGGTTCTCTTCAAAAGCGCCAGCTCTTTTGATGGTAAATGTTATCATCACACAATAAGAAAAGCGGGCCCTCGCTTTTTCATCTAATAGCAGTAGAACATGGCATTTTAATGAGATTTTAGTAATAAAGACTCGACCAGCACCACCAACATAACCTAATAAAATATTTTGTGCAGTTTGTGCATTTATTCCGTTTAAATTGACCTACAATAATAATCGTTATATTGGATAAAATAATTCAATTTGAGTCGTTCAGTGATTACTGAGTGAGGCAGCGCGAGTACATCCCTAGCTTCTTCTTCTTCGTCTTTTCGGTACGAATGTACATTCCTAGCTTGAAGGGCTCCCAGGACATGTCAGAATGCTGTCGATGGGGTTTACAGGAAGACCAGCTGTTCGAAGTCTTCATCTCGGGCTTTTTGGATACAGCCTGAGTGTAGTTCGAGATGAATCGTTTGACGGGTTCGCGCACTATGCGGAATGAATGAATCAATTTGTGCATTTACTCCGTTTAATTTGTCCTACAATAATCATCACATCGGATAAAATAAATCAGTTTGAGTTCTTCGTTGATTTCTGAGAATAATTTCTAATTTCACTTTGACATTTGCATTTTGCATGGCTAATCTGAAGACGCGATCGCCGAACTTCGACAGTGCGACGGAACATTTCGCGACAACTCGGATCGGGCGCGAATTTCAAAATACGATTTTTAAAACCTTTTTACAGTAAATGAACGCGATGCAACGATTTGAAAAAAATACTGGCCGATAGCCCTCTTCGACCTCCACAAAGGCATCACTCAGTAATAGCTTTAAAGTGATCTGGGGAGATATTATAAAATAAAAACCAACTTGCCATGTTAATTCCCTATGTCCAGACTTGGATGCGGCACCCTGTATATCCTTTCTACAATAGATAACGTTTTGTCCAGGAATGCTGCCGATATAAGATACATTAGTTTCAAATAAGCTGTTGTTCCTGGACTATTGTCAATGTTGTCGGCTATCATTTTTCTTACTTCCGGGCTATACATTATTTCTGCCGCTGCATAGTTCATTTTGTTTTCTGCTTTCAAATCCGTTATTGTTAGCATATGTTGATCTTTGGTGCAATTTTTTACTAATATTTCAAGGTGAGCAACTGTAGCAACGTAATTCCCTAGAGGTAATATTGAGTCTGATTTTAAAAACTTTGTTCTTAACTTTGTGATAATATGTACAGTGTCTTGGACATACGATGTCAGATCGCTGTCACTGAAACCCATTTGGTACCATTCCCAGTTATTCAAATGATTTTCGTCGGATGAAATAGCTAGGGGAGAATTTAAACGCATCGCTTTGAGAAGTCGCGTTTTCTTGTTGATTTCTAGTTAATTTCTCATTGATTTCCTCTTGATTTCTCGTTGATTTCCTCTTGATTTCCTTTTGATTTCCTTTGATTTCCTGTGATTTCCTGTGATTTCCTGTAATTTCCTTTGATTTCCTCTAACGTGTACAATTGATTTCCTCTGCGGTTTACCCCTCGGACTGGTGTCTGCTGCACCATATTTCGTGATGTTTTTTGCAACAATAGGCAGCGGATTTCTCGCAGACTGGCTCGTTCACAAGGAATACCTCTCGATTAGGGTCACCAGACAAGTTTTTGGCGGCTTAGGTACGAACCAGGTTTGAATAGTAGCTAAGTAAGTTCTATTACATGTAGGATCTGTGGGACCAGCTCTCTTCATCGTTTTGGCTTCATATGTCGGATGTGAGTAGAGTCCGTTTACCGAGCAACAAACCGAAATGAATAAAAATTATGCGATTTTCAAGTGGGTTCAAATGTTTGGTTCTAATTTTTCTTACGTTCCAGCAAACCTTGTCGGAGTGGACGTTTGTGTTTTGGCTTTCCTCTGCTCTGTTGAATGGAACTTATTTCGTGTATCTGTTCTTCTTGTCGGTGGAAGTTCAACCGTGGAATTCCAAGAAGGAAGACCGACCAAACACCATGAGCACATTGTATATTCTCTACCTTACTAAACAAATCACTTCAGCTAAACTATCTTATAGACTTACAAATGGTCTTATCATGGAATTTGCTTGTAACATCACCTTTATTTAATTTAGCAAACTGATGAAAGTGTCATCACAAAAGATGTCATTAGAAAATAAGCATTTGACCGTAAGATTGTTCACGACGAGATGGAGATAAAAAAGAACGGGGAACCTTGATTTTAATTAATAATAAAGTTGTTTGATAAGGTTCTATTACATTTATAAGAATCTTTACGAAGAAGAGCATGACATAGAATCAACTTAAAAATACAGATTCAACCATTAGACAGCTTATTTTTGTCAATCACTTTGTCCACAGATCTTCCTAGGACACGCCCACTGACCCCAAAGTTTGGTCCCTGGACACGCAAGCGCCCCCCAGGGTCTTTTTGAGGTCGAACCTCCGGAAAAAAATAATAAAATTATAAGGGAGCCATGTAACACTCGTTTTTATTTAGGAGGCTGTTGTTAAACTATTTGCAAATATTGTCACTTTGTAAAGTCACTGAGAAGAAATGGATTCCACTCGCTCCTTAGGGGGACGGTTTACCAACTGTAAGTAGTGACAGGCATCTTCCGTTTTAAAACTGTCAAACTCTAGGCATCCTCATCCCTCAACGCTATCTGTTGGGAATCATGGCTAGTTTAGCGACCTTCACTTCCCACACGTTGAGAGTAACAATTTCTCTGGCCATCACCGAAATGGTGGAGAAAAAGAATGAGACTCTAGTAGATAATAAAGACAGGTGTCCCATAATCGACAACGCCACGTATGTTGCTGTCAAGGTTAGCTTTTTGGTTTAGTGAATTCAGAAGGTAAAATGTGTCTTAACCAGAACCACGACGTCTTGTATGACTGGGACGAACATCAGCAAGGTATCATCCTGAGCTCCTTCTATTGGGGTTACACAGTCACCCACATACCCTGTGCCTTATTGGCGGAAAAATATGGGAGCAAACACGTCTTAGGATCCGGAATGTTGTTAAATACCGTCCTAACCATATTTCTTCCGCTCGTTATCACGTCAACCGGTGGAGACTGGGTAATTCTGGTAGTTCTAAGGGTTATCATGGGACTCGGGCAAGGAATGGTGTACCCGGTCATCACTACCCTTCTCTCCCAATGGGTCCCTCGTAAAGATCACGGATTTATGAGTAGTCTGTCGTTCGCAGGAGGAATAATGGGCACCGTAGTTACCAACTCTGTGGGTGGATTTCTGATCAGTTGGTCCGAGCAATGGGATACAGTATTCTATTTCTTCGGACTATTAGGGTTAACATGGAACATCGCTTGGCAGCTCCTTTGTTACTCGTATCCGAGGACACACCCATGTATCAAACCCAAAGAAAAAGAGTACCTTTACCACGAGTTAGGTTTGTTAGAAACGCACCGCGTGAATTCTTATTAATAAATCTGTCCAGCCGAACATGTGAGCGAGGAATCGTTAAAGACACCTTGGAACGAAATGTTCACATCGCTACCCGTCTGGACTTACATAATAGTCCAGGTTGGACACGACTGGGGCTGGTACACCATGGTCTCAGACCTCCCGAAATATATGAACGGGGTGCTCCGCTTTAACTTCAAAGAAAACGGAGCGTTGTCTGCTGCACCATACATCACGATGTATTTAGCAACATTAGGCAGCGGATTTCTCGCAGACTGGCTAATCTACAAGAAATACTTCTCCATTAGGCTCACCAGACAAATTTTCGGTGCTATAGGTACGAACCAGTTTTGAAAAGTAGCTATTTCTGTAATTAACATGTAGGGTCCTTGGGCCCAGCCGTCTTCATTGTCTTGGCTTCGTATGTCGGATGCCAAAAATATATCGCAGTGACATTTTTTACGCTGTGCATGTTGTGCATGGGTTTCTACTACCCGGGAGTCAAAGTGAATGCCCTAGATTTGTCGCCGAATTTTTCCGGTACCATCATGGCGTTGGCCAATGGTATTGGAGTCATTTCTGGCATGGCGGCACCCGCTGTAGTCGGAATACTAGCACCGAACGTGAGTATAGTCCGTTTACCGAACAGATGGAGTAATCACGTGAACTGGGTACATCTGTTCTGTAAACGGAGTATTTATTTCTTTGAAAATGCTGCGAAATTTTGCGTACTGACTTGTATTTCTATCCAGCAAACTCTGTCGGAATGGAGGTTTGTGTTTTGGTTTACTTTTTTCATATTGAGTGGGACTTTTCTCATCTTTCTGTTCTTATTCTCGGAGGAAATTCAGCCGTGGAATTACGGGGTGGACGACGAAGAATAATGATATCGTACTTAGTGTATTTACTTACTACTTTAATAAACAAAATACTTCGCCCAAACCCTTTTGTTAGACGGATAGACATGAATGTGAGGTGTTTCCTCTGGGGCTACCTATTCGCCCACTTACCTTGGGTCAAAAATGTGGAGGTAAACACATTTTAGGATCAGGGATGTTGGTAAATAGCATCCTCTAATTACTATATCAACGAATGGTAACTGGTAATAGGCAGCGGATTTCTCGCAGACTGGCTCATTCACAAGAAATATCTCTCCATTAAGGTCACCAGACAAGGTTTGAATAGTAGCTATGTAATAAGTCCCGTAAAGTTGTCTCTCCGTCGCGTCCTGTGGTCCCTGGATACGCAAGCGCCCCCCAGTGTCTTTGACGTCGAATCTCCAGAAAAATAAAAACTAAAAAGTAAGCTGGCCATGTAATAGTCGTTTTTATTTAGGAGGCTGTTCTTAAACTATTTGCAAATATTGTCACTTTGTAAAGTCACTGAGAAGAAATGGATCCCAGTCACTCCTTAGGAGAACGGTTCACCAACTGTAAGTCGTGACGAGCATCTTCTGCCTTAAAACAATCAAATTCTAGGCATCCTTGTCCCTCAACGCTATCTCTTGGGGATCATGACTAGTTTAGCAACATTCACTTCCTATACGTTGAGAGTAACAATTTCTCTGGCTATCACCGAAATGGTCCAGAAAAAAAATGAAAGTCTGGTACAACATGAAGATTCATGTCCCGTAATCGACAACGCCACGTATGTCACGGTCAAGGTTAGCTTTCTGGTTTAGTGAATTCAGATTGTAAAAATGTGTCTTAACCAGAACCGCGACATCTTGTACGACTGGGACGAGGTGCAACAAGGTCTCATCCTGAGCTCCTTCTATTGGGGTTACATAGTCACCCACATACCTTGTGCCTTATTGGCCGAAAAATATGGGGGTAAACACGTCTTAGGATCCGGAATGTTGTTAAATACCGTCTTAACCATATTTCTTCCGCTCGTTATTACGTCAACCGGTGGAGACTGGGTGGTTCTGGTAGTTCTAAGGGTTATCATGGGACTCGGGCAAGGAATGGTGTACCCGGTCATCACTACCCTTCTCTCCCAATGGGTCCCCCCTAAAGATAAAGGATTTATGAGTAGTCTGTCGTTCGCAGGAGCAATAATGGGCACCGTAGTTACCAACTCTGTGGGTGGGTTTCTGATCAGTTGGTCCAAGCACTGGGATATCGTATTCTATTTCTTCGGACTATTAGGGTTAGTATGGAACATCGCTTGGCAGCTCCTTTGTTACTCGTACCCGAGGACACATCCATGTATCAAACCCAAAGAAAAAGAGTACCTTTACCACGAGTTAGGTTTGTTAGAAACCTACCGCGTGAATTCTTATTAATAAATCTGTCCAGCCGAACATGTTAGCGAGGATTCATTAAAGACACCTTGGAAAGAAATGTTAACATCGTTCCCCGTCTGGACTTACATAATAGTCCAGTTTGGACACGACTGGGGCTGGTACACCATGGTTACAGATCTCCCGAAATATATGAACGGGGTGCTGCGCTTTAACGTCAAACAAAACGGAGTGTTGTCTGCTGCACCATACTTCATGATGTACTTAGCAGCAGTAGGCAGCGGATATCTCGCAGATTGGATAATTCACAAGAAATACTTGTCCGTTAGGCTCACCAGACAAATTTTCGGTGGTATAGGTACGAACCAGTTTTGAAAAGTATCTATTTCTGTAATTAACTTGTAGGGTCCTTGGGACCAGCCGTCTTCATTGTCTTGGCTTCGTACGTCGGTTGCCAAAGATATATCGCAGTGACATTTTTTACGCTGTGCATGTTGAGCATGGGTTTCTACTTCCCGGGAGTCAAAGTGAATGCCCTAGATTTGTCGCCGAATTTTTCCGGTACCGTCATGGCGTTGGCCAATGGTATTGGGGTGTTCGCTGGTATGGCGGCGCCTGCTATCGTCGGAATACTGGCACCGAACGTGAGTATTTATTTCTTTGAGAATGCTGCAAGTGGGTCGAAATTTTGCGTACTGACTTATATTTCTATCCAGCAAACTCTGTCGGAATGGAGGTATGTGTTTTGGGTTTCTTTTGCCATGTTGAGTGGAACTTTCCTCATCTACCTGTTCTTCTTTTCGGCGGAAGTGCAATCGTGGAATTCCAAGAAGGACAACCAAGAATAATGACCTCCTACTTAGTGTATTCTCTACTTTAATAAACAAATTACTTCAACCAAACCCCTTTGTATTAGACGAACAGACATGAATGTGAGGTGTCTCCTCTAATTCACATCACCCTTAACATTAAAATCAAGTTCAATTGACGAATTTAACCACTGGTTCAAACCTCTTCGTTTCGTGCTTCCTCTAAAACCACCCAAAACCCATTCGAACCTTGTCCAAATACCAAACACCAAAGCCGAAGCCTACTATCTCCAAGACGAGATCTTAGTCAAACCAGAAAAACTAGCAGATTTGGGCTGCGAAACTCCTCGAATCAACTACGACCAATATTTAGGTACCGTAATGACTTGTTGTTTTAGGGAGAAAGTATAGGTACTTTTACGCCGTTAGCGCCGATGTGGATGCGCCCAACCCCGGAACTATAATCAAGGTCGATACTGTCACGAAGACTTGGAAAACGTGGTGCGAGGATAACTGCTACCCCAGCGAACCTGTCTTCGTGCCGCGTCCTAACAGCCAGGTAGGAAGATTAAGAGGTTGTGTTTTTGAACAAACTTGTTTAGTTTGAAGATGATGGTGTTGTTTTGGCGTCGATGGTTTGGGGAGGAGATGACACCAACAGAGTTGGTCTTTTGATTCTTGATGCTGCGACGTTTGAGGAAGTAGGGAGGGCTGAGTTTGATACTCCTGGACCAGCCCCAAAGTGTCTACATGGATGGTTTTTACCAAAAGATAAAGTTTAGGGTTTGCTGTCTCGGAACATAAAATTTGTGTACTATTTCCTTGGAATTTTTTAAATAAAAACTTGCAGATATCTTTACTTTCTTTTGTGTATGGAAAAGAAAAATTGGTGTAACGGGTTTAGATCGTGCTTCCCTTGCTTTCTGTCGGAGCAGTTTTTCCTGACTAGGAAATCTTCATGAGAAAAATCGAACCTTTTACTTCACTAATAAATATCATGAATAGTATTTTTTAAAGTTGACTGATTTGACTTAACTGCTGTCATTGTGACAACCTGTTGTAGAAAAATGCAGCAGGGTATTTCCAAGCCCTCACTTCCTTTCGTAGCTCGTCACTCGCGGCAGGACGACGGCTCTGATTCCCGGAGTGGCTCGAGTTCCACACAATCTAATCATGAGTATAATTTTTTCCCGAGCTTCCTTTGAAAAACAAACTTTCCAGGCTGTAACTTTCCACAACGCTATCTGGTATTTAATTTATCATGCTCGTCTTAGCCCTTGGTTTCGGCAGTGCCTTGAACAACAACCTAATGATACTGACAATATTTCAAAATGATACCGGTAAACCTACATACGCATGCACCGTCCCTGAGAGGAACCTGAAGAACATGACAATAAGTTCGTCCAGGCAGGCTTTAACATGTTTAGAATTCTTTTTTTGATATTTCGTTCGACTGGGACTTAAATACCGAGATTATTTATATCAGTTGTTTCTACTGGACTTTTCCTTGGAGCAACCTGGTCATGGGGTACTTCAGTGACCAGTTTGGAGGAAAGTATTTGATCATGGTAGCAATCATGGGTGCTTCCATCAGTAGCCTATTTACGCCTTTGATTTACAAGAAGGCTCGACCGAATTACCACCCGTTTTTCGCATTAAGAGCATTCAATGGTTTTTGTCAAGGGTTCTTGCTCCCGTCACTCTTCTCAATTTTGGTGTATTGGACACCCAAAAACATGCGAACTACGATTGTGTGCATTGGATTGTCGACGAGTTCCTTCGGATACATGGTCAGTACATTCGTGGGTGTCACTCTCATGTGGTACTCTTAGGAATGGACTTCTATTTACTACATTTTCGGGTCATTGGGAGTTATCTGGTGTGCGGTGTGGTATGTTTTCTGCTATTCCAGACCTTATCTTCACCCTTTCATTAGTGCCAGAGAAAAAAGCTTTCTAACGGAAGAACTAGGTGGTGAGGTACTCAACAAGGTACCATTATGACTTCACATTTTTAGAAGAACAGCTGGTTTTTACTCAAAAGGAGGTACCTTGGAGGTCTATCATACGCAGTCGGCCCTTGTGGGCTCTATTGATAAACCACGTTGGAATCATATGGTGCACTTATACTTTCGGAACACGCATGCCCGACTATGTAAAGGAAGTTTTAAAAGTCAGTTACGAACTTCAAACCTACTGGGAACTCATAATGGTTTTTCCCGTGTTTGTGGCAACTATCATCTACGGTTGTTTCTCTGATTGGTTGATTGCTGAAAAACACATCAACATTACAGTGTTAAGGAAATACAGCGTTGCCTTTAGTAAGTACTGCCTTTACAAACACGATTCCTTCAAGAGGATGTTACAACTACTCTTGGTTCTGTGGTTTTTGTAATGATGTTTGTTTTTATTGCACCGAGGGGTAAACCGCAGAGGAAATCAATTGTACACGCTAGAGGAAATCAAAGGAAATCAATGAGAAATTAACGAAAAATCAACAAGAAAACAAAGGAAATCCAAAATCATCATAGCAAATCCAGTTAAACTAGATATTTTCTAGAACTAATAAACATAACATGTATGACATAAGTCGTAGCATTCATCATAAGAAAGAAAATATCAATTTAATCATAAAAGTGGAGATTAAATAACCTTTTAAGGGATAATGATAGAAAATTCCAGTATAATATCATTAACTGACAGCATGATATTTCAGTTTGACAAATATTAAAGTTGTAGTTAATGAAGTGCAGTTCCGATGAGAAATGATACATTATATTGCTTTATACCTACAAACCAAATTTATAATTTCGCCCCAAATTAGTTTTTAAAAATTGAGTTTGTGATATGAGGTCGTGCAAAAATCTTACTATGTGATATCTTCTTGCCTTGGAAGTTTAGCTCTCAAACTTGTGAGAGTATGTTTAGAAGCCTTAGATCAATGACTTCAACTTTTAGCACAATTTTTAATTTTAGTATAAGAGATATGTTGCATCGAAGTGACAGACTGCAAACTATAAACAACATTAAAAACGATTTGGATAAAAAATTCGTTTTTCCTAGAGAAATCAGGAAAAAAGTTCAATCGTGAAGAGAGATTTTGTGAAAAATGATGATTTAGGAAACATTTCAGATAAAGATATACAAAGCACCGTAGAATCAGCTTTACGGGATTGTCTGCGTGACACTGAAGATTTAGGAATGAAAGTGATAGATTTCAACTATATATTTTTGCCTCCGTGTAAAGACAATGAATGCAATGACGAAGTTGAAGATGAAATGTTTAGTGAAGAACAGTGCGATCACATTGAAAATTACAACAATTCTCAAATAGCCATGAAACGTAACTGTTTTCAAGGTTTGGAAAACGATCCAGTTGACCAAGATGAAGACTTACTGAATGATCTTTGCACAATTTCGTACGAATCTAAGAAATTTGACAGAGACACACACCTTAGAAGTTTTGATAGTGACGATATTTTTGTTGAAAAAGGTGATCTAGTCAGAATACGCTTAGATAATACACCAAAAGTTATAAAAAAGTCTTCACTTTGCTGGCTGTTAGACAATGAAAAGGATCGCGTCAGTGTGGATCGTGTCAAAAGATTTATTCAAAATAAGAAATGTAATAGTAGTAGAGTTAACTCAGAAACAGATACCTGTCTTCAACATAAAGATGCATCTCAAATTCAAAAACCAGTCCAAATTGGAAAACAAAAAGACGCTATAATATATCAAGTGACTCATCTGATTTAGACAACCCAAGTAGTATCGAATATGATGACAGCACGGACACCGAAAGTTTGAATTCTTCCAATTATTCTGATGATTTGAATCCTCGTTTGCATCTCAAGGCTGAAAATAGTAAGTTCTAAACCAGACTTAAATATAGACGATTATATTATAATACAATTAACAACTCAAAAACAAAACAAAAAATGTTACATTGGTAAAGTGTTATCACTTAACCCTATTTTTTGTGATTTTTTGAAAAGGAATCCAAAAATTCCGGATGCTTTTATGTTTCCGGACATTAAAGATCAGGGGGAGATCCAGGAAAATGAATATATAATGAAACCACCTCCACCTCAGGTACTCAGAAGAGGCAGTTTAGTTTTTGAAAAAAAATTATTGAAAAAATATTTGATTTAATTCTAGTTTTTTTTTAAGTGATATGATTAAAATTTGTGATAATGTAACCTCAATCTGCGTCGAGATTTGTACAAGTATATATCGTAGAGAATACTAAAGTAAGAAACTGTGCAAAATTCTAGGTGCCTATGAACACTTTTAAAGGGGAAAATTACCTCTGAAAATATATCAAGTGGGGTTATCCACTCCTTTATTGTGCAAAAAAATTCTTACGTGTTAAATTTTGCATTTCATCTGTATTTATGGGTAGCTAGAATTTAGCACAGTTTTTTACTTCAACATCATCTACAATATATACACAAATCTCGACCCAGGTTATGGGGTAAGTGTTTTTTAAGAAGTTGTTTTATTTTGTGATATTTTGTTATGATCCAACAGAAATGCTTTACTTTTATGTTTAGAGTTACCGTTTTTTTTTAACATTTAATAAAATAAATGAAACTACTTGTTTTTTCTGTTTATGCTACCATAATAAGTGACTAAACCCAACTTTTAAAAAGTAATGACTTAAGTTATTATTATCAGTTTGATTTAGTAGGTCAAATTTTAACATGATCTTGTATGCACAACACAGAGATGAACCTAATAATGATTTTGGACTATTTAAGCCAGTCGTTGTTGCCTTATGAGTCACTGATAAGTAAAAACTGCTGACGTAACTAAAAATACCCTTGGCCTTATGTACTTTTAATTTCGTAAAGTCAAAAGCAAAATTCCATAATATAATTTATTAAAAAAATAATAATAATATATAATATAATTTATTAAATCTTTGAGTGATTTAAACGAACTAATTTGTACACACCAGACATTTTTAATTTCAAAATTAAAATAGACCATAAGGTTTTCTGACTGAATGTGCAAAAAATCTAGAATATTGCATATGTCCACTTTTAGAACAAACATTTGATCCAAGAAAGTGTAAAATTCGAACGTATACTTACTCTATTGATTTAGACATCTAAAACCTCGATTTCAGAGTAGCGTTCTTTTTGTAAGTAAAATCAGATTTTTTTCTTAAACATTTCAGTTTGTTGCTTAGCAGCACAATACATTTTATTTATTTATTTTTTTCGTCTAAAGGGAAAGCACTTCAGCTTACCTAGTCACCGTACGTTAGTAAACACTTGGTAAAAAAAGGTTTAAATTCAACATCATTATCGGCAAAACAAAAAAGTCAAGTTAAAAAAAAGTTAACAATCGCCCTGTAGTACATTATGTAAACAAATTTTGAGGAAATCAAAAGGAAACCATAGGAAATCAAGAGGAAATCAAAGGAAATCATAGGAAATCAAGAGGAAATCAAAGGAAATCACAGAAAATCAAAGGAAATCAGAGGAACTCAAATGAAATCGGGGGAAATCAACAGGAAATCATTGTCAAAAGGAAATCAATTGTACACTGAAGTTAAGTCAAATATAACCCTTGCAGTTGCAAATACTTTTATAAATATACATAGTGCTAATCTGATGACAAATAATATGGAACTAGTGCCTAATTTTGCTGGGATTATTACGTCACTCAGTACTATTTTTGGAACAACTGTGGGAATATCAGGGGGTTTGATTCTTCAAATTTCTACTGTCAATGTATGTTACATGAAGTACATTTAGTATGTAATAGTTTAACCTTGCAACGTACGCTAAAAGGGTGGAATATATAAACTCAAATCCATAAGGTTGTAACCACTCCCTAGTGTAAATTTTAAAAAATTATTCAGTATAAATCTGTCTTTTAGTAACCTGGTGACAAATCTGGTGACCTGTCAATATAATGTCAGTTCATTCATGTATTCGTGACACATGATTACGTTCGAGTTCACTGCAATTCTTGCACTCCTGCACAGGTTATTTCATAATTATCATTGTAACTTGTCGCAATATTGTAAAAATTGATAAACAATTTTCAATAAAAACAGGATAACCTGAATCTTCATGGTAATTATGATACAAGAGCAATGATAAATAGAAGCGTGTTTTATCTTTCATCTGTACAGTCGTCGGCATTTCGATTTAACCACTCCCTAGTGTAAGTTTTCAAAATTTCGCTGGTGTAAACGGCTTTCCGTACCTTTTTAGAGAGAAAATGGCCGACGATTAATGACATTAGTTACTTTTTTTGACATTTGTTTGATCGCCGTCTTACAAGGTTCTGTGCTTACAAGGCGACGGCTTATTAATTAAGGGGCTCTTTTATGTGAGTTAGAGCTTAGGGTACGCATTTTCAGGGCACATACACCGACATTATCAAACTGTGGAATCGAAAGTGCAGTATAAATCTGCACTGCCACAATTGATGGTATAAGCAGTTAACAGTTTACCATCTCGTTAACAAAAGGTGGACATCAATAAAATGGGCAAGTACGACTCAAAGGTATAGTGAAAATTGGAACTTTTATTTGTATTTTTACCTATCTATGCACAAGGATGGTGTACGAAGAATGACCACATGACTGGCAGTTTGTATTAATATTTCCATCAGTCTTATTTGTGCTGCCATGGACGATACTGACTTATGGCTTGGTTCTTCTGAATCACAGAACTCTGGTGCTTGTACTAATAATGCGTCATTAGAAGATTTACACATTTTAATGAAATGTTACCAGAACTGTTGAGTATTTTGAGCCCACTGTATACAAATAAATATGAGAAAATTGTAGGTTATAATTTATAAGAAACTACATGAAGTATTTAAAGAGATAAAGCGTGAAGCAAAAGGAAGTGATGTAAAGAAGCAGATCAATTCACTAAGGTTGAATCACAGGAGGGAATTAAATAAAATGAAATGTTCTAAATGTGATAGAAAGACAATTCTCAATGAACATAATTTATAGGAACATGAACAGTAGTCTCAACTGTTACAAATCAGTGTATTGTCAAAAATTCTAACAATGGAATAAAACAACTAACTAACTCATTAATACAATAATTGTTAAAAGGTGTGACATTTATTTACTTAGCAAGGTAAATTAATCATCTATTACCTCTACAATAATTGTTTCTATATCATTCTCTGCATTCATCCATTCACACATCTCAACATCATCTACACAAAGCTGCTGGCCTTCTCCAATATTGCCTTGTGTTTCATTCATACTGGTTTCAGGATCCATACTTACATTTAATGTTCTGTTGGCTAATACATCATCCTGCATAATATCACTTATACTGTCTGATTCATCTGAACTTAAATCAGATTCACTATCAGATTCTCCAAGTGATATTATGACAGGAGGAATATCTTTAACACTGGTATTACCCATCATTCTTTGCCAATCATTCTTGATAATATTTTCACAGTGGATTACACTTGATGTCCACATCTCTGGTGTATATTTAGACATGGCTTCAATCCACAAGTGCTTGATTTCTGATTTTTTGGAAGACTGCTTCAAGATGTGTTTGTTATAATATGGTTTACAGAATCCCCATACCATTTCTATAGCATTATAGTGGCAATGATATGGAGGTAAACGTAAAACTTCAATATTACTCTTTGACAACAACTCATCAATCTCATATTTACGAGTTGATGGTAAAAGAGGTTTGATAATATCCCAAAGCTGTTTTTTTGTCAAATTATCGCCAAAAGGAATTTTTTTTTGTGCAAGCCAAAATTTTAATTTTGATTTAATCCAAGACAAACGAGGCAATTGTTCTGCTAACACCGAATGATAAGGTGCATTGTCCATGATGATAACAACCTTACCGTTAATAAAATTAACAGATGGAATTAACTGTGTTTCCACCCATTGCCTGAACAATTGCCCGTTCATAGTCTTATGATAGTCCCTGCTATCATTATTGCTATCTAAAAATAGCAAGCAGTTTTCCAAAAAACCAAATTTACCCCCTGCATGAAGTATGGTAAACCTTCTACCCTCATTCATTACTATTTTCGCAGGCATGCCTCTCCGATCACTCTCATGCACCCATCTTCTTACTGGTACACCATGCTGATACACCCACGTCTCGTCTAAATAAACAAATGTCACATCTTCTTCCATTAACTGTATGTAACGCCTTAAAAATTTAATTTTTAATCCCTGTAAGCGGGGCGACTCAATTATAATTTTCCTGTTTTCAACTTTTTTAAAATTGTAACCCATGGATTTAATAACCCTTCGTAGAGTCCGGATACTTGCGTTGTAATTAAGATTTTCTGTGGCAAAATTAAATAAATCCTGAATTGTAAAAAACTCATTCTGACGATTTTTTTCAAATATGTGAAAGTTTAGGTCTTCTTTGAATTCAAAATCCGTAAACCATTTTGACTTCTTTCGTGGGGAAGGTCTAGGATCTTCGGGAAGTTGTCCGGATTTGTGTTGGAGTAAAAGCGTTCTTATTTGACTTCTTGAACACTGCAGGAAAATGAGCTGGTTAATGATAGGATAAAAGGATGTTACCGAGTCACTGGTTGGTGTGAAAAATGGACAACGTGAACTGTGTGGTGGACAAGTAACGTTGGAAATGTTATAGTTACTACCAAGATTTCGTACTGAAAAAATATTCGCTAGTCGTAACTCGTGTTCACGCTGGGAAGACGAAGGATATGCCCGTTGAAACTCTTCGTAACATTTTACAATAGCAGCTTTTATTTGTTTTTTGAACAAAGTTCGCGTTCTTGGCTTCATAATAATTATTTTCAAATTGAAACGCTCTCTTTTTGAATTTGAAGCACGCTGCGCTAGTTCGAAGTTGTTTGAGTCGTTTACGAGTCGTTTGACGTTATTGTCGGTTACAAACGTCAAAGCGCTGCCAATCCGAGGGGCTTAAAATTACCATGGCAATAATACCAACCTGACGTTTTAACAAGTGGTTTTATCCATTTGCCGACGACTATAGAAAGAAGAATGCCACCTGCTGTAATTTAGACTTGCAGTCGATACGTTTACGAATTACGATAAAATGAACCCAAAAATATTGTGGTCACGAATGAAATCAAATATTGGGCTGGTAAAAAAACAAGGTGAATTGATTTATTTATTGTTGTTGCTTCATCAAAATTACTTTACAGATGGGGAATAACTGAGATATTCAGAATTTGTTTAAATGATTGTACATGAGTATACGTGATAATTATATGTGTGGCTAATTATGATATGATATGACTCGAAGGACCAGCTCTCTCGACTGAAATGATCAATCTCGCGAGCAACACCAAAATTGGCTATAATGGGTAGATCACCTTAATTAGTCGCAACGGATAACCAATTTTTCATCAAAAAAATTGGACACCAATAAGTCTTTAATGTTATGTTTAATAACTCTAATATTTGGTACTACTTATTATTTACAAAATGTACAAGGAATTTGGTTGAAGGCGATAGGCCTGGCTATGCTCCTCCGTCCAGAGGATTTTAGTGGTAATAATGAACAAAATGTAACTTCACAAAATTCAGAGGCTAAAATAATAAGTATGTTGAAAATAATTTGACGGCTTATTTAAACTTACTGTTACAGGAGTGGTTAGAAACATTGGGAACACATAGACCAAATAACCAAAAAGCAATTATTTTTCTGTTGTTAACTTTCTTAAATCTGAATCCCATGGATTTTAATACTCGACGTAAAGTATTTAAACTTGCTGTATATTCTGGATGTTCTTTCGCAAAAATAAACAAATCCTGAAGAGTAAAAAACTCATTTTTTTTTGTTTTTGTCAAATATATGGTAGGTTAGATCATCTTTAAATTCCAAATTTGAATACCACTGCGATTTTTGTTTTGGTTTCCACTTTGCTTCTTGTAACGGTTCTCCAGATTGGTGTTGGGTTATAATTTTGTGGGCTTGACATCGGGAACACTATGGAAAGGATAGCAACTAATAATAAGTTTACAGGGAAAGTATGCAGTGCTTGAATTTAATGAGGGACATTTAGTTGTATTGTGTAGGATATAAAGAGTGGATATAAAACTTGAAAAGACAATGTTGTACTAAAAAGCGAGATATACACTTTCAACTTGAGGTAGTTAAAACTAAAAGTCCTTCGACAGACCACCATGTTGTAATAACATGAAAAAAGTTCCGAATGTCGATACGTTACTCTCATAGTAGAGGACTCTCTTTCCATGGTATAAGAATAACTACATACTGAAACGATTTTTACAAGCTTGAATTCAAGTTCTCGGGAAGATGGTTGGGGATAAGCAAGTTTCAATTCATTGTGGCAGTTGGCAAGTGCCATTTTCATCTGCTTATTTATCACAATATTCCGTGTTGGTACCATTTTTCAATGATATGGTTTAATAACAAACTGTGAGATATCTAAATAAAACTCTCTCGTGCGTAATTGTCAAATTTTGACGCATGCGCCGTTACCAATCTGTTCATGTCAAAAACACCATTGGCTGTAATGCCAACCTTACAATTTAACGAGTGGTTACAACCTTATGGATTTAACTGTATTTTGCTGTTACTGCTGTCATTCTTTTTATTGGAGGATCATCTTATGTGTATCTTGGATGTGGACAAGTGCAATTTTGGAACAATCTTCAAGAAAGAGACTCTGATACAGAATCAATTAAAAAATAAAACTTTAACCATTGTACAATTTATTTTTGTCACTAACTTCGTCCAGAGATCTTTCTATATTTATAGAATGCTGTTCATTTTTTTTGCAAAGTCTGTCACTTTGAAGTTTCAGTTTGTAGACGTCACCAAACAGAAATGAACGCCATTTACACCTTCGGAGGAAAGTTCACCAACTGTAAGTCGTCTCGATGATCTCTCGCCTTAAACCAATCAAACTCTAGGCATCCTCATCCCTCAACGCTATATTTTGACCATCATGACTAGTTTAGCGACCTTCACTTCCTATATGTTGAGAGCAACAATTTCTCTGGCCATCACCGAAATGGTCGAGAAAAAGAATAAAAGTCTGGTATATCATGAAGATTCGTGTCCCGTAATCGATAACTCCACGTATGTTGCGGTCAAGGTTAGCGTTCCCGTTTTGTGAATTCAGAGTGTAAACGTGTGTCTTAACCAGAACCGCGATGTCTTGTATGACTGGGACGAAATCCAGCAAGGTCTCATTCTGAGCTCGTTCTACTGGGGTTATCTGTTCACCCATGTCCCCTGTGCTTTAATGGCTCAAAAATATGGAGGCAAACATATCCTAGGATTGGGGATGTTGGTAAATAGCATCCTAACGATAATGTCTCCTTTCGTTATTACATCAACGGATGGTAACTGGGTGATTTTGATAACTCTAAGGGTTATCATGGGACTCGGGCAAGGAATGGTGTACCCGGTCATCACGACCCTTCTCTGCCAGTGGATCCCTCCAAAGGATAAGGGATTTACGAGTAGTCTGTCGTTCGCAGGAGCACTAATGGGCACTGTGGTTACCAATTCTGTGGGTGGGGTATTGATCACTTGGGCCGAAAATTGGAACATCCTTTTCTTTTTCTCCGGACTGTTAGGGTTAACATGGAACATCGCTTGGCAGCTCCTTTGTTACTCGTACCCCAGGACACATCCATGTATCAAACCGAAAGAAAAAGAGTACCTTGACCAAGAGTTAGGTGTGTTCAAAACGTACCACGTGAACATTTATTAATAAATTAATACAGGCGAACACGTGAGTGAGGAATCATTAGAAACACCCTGGAAGGAAATGTTAACGTCCGTACCCGTCTGGAGTTACATAGTGGTACAGTTTGGGCACGACTGGGGCTGGTACACCTTGGTCACAGATCTCCCGAAATACATGAACGGGGTACTGCGCTTCAACGTGAGAGAGAACGGAATGTTTTCCGCCGCACTATACTTCGTGATGTTTTTTTCCACAACAGGAGGCGGATTTTTCGCAGACTGGCTGATTCACAAGAATTACATGTCCATTAGGCACACCAGACAAGTTTTTGGCGCTTTAGGTACAAATTAACTTCGAATATTACTATTTTTGTAAGTACTATTACTGTAGGGTCCGTGGTACCAGCCGTCTTTATTGTCTTGGCTTCGTACGTCGGATGCCAGAGATATTGCGCGGTGACATTGTTTGGACTATGTCTAACATTCATGGGTTTCTACTGTCCGGGAATCAAAGTGAATGCCTTGGATTTGTCACCGAATTTCGCCGGTACCGTCATGGCGTTGGCTAACGGCATTGGGGTCGTCGCTGGCATGGCGGCGCCCACTGTGGTCGGATTATTAGCCCCAAATGTGAGTACAGTCCGTTTACCGAACAGACGGAGTGATCACGTGCGCCTGTACTCTATCTGTTCGGTAAACGGACTACATATAGAGAATACTGCAACTGAGTCGAAATCGTCGTTCTGACTTTCCCCACTATCCAGCAAACTTTGTCGGAATGGAGAATCGTCTTTTGGGTTTCTTTTGTCATGTTAAATGGGACTTTTCTCATCTTCCTATTCTTCTTCTCGGCGGACGTGCAACCGTGGAATTCCAAGAAACACGACCAAGAATAGTGACCTTGTACTTAGTGTATCCTCTACTTCAATAAACCAATTAAATACTCCATCCAAACCCCTTTGATTTAGCCGCCCAGGTACGACTGCGAGCTGCCTGACCCACAAGTGCCCTTATCATCAAATTCGTTTGTAACATCACCTTTATTTAAGCAAACTGATAAAAGGGTCATCACAAACGATGTCATTAGAGAATAAACATTTCAACGGAAACTTTACAAACTTTACAATGCGACTTCAGTTGAAGAATGTAACCGCTCGAACGATGTTCATCTACAACATTTACAAAATCGTGCGGCAGAACCGGCTCAAGAGAGATTTGGCCAAGCGGCTGACGTCGTCGGTCAACGAAACCACCTACCTCCTCGAAAAAAATGACAATTACCCCCGGAAACGTAAGTGCAACCTTTAAGAGCAATCAAGTGCGAAAAGTACAATGTTATTTTTTCGAAAAAATGCGTGTGAAAATTAATGTTCGCGTGTTAATGAAAGGTCAAACAGAGGCGCATTCTTGGCATCACGATGATATGTAGACAAGGCGGCCCTGATGGGGATTCGTTTGTTTTGACAAATTAATTGTCATTTAGCGTTTGATATTCTCGGCATCTAGTCATCACAGGTTGACTTAAGTAGCGTTAACCTCTAAAGTATTTGCACTGCACCTTGGCCTACTCGGACAATGAAAATGTTTCACCTTTTTTAAGGAAATTGGGAAAATACTCGCATGTGCTGACCGGTTGATTCATACGCGGGTTAATTAATTGATAACGATAAGTTTAACGAGATTTTTTATATTCGCGAAATGTGTGTACCGTGGATTCCTGAGGCCTTGAATTTTGTAACGTTTTATCTACGCGAAAATGGGCAATTGAAAAATTTTACGACACACGAATCTGACAAGAAAACTGAGAAGGAGGAAGAAATTTGCTTTCTTTCAGTGATAACGTTATCGTATGCGTGAACCCGTTCATCGTAATTACTCAATGTTGTGACGTCGCTGTTTTGTTTGTAAACCACAACTTCAAAAACGTTAAAGTGTTATGAACAATTAAATATTCAATTTACCGCACACCTGGAATTGTGACTATAATCCCTATTTCGACAAGGCGGCAAACCCATTTCGATATTTTCGGCAGCACAGTTTGGAATATATAACCATTTTTATGACGTGCACGTGCCTGTTAATATAACTAATTCTAAGACGTAATTTTTCAATTAATTTTTTCTGTTGTTCGTGACTGGTGTATTGTTTTTCAAACACTTGTTTTTACCTTTAATGGTAAATAGTAAAAATTAGTGATGTATACTTTACGTGCCTGATTAAAAACGTGGTTTTTCTTCTTCTCTTAAAACTGCTGTAAGTAAATATTATTACCACATAGCTGGTTTTTTGTGATTTTGCGGTTCACGGTAAACAAATAAAACAAAAACGACTGTGTTATTTATTTAAATCACAAATTCGTGTTCTTCATTGTGACTGTAATAACGACTTGTACACTAAATAAATGTTACTAATTTTCCACTCGTCTTTGGAAAAATCCGAACAACTCAAACCAGCTGATTACTCCACTATCAATATTAGTCAAACTTTGCCCAAATTCCAGCAGTGATGTAACACTTCCAGGAAATCACACATCGATAATTAACCACGCTTTTCATTTTCCTACTATTGTCAACTTTCCCACAACCAGTTGACACTTCACGTAGACAGCTCCAACTTTGTCGAATCAGAATATTCCAAAGCACGCTTTTCCACATTCTTCAACTGATACGATTCAAACAATCACGCTCTCGACATTATCGTCTGAATCAAAGTTAGTGACAATGATTGTGCATTAAAACAATAACAAATTTATCTTTTCACTGTTATAATTAATAACCTATCAAACATCTCGTTCAAGAGAAATCCGTTGACCTTTAAGTCTATAAGTAATATAAAGCGAAGCACGTCAAGTTAAATGTTTTCAGTGCTGTGAAGTCATTGCTACAGGTTAATTGACAGGTAGGAGCGTGCTTTGGCGGCAATTAAAATCCGGTAGCATTGGCAATGACCCAGCGGTAACAAAAAATACAACAAAATCCAAATAACCCTAGTGAAAATGTTGACGGGATGGAAACTGCAGCTCTCAAAATGTACGTATTTTTTCACAAGTTAAAAAAACTCATTGCATTAAACACCGGCACGTTCACTTGATCTTGAAAATTCTCCGCACGACTTGAATTATTTATTGTCTCATTATCTCTAATCTTTAATTAGAAACACTGAAAAAATAATAATTGTTAACACTAGTTTCGGTGAAGGTAACAGCGTGGTAATTTTTTGTTTATTATTATTATTATAACAAACCACTTCGATTTCACGCACTCCAGTACTAACCCAAAACTAATGGAAAACACCCAGTATGACGCCAAATTTCTAATTTCGGTGACTGAAAGTGACTCTTACGTCATCAAATTTTGTGAAGGTGGTAGAAAGTGTAGGCGCCACTTTTACATGACACCCAGTATAATGACAGTAATTTGGCGAAAAAATTTTGAATGTTTGGTCGAGAAACTGGACTGCACTTTCGCTGACCGGTTTGTGGATATTTGCATATTAAGTGGTATGCGGTGCATTAAATTGTTGCATTTAATCAAAAGTGGATTTATGGCGGTTAACTGGGGCACTGCGCGTGCAAGACTACGTTAACGAGGTCCGACTGTATCCGATTTTTTGCTTGTTTTAGCGATAATTTGTGTGTGTTTGTATAGCTGCTTTGGTAATTAATTCGACTGTCACACCTTTTTTTATTTACCTTGGTGTTAAGGTCAATAGAGCCATCTTGGCGTTTTTCTTTGTGACCACCTATTTTTGTAATCTAGACAGAAATGGCAAACTCTGTCTACCAATTAACTGATAATAAAGCACAATAAATAAATTTTAATGAGCAATTATTTGTTGGAAACAAATTTGAATACAATGCAAACACATTCAGTCCAACTATATAGGTTTTCGTGGAATTTTGTTAAACAATTATGAATATTATGATAAACCAGGTAGTGAGATAAGTGTTTAAATTTTGTTTGCCAAAAACAGAACAGAATAAAAACCAGAGAGGTGACAGCTTCGACTTAACATCACCAATTTTAAGCAACTATGAGTTTTGTCAGGAGTACATAAAGTCGTAAGTTGTATTTAGTGGCAATAAAAGTGTCAGACGACCAATCAGGTGAACGCAGGCTGTACTACCAATTTTCTGATAGAAATTCGTGGCATTCTGTCTACTTAAGTTTTTTTCACTATTCTATAACCTTGAACAAATGAATTGCTCCAACCACAATAGAATATTAAAACTTAGAGAGCCATATTTAATTTAATATCGCTATTAAGCGAATTTACCGCTTGAATAAAAAACAATTTTTTCTTAATTTGGTAACAATAGCGGTTTACGTAAATCACTGTTAAACCCTCTTGATTGAGTATCAAACCCGATAAACACAGATTATTCGGATTATAGACACTTTTGATCCTTCCATTTCTCTAATCTCTGGCATTATATTTAAAAAACATTTGCAATCAATAGTGGAAATAATCTTTGCGGAATTTTTAAATCGCCGCCAGATAAAATCAGACAATGAGTACCGATAGTTGCGACCTTGACTTCATCGCTAGAGGCGCTTCGATACACGCTGTCAAAATAGTACGACAGCGCAAAACCAGATGGCGCGTTGAACGCGCGAAGTTTGAAAAAGAGTTAAATAAGTACACTTTTAGTATTCGTGATTCCCCAACGGTATGTCTTGGGAATCATGGGCTTCTTGGCCATCGTGAACGCCTACACCATGCGGGTCACCCTTTCCGTAGCCATTACGGAGATGGTAGAACCCAGCAACGGTACCACCCATCATGACCCCAACGCTTGCTCCGGCTCTTTGTCCAACTCGTCCACCGTCACTGTAAGTACCAGCCACTTATAACTAACTCTACAAGTACGAAATTCCAGAACCCTGATAAACTCTACCCGTGGACGAGCACCCAGCAAGGTCTTATTCTTAGTTCGTTCTACTGGGGTTACGTCGTCACCCATATTCCAGGCGGGATGATCGCGGAGCGATTCGGCGGAAAGTACTCTCTAGGTTTGGGGATTCTGTGTACGGCGATCTTCACTTTCGTCACGCCTTGGGTGATCTACGCGACTGATGGCCACTGGGGATGGGTCGTGGTAGTGCGCGTGATTGAAGGTCTGGGAGAAGGTACCACCTTCCCGGCTTTGAACGTGCTTCTAGCAAAGTGGGTACCGCTGCACGAGCGCTCGAAAATCGGTACCCTCGTGTTCGCAGGCAGTCAAATCGGGACGGTACTAGGGAACGCGCTCAGTGGGGCTTTAATATCAGCCACCAGAGACTGGGCGTCCGTGTTCTACGTTTTTGGAGCGCTTGCCATCCTGTGGGTGTTCATTTGGATGGTACTGTGTTACCCGGACCCGGAGACGCACCCCTTCATCACCGACAAAGAGAAGGAGTACTTGAGAAAGCACATAGGTACGTGGTACTACCAACCAACCGGATTTAACAAGCTATTGCAGTGAATGTCACCCGGAAGAAACGCGCAGCGCCGTGGGGTGCCATCTTCACGTCACTACCACTATGGGCACTAATAGCCGCCCAAATTGGCCACGACTGGGGTTTTTTCACCATGGTGACCGACCTCCCCAAATACATGAAAGACGTCCTCAAATTCAATGTAGCGGAAAACGGGGTATGGTCCTCCGTTCCTTACATTTTCATGTGGTTGGTGTCCATGGGTTCCGGTTGGGTGTGCGACTACTTAATCAAGCGCCAGTACATGTCGGTGACCCTAGCGAGGAAAGTTTTCACTTCTATCGGTAAATCATGGTGTTAGTGGTACCCTAGTCGTTACTATAATGTTTTATAGCGTCCATGGGTCCGGCTATTTTTATCATCGCGGCGTCGTACTCTGGGTGCGATCGCGACCTTGCCGTTGGTATGTTCACGGTAGCGATGAGCTTCATGGGTACTTTCTACTGTGGGATGAAAGTGAACGCTTTGGACTTGGCGCCGAACTTCGCGGGGACTCTGATGGCGATAGTCAACGGCATTGGGGCCATCACCGGGATTATAGTACCGTATTTAGTCGGCGCGCTAACTGAAGATGTAAGTACCGAGGTGGCCGAAACCGGTACTACTTTTATCGTTTCTAGCACACGCTTTTGGAGTGGAGGACTGTGTTCTGGATCGCGTTCGGGGTTTTTGCCCTCACTAACCTGATTTATGTTTGTTTGGGGAGCGGCGAGGTGCAGCCGTGGAATCAAGTGGAAGACTGTGATCAGAACGAAATGGAGATAAAGAAGAACGGGAAATCGTGATCTCTTACTTAAGTTATTTATTGTTGTTTTTAGACGAGTGTTAGCATTCTGTGAGGAAGATACCATGATACAGTATATGTGTGGTTGTGATTTTGAGATAATAAAGTTGACAATAAATTGTGCAGATTTTTTGATTAACATTGTTGATATGGGTGTGGTGATTTGTGCCAGGTGTGATAAGAGATACGGTTAAGTGGATCGGGTATGCGATTAATGCTGGCCATAATTTCGTAATAATGGAACTTAGATTGCCTAAAAGTTGTGATTTCGAATAGACTGTTATCCGTTTTTTTTTTTTTTGTGATAACAATACCTTGACATTGAATCGTTCGAGATCTATGTTATCAACTTTGAATTAATTTGAGAAGAGCGATGATGATACTACACAACAATGGAATTCTTGAGATTGTAATACGCCAGAATTTAAAAAATAATAATAAGCTATTAGCGAAATATCGTTGTCAATGTGATGAGTCCAATGGTGTTTTATTTCTTCGAACATTCGGCTTATCAGTCAGATAATATTGAGGATCTCCAAACTTACTAGATCTGAGTAATGCAAGGTACTAACTAGAAAGTACCGAAATTCCTGATGTTGTTAAGATTGTCGTTTGGAGCCGTCACCGTCATATCGAGTCCGATTAGGGTGCAGCAGGAGAATGTTCACTCATTTGCATATCCAAACCTAGTAGGAGATCTCAGAACGTGACAATTTCCCGAAATCTCTATCCCCTAAGACAATTAATTCCTTCGACATCTCCCAACCGCACGGAAAGTCCGCACATGAAATCCCAAACCATTCTCAGAAATTGCATAACCCCCACAATACCACATTCAAATGCAAATTCCCTCCATATCTCTCGATAAATCTTTCGCAACATGTTATTGAAAAAATCTCGTTTCGCCTTATCTGGCCGAACATCCCATTTTTCGCATTTTCTCGATTAATCAGGCGACCAAGTGACCCAGTTCCAATCAGCGCTCTTTCACTGGTATTTAACCAATTTTGCAACGAACCTCACTCGTTGCGCAACCCAGGTAATTGCCTTCCGGTGTTTTCTGGCGGAAAGGCGGATTCCGGAGCGCCGTGCTTGTTTTTGGCGGCGATAAGCCTCTGTCCACTATCGGTCGAGAGCTGTATCAGTAAATAATTCGTGACGTTTGTGTACGGAATACTACCTGATAGTGACTGAACAATGTATAAAATGGTGAACCAATCGGTATTTGCTTTTAGTTTGGCGTCGCACCTCCACTTTGACTGTGATATTCCTTTGGACCTGCTTTGACTCGTGGCACCATGGAGGGCTCGTGGAGGGCGAAGATCGCAAAACGTAGGTTCCTGCGGCTTTCGGTGAATAACAGTGGTCCTTTGGGACAACCTTGAGATGCGAAAAGTGCGTGCGCTCGGAGGTGGTACTGCAGTGGATAATTGTTTTCGGAGATGTGTTGACGTAACTTAAGTGGGATTTTTTGGTGCAATTTTCTCGGGTTTCTCAAGGGCAGGTAAAACGTCAACGAGTAGTACTTTTTTTTTGTAACATATTCACTCAACTTCAAGTTCAGCCGGAGTACTACAACCAAGGTGGTACTGCTCACGTTTTATCACTTCCGTATGCATTTGTAGAGGAAATTAATTAGTAGATGGTTGTAGTGAATTTGAAGCAGATCAAACTGGTTTATGTTGTGGAAGTGACACAGAGCGTGGCACCTTTAACGGCAATTTCTTTGAATTCAATTACTTACGTAAAAAGAAGACGACCTAAATGCGCAGAAATTTAAAAAAATGTGTTTGGCTTAAAGTTCAAAATTGTGGAATGTGATCAAGTGGGTGATAAGATTGGCAGATGCACAAATGCACAACCCAGAGGACCCAACAATATTATTGAGTAATTTTAGAAACGGTTAGAAAAAAAATCGTGTCATAGGTACTTTGACTCTGCAGTGAAGTGTACAGGAAATAGTACCTCCGTAAAAATCGACAATAAAGTGGTGCCTTGTGGTGACCACCTAAAAAATTAATTACTTTACACGGACTCGATATAAGACAGAAAAATTTCTCCTCTGAACTAAACTGATTTTGTAATTTAGTGATAAATTTAAAAATATTTTCACCAAACGATTACGAAAAACGACGCTCTCCAAACACAATTTGATGTTTCCTGTTTATGTTTGTGATAATAACATATTATTATTATCATAAATTGTGTTGTACTGCGCGCACTTAAAAACACGTACCACTGGAAATTAGAAATTACGAGACCAAAACGTACAAAATTCCCAAATTTGTTTATCTTGCTCACCTCAATTACCTAAATTTCACGGAATTTAACTTTTAAAATGTAAACTTAATTCGGGTAAATGGAAAATTTTGTGGTGATTCCAACAGTACCACAAGTATGGAGCAAAGTCGAACCTTGAGCATATTTTCAAGACACACGAGATAAACATAATCTTCCATAGAAACTCGACGAATCCTTAATACTGCAATCGTTTGTACACAATGATAGATAACCTGAATCACAATTAGTGTTTTTCATTGATCAACAAGATGACTAATCGCTTCGATTCCAGTTTTCTTAATTCCGCAACGCTATGTCTTGGGGATCATGGGTTTCCTGGCTATCGTGAACGCCTACACCATGCGGGTGTCCCTTTCAGTGGCCATAACCGAGATGGTGGCACCCAGCAATTCAACCGAAAGCATAGACCCTAACGCTTGCCCTGTACAGGATGATAGTAACTCAACGTCAACCGTCACCGTAAGTACCAAACGATTCAATTTCAATTTTGTCAGTACCGTATGATTTTAGGACCCGGATCGTTTGTACGACTGGGACGAAACCACCCAGGGTCTTATTCTGAGTAGTTTCTACTGGGGGTACGCAATCACCCATCTCCCTGGAGGTATCCTAGCTGAAAAGTTCGGCGGAAAATACACTCTAGGTCTCGGTATACTTTCGACTGCAGTGTTCACACTGATAACTCCATGGGTAATCCACGCCAGTGACGGAAACTGGGTTATCTTAGTAGTACTGCGAGTGATCGAGGGTTTGGGAGAGGGTACCACGTATCCCGCTTTAAACGCACTCCTAGCTAAATGGGTACCGCTTGACGAGCGCGCCAAAATGGGTACCTTAGTCTACGCCGGTGGTCAAATCGGTACTATCGTCAGTAACTTAATCAGCGGCTCGCTTATTCACGCCACTCAAGACTGGGCTTCCGTTTTCTACTTATTCGGAGGTCTCGGGCTACTCTGGGTTATCATCTGGTTCCTCATTTGTTACTCTGATCCCCAATCCCACCCCTTCATTAAAGAAGAGGAACTCAAGTACCTCCAAACCGAGTTAACTCGAGTGACCAACGACAAAAAAACTATTCCGTGGAAGGTGATCTTGACTTCAGTACCAGTGTGGGCTTTAGTCGCCGCACAAGTCGGTCACGACTGGGGTTTCTACACCATGGTGACCGACCTCCCCAAATACATGAAAGACGTCCTCAAATTCAAAGTGAACGAAAACGGGATTTGGTCCTCGCTCCCGTACGCCGTGATGTGGATAGTGTCCATGCTGAGCGGCTGGTTGTGCGACTGGCTAATCAAGAAAAAGTACTGCAGTCTGACTTTCGCCCGAAAATTTTTCACGGCAGTTGGTACGTGTTTGACTTTGACTCGTTGTGTACTAAACAAGGATTTGTAGCTTCGCTAGGTCCGGCTGTTTTCATCATCATCGCGTCGTTCGTGGGCTGCGATCGCATGCTGGCCGTGTACATGTTCACGATCGCTATGGGCTTCATGGGTACTTTCTACTGCGGCATGAAAGTCAACGCTCTGGATTTGTCGCCGAACTTCGCCGGTACTCTCATGGCTATCACGAACGGGATAGGAGCCATTGCGGGGATCATCACGCCCTACCTCACTGGAGCCTTAACGGGAGAGGTGAGTACCGGGTGACGATGGGTTGTTGCTAAGTCGTACTTTCAGCACACTTTGGAGCAATGGAGGTCCGTGTTGTGGATATCGTTCAGCATTTTTGTGGTGACGAGTATTATTTATACGATTTGGGGGACTGGAGAAGAACAGTGGTGGAACGACCCGGAAGGTAGGAAGCAACAGAAAGCGGAGAACGGCGAAACCAATAAAGAGGAAAAGTGAGAGAAGGGGGGGTGGATTTTCTCAGTTACCGTTCGTCAGTATTGTGAGAGTGATGAGATTTTGTGGCGTTTTAGTCCCATTGTAAAGTTAAGTATAGAGACCTGTTGTATGTACTATAATATGAATAAATAAAAATTACAAAAATGTAAAAACATAACCTAACAAGAAAGATTGACGGGATTTTGATTACTTTTTAATATCGCAGTGGCATACCGTTTTGACAAGAATTTGTTGTTTTTTAAGTCATTTTAGCAGAAATTTGCAATATGCAATCGAATTTACCATCACTCACAACACGATGTAAGTGTTTCGCGATTCCTCATCGTTACGTAACAGCGTTCCTCCTCGGCACCGGATGCATTATTTACTTCCTTATGCTTGTCAGTTTCCTCAAGGCCTTTAGACACTTGAACCCAAAGACCCCAGTCTACAACAGCACTTATAGTATGAACTGTACATTCGACAGAAATGTAAGCAGAGTAGAGCACGTGAATGAACATTTTTACCAGCCGCCCTTCGCGCGGGTGGCAGCACTGGCAAATGCACACGTATGGGGTTACATAGCAGCGGCCCCCTTCTGTGGATTGTTCTCCGATAGATTAGGCGGAAAATATTTCGTCTGGATTCCGATATTCGTTATAAGCGTGGTAGAGGTGATTACACCCCCCATGCTAAGTGGCAGCGCTTCAGACTTCTACATAGTATTCACGTGGTATTTTCTCATTGGTGTTGGTGCTGGGATGGCTTCTGCCGGCATGAACTCGATTCTAGCACGCTGGACACCAATCGAAGAGAGAGGAAGAATGGGTTGTATGACTTACTGTGGAACACAGTTCGCTGTTACGTTCCACAGCGAAATTACCGACAACGTCATCGTAGCAACGGGATTGTGGAACATGCCTTTTTACATATACAGTGCTTTGGGATTAATCTGGTCTGTCTCCTTTCTGTTCCTCGGGTCGTCGCACTACCACATTAGAAAGCATGGCATGCATCAATCAGAACTGCAGTATCTCCAGGACAAGCTGCGTAAGATTTTAAATTTGAACGGCTTCGATGTCTCGTTTCAGAACACATAAAAGATTTTAACAGACAACGAGTACCCTGGCTGAAAATAGCGACGTCGGCTCCTTTATGGGCACTAATCGTCATTAATATGGGACACATATGGATCTGGACCGCGATGATCACCAACCTTCCTTTCTACTTAAGATACGTGCTGTTCTTCAGCAACGAAAAAACCATGGGCTATGCTTGTCTGGCTTATATGTCTCTGTCTTGTTGTACGTTGATGTGTGGATTTTTCTCAGATTTTTTGACAAGTCGAAAATACATACAGACCAGGACTTTGCGCAAGGTCTACACTACTTTCGGTAACATCAAGCAATGTAGAGGTTTTAGCTGAAACAAAAACTTGTAGGTGCTATGGGACCGGCAGTTTTTCTTCTAACGGCTGCATATACTGGTTGCCATAGGACAGAGGCGGTTTTTATGTTTGTTATAGGGATGTCGTTCATGGGTTTCTACTTCGGTGGTACCAAAATCAACACGTTGGAGATTGCACCAAATTTCAGTGGAACGGTCATTGGTTTGGTGAATATGTTTGAAAGTGTCCCTCTTTTAGTGCTGCCGATAGTGGAACGCATCATTTCACCCACTGTCAGAATAGACGAGTGTCTAAATCGTCTTCTAATATTAAATTTTTAGAACGTGCTACATGAGAAAAAACTGCTGTTCTGGATACACTTGGCTGTGCTTGCTGTCACAAATATGTTCTTCACGTTATTTGGGTCTGTGGATGTTCAACCCTGGGATTCTGAGGAGGTTGAGGAAGAACAAGAAATGGAACATTTTTATACGTACCCTACTGCAACTCTCGCACCACGACCTTCTGATTAGCATACCCAATAAATACTTTTGTACCTTCCTTCGTTTAAAACTGATAATTTTAATAAAAACTATCATGAAAAAATAATCAGTTAACCAGACTTTTATTGAGGATGTAGGTCCACCTAAACTGAAGCAGTACTGGGATCAGGTAATTTTGATAACGAGATGCCAAACTCGCACTAGTACTTTTCTAATTCTTTGGGAGGAAATTATAGTCTGCTGAGGGACTATTCACATTTTTGAAGCAAAAAAAGTACTGTCTAAATATCGTCGGTACGATTGGGACGAAGCCACCTGAGGTCTTCGGTCTCGATACGCTTTCCGCGGAAGTTTTTATACTGATATCCATATGACTTGGATTATCCTAGTGGTACCGTTCGACGAGCTAACCGAATCAGTACCTGGTACCATCGCTAATAACATAATCAACGGCAACCTTCGTTTCCTACTTCTTGGGGGCTCCATATACCATGGAAAGTAAATCTCGATTTTCAGTTTTTATATTTCTCAATTTTCCGATGTTTCAGTTTTACGTTTTATCAATGTTACGATTTTTAAATATTTTTTTCAATTTTTGACTTTTATAAACTCTCAATTTTTCGATTTTTCGATTAATGGATATTTTGTTTTCCCCATTTCTTGAATTTGGACTGCCTCGATTTTTCAGTTTTTCAATTCTTCATTTTTTCGATTTTTCAGGTTTTCTTTCATTTTTCAATTTTTCAGTTTTTGAATTTTACGATTTTCAGTTTTCGATTTCTCAATTTTCCGATGTTTCAATTTTACGCTTTTCCAATTTTTCTCCTCTTAGATTTTACGATTTTTAAATATTTCGAACTTTTTAACGTTTTGTTTTTTCGACTTTACTTTTTTGAGTTTTTGATTTGTCTATTTTTCAATTGTTTAATTTCTCAGTTTTTGGCTATTTCAGTTTTTCCATTCTTCAGTTTTTCTTTCATTTTTCAATTTTTCGAAATTCCAGTTTTGGAGTTTTTCAATTTCTCAATTTTTCAATTTTTCGATTTTCAATTTTCCGCTGTTTCAGTGATTTTTATTAAATTTTTCGAATTTGACTTTTGTAAACTCCAGTTTTTAGATTTTTCATTTCTTCAATTCTTCAATTTTTCAATTTTTTCGGTTTTTGATTTTTCAATATTTCAATTTTTTATTTTCTCATTTGGATATTTCAATTTTGAGATTTTTCAGTTTTTCCATTCTTCAGTTGTTCTTTCGATTTTACAATTTCCCAATTTTTCAAGTTCTCGATTTTCAGATTTCGGATGTTTCAGTTACGTTTTTTCAATTTTTCTCATCTTCAATTTTACGATTTATAAATATTTCAATTTTTCGATTTTTGACTTTTCTAAATTCTCAATTTTCCCATTTCTTGACTTTCGACTGTTTCGATTTTCTAGTTTTTCAATTCTTCAATTTTTAGATTTTTCAGGTTTCTGATTTTTCAAGTTTTGGATTTTTCAAATTTTCCATTCTTCAGTTTTTCGTCCATATTTCAGTTTTTCGATATTTCAGTTTTGGGATTTTTCAATATTTCGATTCTTCAACTTTTCCATTTTTGACTTCTGGATTTTTCGATGTGTCAATTTTTTTACTTTTTTGATTTTTCAGTTTTCCGATTTTTAAATTTTAGATTTTTCGATTTCACGATTTTCAGTTTTCGATTTCTCAATTTTCCGATGTTTCAATTTTACGTTTTTCCAAGTTTTCAATTGTTTAATTTCTCAGGTTTTGGATGTTTCAGTTTTGAGATTTTTCAGTTTTTCCATTCTTCAGTTGTTCTTTCGATTTTACAATTTCCTAATTTTTCAAGATCTCGATTTTCAGATTTCCGGTGTTTCAGTTACGTTTTTTCAATTTTTCTCATCTTCAATTTTACGATTTATAAATATTTCAATTTTTCGATTTTTGACTTTTCTAAATTCTCAATTTTCCCATTTCTTGACTTTCGACCGTTTCGATTTTCCAGTTTTTCAATTCTTCAATTTTTAGATTTTTCAAGTTTCTGATTTTTCGATTTTTGGATTTTTTGAAGGTTTCAATTATTCGACTTCACTTTTTTTGATTTTTCAATTTCTCAATTTTTTAGATTCTCAGCTTTTGGATATTTCAGTTTTGGGATTTTTCAATATTTCGATTTTTGACTTCAGGATTTTTCGATGTGTCGATTTTTTTACTTTTTCGATTTTTAAATTTTAGATTTTTCGATTTCTCGATTTTTTACTTCACTTCTTGGATATTTCAGTTATTCAATTTTTGGAAATTTCTAATGTTTCGATTTTTTAGTTTTAACTTTTCGTTTTTTCTACTTTGGCTTAATTCGGTTTCTCAATCATTCGGCTTGTCAACTTCGCGATTTTTCGATTTTTTACTTTTCGGATTTTCGGTTTTTCGATTTTCCAGTTTTTTGATGTTTCGATTTTTCAGTTATTCGATTTTTCAATTTTTCGATTTTTTAAATTTTGAAGTTCCGATTTTTCGATATTTCGTTTTTCGGTTTATAAATTTTAGATTTTCAAATTTTTTGAAGCTGAAAATCGAAAAATCGAAACATCCATAAATTGAAAAACTGAAACGTCGAGAAGTCCAAAAATATGGAGAAATACCCCAAAATCGAAAATCCAAGTTAAACATTGAAAAATTGAAAAACTGAAAAACCAAAAATTTTTAAAAATCTAAAACTTGAAAAACCGGAAAATCAAAAACTGAAAAATCGAAAGGTCGGGAAATCGAAACATGGAAATATTGAAAAATCTACATTTAAAAATTGGAAAATTGAAGAACTGAAAAATCGAAAAAAAATTGATTAGAAGGTTCAGAAATCGAAAAATTGAGAAACCGAAAAGTCGAAATATGGAAAAATTGAAAAATCGAGAAAAATTGATGAATCTAAAAATTGGGAAATCTAAAAGTTGGAAAATTGAAAAATCAAAAAACTGAAACATCGAGAAATAAAAAAATTCCAACCTGAAATCAAGAACAATTGAAAAATCTAAAACTTAAAACACCGATAAACCGAAAAATTGAAAAACCGATAATCACAACATCAAAAAATCGAAAAACTGCAAAATCAAAAATTTTAAAAACCAAAAAATTAAAAAACCGAAGAATGAAAAACTGAGAAGTCGAAAAGTCGTAAGATAGGAAAATCGAAACATCAAAAGACTGAAAAATCTAACATTTAAAAATTAGAAAACTTACAATATAGGGAATTGGAGATTTGAAAAATTGAAATGTCGAGAAATGGAAATATAAAAAAAATCG